CTTGGCCATGTTCTTGATTAAATCCCATTTGACTTGTGCAGAAAGATCCGGGTCCAGCTTGTGTTGTACATAGTTGTTGATTTCCTTTGATAGCTTCTTGGTGAATCTCTTGTTTTTAGCCAGATGTGGGTTTGCTCTCCATATGCCTTTTCCATTGTTGCTCATTTCCACTGTCAGTGTAATCGTAATTAGAGCGTGGTCGGTGTATACATCGCTGAAGAATTCCACGTCCCCGTCGTGCATCTTTTTGTGAGTGTTGGTGCCAGCAAAGATGTAGTCGATTGTGGATAGGGTAACTCGTTCTCGCCGCTTTTGAATACAGGTATAGGTATACTTTTCACCTTTTGTGTTAATACAGTCATTCATATACCCCTTTACAAAGTTGATGAGATGTTTCGGTTTTGCTATGCGCCTAGTAGCGTGGTTTGATGAGCTGTCAAAGCTATAGTTAAAGTCGCCCGCCATTATCAGGTCAGGGATAATTTCAGGCATTGTTAGCAACATCTCTACTGTTCTCTTGTAGAATTGATTGCGTTGTGAGGTTTCTTCAGCAAATATACCTGAGCGAGCGTACAGATTCAAAATGTATACTGGTGGAATGGAGTTGTCGGCTATGGAGAGTTTTGCCAGGATCATTCTACCATCGTTAGATTCTTTGATTTTTTCCAGGTTAAGTGAGTTGTTGAAATTGATTATGGCACAATGTTGGGTCCATATTGCTTGGTGGTAGTTGAATTTGATCTTCATGTTGTCTGTTACTTCTTCAAAAGAGTGAGAAGGGATGTTGGTTTCTTGGCACAGTAGTATATTTAATTTCTTGTCTTTCAGCAGGCCAATAAAGGTGTCAGTAGTGTGTTGGTTGGTGTTCAAATGTAGGTTTCTACAGTTAAGAGACCCTACTTTGATGTTTAGGTGTTTAGTATTATTATTCATTTTTTTTCTATATATATTATTATTATTTTTTTTCTTTTTTTTTTCTTTTTTTTTTTTCTGGCTCAAGTTCTAATCCAACTTATTTAGCGGTGGCTTTCCGCTACCAGAGGTATTGGAAGAACCGGCTGCTTCGTTGGTGCTTGATTCATTCTTTTTTGTATTCTTTTTTTTTGAAAATGGGACAGTTTCCTGTTGACCATTTGGGGATATAGCATCATCCAGATTTCTCTTGGATTTCGATGGAGTGAGCTTGTCAACGTCAGTGAGCTTCAAAGTTTGGTTACTTCTGGTGGCGAGGCGAGGAGTAGATTGTGTGACAGATGGGGTAACATTGAACGGCTTCTTGTTGGCTAGTTCACTTGAGGAGCGAGACATTTTGACACCTTTGTCTAGTGAAGTGGACTTTTCAGTGTCGTTTTCTTCATTTCCTTGGGACTCTTCGACCTCTTCGACCTCTCCCATTTCCACTTCGTGATTTAATATTTCAAATTGGTTTTGAGATGCTGGTTGTTGTGGCTGACCTTGTTTCACAAGATCAAGCAGGTTGACTTCTCTACTGCTGGAATTTCTTCGTGACACCAACTGGAATTCATTCTCATTGGATCCAGGGGTAGACTTGCTTGATTTGGTTTCATTGCTATTCTCCGTTGATTTGTTGTTCCATGGGGCCACAGGACATTTCGCAATCAAGTGGTTAGGACTCTTGCAACGGTGACAGAGTCTTCTTCTTCTCTTGGGGCAGTCAAGTCTAACGTGCTCGTCCGTGTGGCAGTCGGTGCAGATAGGCTTCATCTGGGACCATACCAAGTGCAGATGGGCGCCTGGGAAACCTTCCAATTCAACTTGAGGGGTTAGGGAGTTTGCATAAGTGGACTCCTTTAATTTATCCCGATTAAGAGTAGCAAATCCTCTTCCAGTGAACCAGTCAGAGTCTCCACTCTTTGAGATACCAATGTTCAAGATATCGCCATATCTTTCAAATGTCTTGATCAAGGCTGGTTTCAATTCATCCTCTTCCATGAGTGGGATCTCAGAGATACCAATGTTGATTACGTTTGCAGTGTGATTCAGGGTCTTGTTGACTTCAATGACTTTTCCATTGACCTTGAACTCCTTCAAGAGAGCGTCGCGACAGAGGTTTTCAGTTGAGAACCCAAGTTCAATGGCCTTCTTCCTGTTTTTGCCAATGATCCTAGGCTTGAGACCTAAGCATTTGGGAAACTGTTCTCGCAGTACCTCGAGGAGAGTCGTGTCCTTGAACTCCATGCCCAAGAACTGAGCACAGTCGATGACGATAGAATTGCGTTCTTTAGCTTCAATGAATGTTGAGTAGGTGTTCAGAGGTTTGAATGTGTTGTTATCCACATCCGGCACAACTTCAAAGTTGTGTCTCTTCTGTTCCTTGAGAGCATCGGTAAAGGATTGGTAAGTAAATAGTTGATTGCTTGGATTATGGCTAGAATCCATTGAGCCACCTTGTGTGGGTGGATCACTGTTATCACTCTGTTTTTTAGCGGAGGAAGCCATGATCGAGTTCAAAATCATTGAGATTTGGCCAATCTAGAACAAACTGTGAGTCTGTGTTTGAATTAATTTTGGCGGGTGGAGCTGGCTGGCAAACTCAATGCCCTTCTAATAATCATGAAGGCGATACAGTAATTAATAGATGCTTTTGAAGCGTATGAAAAGTATGCGACAAATTACATGGTGCTGTTGTTAGTCATGCTATTCTTCTTGCGTTCTCTATTTAATAGCGCCAGTCTACCAAAATACTTGTCAAAACAACTTCTTTCCTTTTTGAGGCTTTATAATGAAGAAACGTCCAGTCAGTACAAGCGTGCTTTTAGTCAGTTTCAATTAATGAGACATCCTATGGCTTATTCAGAGCAATCAAAAACAATAAATTCTTTCATATTTGATCTATACAATGTCAAGAGAATTTCCAAAATTTCATTCAAATGTGGACTTCATACTGCAAATCCATAAAACGCCTTACCAGGAAAGGGACTCAGCAGACTACTACTCGAGTGCTTCATTGATCCTAAAGTGTGAATCAAGGGCAAAATAAATAGCCCTCAAATTCGGTAAGCGCACACAGATGCTTTACAACATAAATTTCTGGATCAATTGTGCTTTCAGAATAAGCCAAGGTAATTATACATTGACTGCAATTTGCATACACGTTACAGACAACCTATGTGCTGTACATGTCTACTTTGCGCCAATGATGTCCTGAACGCCATCAAGGAAGAAAATAAGCTAGGAGAGTTCTATGTAGGTTAGCGAGAAAGAAAAAGCTCACACTTTTGAAAGCTCAAACGATGGCAACTGCTAATTTGCCTGCTTCTTTTTTTTTTTTTTTGTCTTCCTAAACACACTGTGTCTCTAAAACGTAAACCACTATTACTACGTCTGGTTCATTCAAATGTGAGTCTTGATACGCAATGTCAAATAGCCAGCCCATTCAAGAATGCAACAACACTCTTTTTTTCCCACAAATCAACCAACCCTGGCACACGCAAACATTTCAGGAATAATGTGTATATATAGATTTACCCATTTTTCAATTGAATTTTTTAATATAAAAATGAGATACAAGAATATATACTATACTTAGTAGAAGGTGGTAGGACGCTTGGCAACAAAGAGAGCACGGTGCTTCTTGTCAACGTTGGCAAGACGGTGAGGCAAGGGGAAAGCGAGCTTGGGGGTCAAGAGTTGCTTGATGTATTGACGACGAACATCGGCATCCTTCACTTCAGCGACACGGATGATTTGAACAGATCTGAAACGAGCACGGTGACGAGCAGCCATGTCTTGATAGCAGTTCTCAACAGCCTCGGTACGGCGCATAGCACGGTATTCCTTGTACATGTTGTGGGTACCGGAACGAGAATCGTAACGGATCCAGATACCAAAGTTCTTGATTTGTTCAGGACGCTTCTCAGAGATCTATATAATAAGTTGTTGGGTGTTAATGTCACGAGCGATACAGACATGCGAATGTAAATAGACATTTACCTTGTTCAAAGAAACAATCTCACCAGCAGCCTTCTTGACCTTACGGAGCTTCTTCAAAAAGTACCAGAAACGAGACTTGGCAACGACATCGTTAGGGGCAAAGATTCTCATACGGTAGAGCTTGGGAGAAGCATCTTGAGCTGAGGGGAGCTTACGTCCAACAACCTAAAGTATACGTTTAGCATGGATGCTTGATGGCGCTTGGCACAATGTGAGGATAACTTACTTGATATTCGGTTAACTGCAAGGCGGAAGAAAGAAAAAGGTAAAGATAGTGTTAGTACAACTGTTTCTCACTAGAGTGATGCGCATAATTCGCCTTCATTAACAATTCAGACAGAGAAATAATGAATATCAATGCATGTGTCGTGAACATGCCCAACTATTTCTGTAGGCCCTGAGATTATCGAGCCATCCAGGGTAAAATCTAATGCCAATGCTGGTTGGATATTGAGCGGCTCCAGTACATCTGTTGATATAATCACCATCCCGTTGTGTATGCTGAAATGTAAATTCTCCAAGTTGCTATCCAAACATCTCATCATCTGAAATCGTCCATCCATCTGTTCTGAAGGCAATCTGTTCTGCTGCTTTTCTCGCATCCCATAGTTCTGCCATATTATCCACATAGTCAATATTGACTTGCATTCAGTGATGATTTTTTGGTCATCTCGTTGTATGTTGATCATCCATGTCGAGAATCATCCATCAATCATACATATGCATTATTTCTCATCTGTCTTCACTGTAATCAAGGCGATGCATGCGTGATAAATCTATATCTTACTCTGGCCATGTTGTCCTTCGGTCAAACGATAAAGAGAAAGATTGACCTTTGAATGCTTCAACACTTTGAATACCCCGAATGCCCCGCACAAAGTAGCCTTGAGGGCCGTTTGCCCACAAAGTGTGTCCGACCTGCACCGTTTTTCAGGTGCCCTTTCTTTTGATTAAACAGTATAGCACTACTGTGTGTAGTCACGAACAAAAAGCTCGAAACTACACTTGTATTGCATTCAACATCCTTTTGTTCATTACCAATTGATATGTCTTCCTCAGGATTGATTGCTGCGAGAAAGAGATTGGAAAATGCCATAAAGAAGTACGATATACCAACTGAATCTGAGCCAACACCTGCTGATAAATGCAAAGAGTAAGAGTGCTAGTTGCTTGCTGAAAGAGATCAAAGTAAACTGACTTACTATAGTGGTGTTTTGTTGCTATCATTACTGCAATCTCGACTCAATTGGACCAATGCAGTGTTTGCACGATACAAGACAGATCCTGTGCAGCAGCCAAAAAGAACCAGCAATACACGTAGAAAGTGGCCTAATATGAAGTATTTGGGCACTTGCACTTTGCAGTTGGGTGCACATCTCTACGAGAACACCAACTTTTATGAAGCGACTAGAACAGATTCTTGGAAAGACATTGCCATCAAGCAAGGGCTCATGCAACCTCCACCACCTCCTCCTCCGCCACCACCTACTCCAGCACCACCTGCTCCACAAGTGAATCCAGAAAACAAACCAGATGTCGTAATGCAAGATGCTACACCACAACCTGAAAGCAAACCTGATGTGGTTATGGAGGAAGCAGAGAAGGATGCAGTCGTGCAAGATGAAGAGAAGAAGGACGCTGTAATGGAGGAAATTGTTGATAATCAAGAACCAGAAGCCAGTAAACCGCCAGTGGCTGTGTCTGAGCAGAGCACCGCTTCCACTACTGAAGCCGAGGCAGAGAAGCCTCAAAAACAACCACAGACACCATCTGAATCAAACACTGAAGATAAGACGCAGGCAGCAACAGCAGTAGTCAGCGCCGATACACCAGCGACTACAGACGATATATCAAAAGAGCCAGAAGGCACAGTGACCAATATTGATCCACAAGCAAGCACATCTTCAGCACCACAGCAACCGAGTGCAGCTGAAAGCAAGCAGCCAGAGACACAACCAGAAGAGATCCCCGATGAGAAACTGACATTTGTAGATATTGTATTTGAATTAAAAGAGTTTCCCAACGAGCGATTTATCTTTCCTAAAGATGCTATCATACAATCCACATTGACAGGACCAAATCCAGACGATTGCTTTGTAAGTACAAAATAGGATGTGGGGGGGGGGGGTCCAGTAGTAGAAATCGCTTATGAATACATTTGGTTTAGATTATCGCATCTTTTGTGCTGCCACTGGATATGTCGCAAACAGACGAGTTCTTTCAAAAGCCCAAGGAAAAGATCCTCAAGTACGGCGAGATGTGTCAACTACCTTGCATCAGCGAATACTACAGAGAAAACACTGTCAGAGAAAGTCGAGCTGCCGATCCACCGTTACCACTGGATTCATATCAACCCGTCAATATCCGCATGACGAATACCAAATTATCAGCTGCTGATGCGCTTAAAGCATATGTACATAAACCTGAAGTAGTGCGAAAGAGTATGAAGGACAAGGTAAGGGCTGATTAGATTGTAAATGTAATATTTTGTTGCAATACTCAACATGATGTCCCTTGATAGATGAAGTATTTTCCCAAACGAACTTACTTGAAATTTGACGTATCCGAAGACGAAACCCGTAAACACGAGATTCGAGAACTGATCAAGAGAGCTTCTGTCGCACCTGATATCTCTACTGGACCTGTGCAAGCTGAAAAGAAGAGAAATGAAATTCTCAATGCGATTCGTCTGGGCAAGCGAGAACGAGATGAAAAGTTTGAATCAGAATGTAAGTCTTTTGTGCAGAGTGTCATGTTGAGAAATAGTAAAGCTAATCTTTGAAAACAGTGCCAAAGAACAAGATGAATGCAAGAGACGATGGCTTCATGAAATGTGCCTACTGTAGTACCAAGCAGACATCCATGTGGAGATCGGGCCCCAATGGACATGGCACTTTATGTAACAGTTGTGGTCTGCAATGGCGACAAGGCGAAATCCTGGTGGGTGCTCCTGTCATCAGTCCTGAAGAAGAGAAGCGACTCTTGAAGGAAAAGAGAGAAAGAGACAAGATTACAGAGGCTTTGGAACTGGAAAGAGCCGAGAAAGAAGAAGAAAAGCTCAAAAAGAAGGCAGAGCGTCAAGGTGGAAGTCATCATCATCACGACATTTCGTATACAAGCGGTACTTTTGCCGCTCAACTTTTACAACAGAGAAGCCGTCAAAGACAAGCGAATATACCCCCAGCACCTGCTCCTCCTGTTCCTACGATCGCTGCTCCTCCTGTTCTCAACAATGCCATAGGCGCGCCTGTTCCTGCAACTGCTACCCCGCCCGTTGCTGCTGTTGCTGCTGCTGTTGCTGTTCCGCCACCTTCCGTTGCTGCTCCAGTAGGTACTATGCCAGTGGCAAATCCAGCATCTCCTGCCGTTGTACAGCAACCCACGGAAACCACCAAAAAGGCGCCCAGAGCTAGAAAGTCCAAGGCAGAGGCATCTGCCGCCAAGAAATCCATTGCATCTGCTCCTCCTGCTTCTGTCCCTGCTACTACAACGACATCAACGTCAGCAGCAGTAGCAGCGACGCCTCAGCAAGCGATCCAAACACAACCTCAAGCACAACCACAGCAGACACAAGCACAAGCGCCCGTTCAGACCCAACAGCAGCCGGCACCTGTCCCCTTGTCGTTATACAATCCAGCAGGCATCCCATTACCTACGCTATCCATCGACTTTGCTGGTCATCTACAATTTGCACACCCCAATTGTGGCATCACACTGCTGGATCGTGATTTCTCTGTACGTCTATGCAAAGACGGATGCGAACAAACCACTGTCAAATTTGAAAAGAAGGATCTGACCAATGCCGTATTTGAAGTGGTGACTGAAGGCGAAGCAGCGTTGAAACGCGAAGTGCTCAAGATGAAGATTGTGCCTGCTACTGTCAAGAAGATTACTGCGTTTGGAAAGACCATGAAAATTGATAAAAAGAATGGCGTGCATATTAGATTTCTAGAAAAGCTGGATCCCAGCGGCGGTGCTGTCGTGCAGAGGATCTTACAAAGATGGCTTGTTACAGAACCCCAACAATAAAAGAAAGAAAAGTGCTAGTAATGATAACACTTTCAATTTTTTTAATTTTTTTTTTTTTTTTTTTTTTTTTTTACAAGTGTCAAGTAGTGATTGTAGTTTTATTAAATAAAATACCATATATAAATTTACTCTTCCTTCTTGGCTTCTTCCTCAGCGACAGCAGGAGCAGCTTCAGCGGCAACTGGCTTTGTCTCCTTCTTCTCTTCCTCCTCAGTCTTTGTCTTTTTGGTGTTTTTGTCGAAACCGCCTTGGTTCTTTCTCTTGTTGGAAGTGAATTGAGCGTTGGGCTTGAAAGCATTGAAGCTCTTGTTGTTCTTTCTAAAAGGAGAATCCTTGTATTGCTCTGCCTTGAGTTCGTGATAACGGGGTTTGTACAAAATTTCGAGCTTATTGCCATCAAATTCAACAGTGGCCTCCTCAGCGACCTTCTTGGCCTCTTCAGGAGAAGAGAATTCAATATAACAAGAGCCCTAATTAAGACGCACATGTCAATTAATGTGTTGCAAGGCTGCTATTTCCCCTTTTTTTTTTTTTTTTTACCTTGAACTTCTTGGGCTTTTCATCATTCTTCTTCATTCTAACACAAAGCACAGTGTAACCCTTTTCGCTAAAGAATTCGTCCACCTTGTCTTGTAATTTGAAGAGCTCAGCAACGGGATCCTTGGCATCAGCATCGACCAAAGGCAAACCCTTGACGTAGATGGAACGCTCAACGTGGTTTTGTTGAACGACCTCAGACTTTCTTCTAATGTTCTTACCCTCCTCATCAATTTCGTAAATCTCGCTTTCAACTTCCTTGAGAGCTTTGACAATAGTGTCGAAATCTTCGGTGATCATCTTCATCTTTTTGAAGCTGGCAATAGTTTCCAAAGGGATCCCTAAACACGCGCGTCAAAGAGGTTGTTTAATTGACATGTCAAGCTTTACGTGTCAGATCCATTGGATCACAAACAACTTACAGCCTTCAGGTGTGTTGGCGCGGAGAGTCCACAAAAACTTGTCGTAAGGCAAGTTGCTGTCAGAAAAGTAAAAGTTGACTTGCTTGCGGATCTTTTCGGCTTCAGTGGCGACCATTGTTGTGAATGCAATGTGATGTATGGAGAAAAGGAGAGAGAGAGAGGAAAGAGAAAATTTTCATCATGTCAATTATACAAGTACAGTTGTATATTAAAGTCACATTGGACTGCCATGTTCAAGGAAGATCAATGCAGAATCAACAGGTTAAATTAAGGGGTAAAATAGAGGATCTTTATTTGGTCAATTTCTTATGAAGCTTTGGTCTTCCTCTTGGCTTATGTTGAACATCTTTACATCCTTGCTTTCCAGTAGCAACACAGCGACGACAGGGTCTCATATCATCGCATCTCAAGTGGGAACGTTTACAGTGATTACAGGCTTTATCTACATTGCGTCCCTTCTTGGTGGGTAATTGGCCGTGACTGGGTGCATTGGTTGCTCTGATCTGGTATTCATCATCATCGTCGTCTTCTTCCTCCTCCTCTAGTAATAGCTCATGTTCCTCTTCTAGTTCTTGATCTGGTTCATCCTCGTCAGAGAGCAGGCTGTGGATACTCTCCGAGACACGCATGGATCGCTGTAGGTTGCTTGACAGAGACGATAGAGAGGAAGATGAATGAAGGCTGCCCGTGCTACTAGCACTGGCATTGTTGTGAATGGTAATACGATGAGGTGCACTACCGCGACGCCCCTTGAGATCAAATTTGTTGGTCTTCTTTTTGCCATTGGTCGCTGTGGCATTGTATATGTTGGACATGGATTTTCTGTATTTGCTGTTGGATTTATAGCCTGCTGATTTCGATGTTTTGGGAGCAACTAAATCCCATGCATGTTCTCCGTAGGGGCTTGGTAAGACACTGCTCATAGGCGAAGGGACACCGTGTCTAGGTTTCTTGATTTTGATCATAAGTTTTTCGTTGGCATGTGTGGTATTGTTGTTGTTGGTAACAGTATTAGCATTAGCAGAGGTCATAGTGGCACCCACAGCGGATGAAGTACCATGGATAGCGGGCATGCCGTAGCTTGACATGAGTGCATTCCAGCGTAGATCGATATCGCTGTTGTTATCAGAATAGTCATCCTCGCTATCGTCGTTTGTGGATTCAGATGAGGACATGAAATCACGATTTTGATGTGGTGGTTTCAGCGAAAAGTCATCGAGGAGCAAGTTTTCTTGCAGCGAAGATAGCTGCAAGAGGCAAGCATGCTGCTGTTTGGCAGAGTCAGCCTTGGCGACAAACGAATTGACATCCTGTAAATAGGTGTGATTTAGTAAGCCTGTACGCTTCCTGTAATAATAATAATAATAATAATAATAATAATAGTAAAAAAAAAAGACTTACACTAAGACTGACATAGCCACGAGACATGCCACCTTCTACAGTAATGTTCTCCTCCGTGTCATTTTCAGACATGATGCAATCAAATTGGGATTGCTGCTGGGTGTTGGTTGTCATGATGTTGCTCATCATGGTTTCATCGCAAAAGAGGCTATTTTGCTGTGGCAGATAAGTGTCAATTGGATCATACAGCCAGTTGTACTGTTGCTTTTGGTCTAGAGCGCATTGAGGTTGTTGGAAGCTGTAGTCATAATCGACCAAATCCAAGTTGAGTGGGTGCATGGAATCATAGAAAAAGTTGTTGCTGTTGTTGCTGTTGTTGCTGGCATTAGTTGGTATATTGTTAGTAGTAGTAGTAGTAGTAGCAGTATTAGTAGTAGATTGGAGGTAATGCAAATAAAAGGGCGAGGATGAATGAGTCAGGGCATGTTGTTTTTTTGTATGTTCTACATCTTGCTGTTGCTGCGAAGGGAGGCCATGGAAAAAATCAGCATCCAATGTTGTTTCATCGACAATATCAAACAATTGAGGATAGGTAAAGTCCATAGCGTAGTATATATCACTTGATAAAAGGAAAGGAATGGGAGGATAAATGCATTACAACAAGATCCAATGCGTCAAATTTTATAGGCTGTCTGCTCGAGTTGCATTCTTGGGGTCATACATTTTTGTGGCCATTTCATGCTGCTGCTGCTGCTGCAGATCGTTTTGCTTTTCCTGGAAAGTAACTGTGTGTGTATGTGTATGTGTATGTGTGTGTGTGTGTGTGTGTGTGTGTGGCACGGATGACAACCCATAAAACGTCGCTGCGCACGGATATCCGTTATCATCTATGCTACTCAATGTATATACTTACAGTTACCATTTATACCCCCCAAAAAAAAAAAAGCCCTTTGCCCACTTGCTCATTAGACACGCCGATTGAGAGAAGGAATAGAACAAGAATGCATACCTCGTTCAATAATAAATGCATCCATGTTTTTTGTTCATTATTATGGTCATTGAATCTCTTGTACACCGTATGATTGCATCTCTGGCTACAAATAAGGAATCTTGACCGAATCTTGTCTTGAAGCGCTGCAATAATTCATTCCTCTTTTATCGCATCCACATGTACATATACAAAGAGAATTTAAATAACAACCATTCTCCTACTGCTGCACTAGTGAAGCAAGCAATCGACGATGAAGCGTTGAATGGGGAGGCATTGATCAGCCTAAGAATTCCGCAAAAAGACACCGATTTAAACGAACAATACAGAACATTCATTTAAACTTGCTAAAAAACGAATGCCGTAGAAGAATTGTCATCTGCCGTTTTTTTTTTTTTTTTTTGGCGCGCAAATTTCATGCATACTTTTGTCGAAAAAACCAACATTTCTCATAATTAAAAATGATCGCCCCTCATTTATCAACCCCCCCTTATCAAGTCATCATGAGCTCATTCAGGATGCTAGCAGTTACAGGATCAATCTTGCACATTTATTCGCTTTCATTATCACTACTGACATCGCCGTATGCTGATAGTAAGGATAGCGGGTTCTTGTCTTGCGTCTTGGGCTTCTTGTCCGCTGGTTTCTCTTCCTCCTCATCTTCATCATCGCTCGCATGACGCTTCTTTTTGATGAACAATGCTCCTTTTAATGAATTTCGTTTATTGTTGTGTGCTGATGCTGTGGTTGCTTTGGGCTTGCTGGCAGCTTTGGCTGTGGATGGGAGGATGGCTGTGGTAGCCTCCAAGATGGGGATCTGAGCCGCTGGATTTGATCTGGCGCTTTCCACAGCTTGTCTGTACTCCTCCAACTCCAATGTTTCCTTGACCTTTCTCTGGTGTTCCAGCTTCTCCTTTTCATCTGATAGCGTTCTAAAGTATTCTGCCTCCTCTTCATCGACACGCTTGATCTGGTTGGACAGACGCGATTTCTCTGCAAATTCCTCCTCCTTTAGCGTCTTCTGTTCTTGCAAACGCTCATACAGCGTGCGTGGATCATAGGCTTCTTGAACGACAACTACAATTTATGCAAACATGGGTTGATTGAACGCCCTCTTTTAATGAACATTGTACATGTTCAAACCTTCTTTCTGATTGCCATCTGATTCCAATTGCTTCTCTTGATCGTCCTCTACCACAGCACGAGAGACAAAGGAGTTTTTGATGTTGAATGACATTTTGGGTTGGTGATGATTGGAGTTGAACAAAGGCCCTTTTTCGAAATAGCTTAGGATAAGCAGTCTTGGAGTAGGAGCAACAAAGGGTGACGTACAAATAGACATGTTTGATTAGCACAGCATTTTAAAATGCCTGTGGTGTACATCTCCCTTTCTGCACATAAAATTTTTCATTCCTTTCGTCTTTTTCTCGTGTAAATCAACATCTTGCACTATGGCAAACAAGCAGTTACCCGCAGATTTGGAAAGCTTTGTAAGCAATGAAGTCGCTTCACTGTAAGTTGTCGCAAATGCCTAGTTTGATGTCCATTCGTTTACGTGTCTTTTTACTGTCTCTCACATGTCAATTTTATTGCAGTTGTGATGCTGATCCTCTTGTGTTGGCGCAGTACATCATTGCTCTCATTGGCACTGGCGAACGCAATGATGCTCTCAAAACAAGTCTTGAAAGCAAGCTGAATGAGTTCTTTGACGATCGTAAGTATGGACAATGAAATGGATGCCTCATCATGAAGCTCACTCGCTGCTGATAGAAACAATCCCTTTTATTGATCGCTTGTTTGCAAAGATGAATGAAGGCAACCCCACTGATAGCTCTGATGCTGCTGCTGCTGCTGCTGCTGCTGCTGCTGCTGCTACTACTGCTGCTGCTCCTTTGTCTTCTTCCACATCCAACACCAATAAAGAACGTTTCACTGATTTCTCAGATGATGAAGATGACGGTGATCGCAACTTTAAGCATAGACGCCAACGATCCCACTCGCCTGAAGAACAAAGTCGTTCCTACAACAAGCGTCGCTACGATGATGATAATGGCAGCTCCGCTAACTCAAAGTATCAACGCTATGATGACAGAAGATCTGACAATTCATCTGGAGGTTACAGCTCATCCATGTATGAACAGCGAGGTGGTCGAGGTGGTAGAGGAGGCATGCGTGGCCGCGGTGGATCAAGCATGAGCCGTGGACAAAACAAGCCTCAGTGTAGAGACTACAATGAAAAGGGGTTCTGTATGAGAGGCGATATGTGTCCCTTTGACCATGGCATGGATAGAATCATTGTGGAGGAGGGTGCGAATGGACCTTTCCCTGGAGGACCTTTCCCCAACAACGGTATGCCTCCCATGGGTCGTGGCGGACCTGGACAGCCTCCCTTCTTTGGCATGCCCGGTGTGCCTGATGCCTATGATCCCGAAAGAGCTGGATTGGTAGGTGGTCCTGATATGGGCGCTGCTGCTTTTGGTGGTATGATGCCTCCTCCCAACGGCCCTGATATGATGAACATGATGCGTGGCGGAATGCGTGGTGGACGCGGTCGTGGTGGACGTGGACGTGGAGGAAATCATGGAGGTTATCAGCGCCATCAGCTTCAAAACATGAACCCCCTCAACACCACATTGAATGTGGAAAAGATTCCTGTCGAGTTCTGTCAAATCTCCACCGTCAATGACTTTTTCGCTAAATTCGGTACCATCACCAACATCAGCGTTCAACCTCAGGCTCAAAAAGCCATTATTCAATACAGTACGCGTGCTGAAGCTGAGGCAGCATACAACTCTCCCGACGCCATCTTTGATAACCGTTTTGTCAAAGTGTATTGGTCAAAAGAAGATCCTACTGCACCCTTCAATGCTGACAAGCCCAATGCTGCTGCTGGCCCTCAAGCGGCTGTCATTGCTCCCAAGGTCAATGAACCTGATCCAGAGTTGGTAGCTGCCCGTGCTGCAGAAATTGCAAAAATCAGAGAAGAAAAGCAAAAGAAGCATCAAGAACAAATGAAGCACATTTTGGAGATCCAAAAGAAGCGAGAAACTCAATTGCAGCAACAAATTGATGAGCAAAAGAGATTATTAGCCAAGCTCACCAACAGTGCCAGCATGACTCAAACTGAAAAGGCTGAACTTTTAAAGGCCCTTAAGAATATTCAAAGTGATATCGATACCTCCAAGAATGCTGCTGCAAATGAAGCTGCTCAAGCCAAAGCAGTTGCTTCTACTAGTACTGAACAACCAGGCGCTGCTGCTGCTGCTGCTGCTGATGTGAAACAAGGTGGAGAAACCACGGAAGATTTGAAAAAGAAACTTGCTCGTCTAGAGGCTGAAGCAGCTAACCTTGGTATTCATGGTTCCGGGTTCCGTGGTGGCAGAGGTGGATATTACGGCGGTAGGGGCCGCGGTGGTAGTAGCTGGGCTCGCGGTGGTGGTCGTGGTGGCGCTGTGGCTCCCAGAACCATGAGTCTGGATAACAGACCTACCAAGATTGCCGTCAAGGATATTCCAGAGTCTACCAATGATGCCGAATTACGCCAGCATTTCCAGGTACGCTCGAGTTGGATGGATATGGCATGATGTGTATTAACTTTTTTTTTTTTTTTGTTGGCATGGATAGCAATTTGGTAATGTTACTTTATTCGAACAAAAAGATAGGGAAGCGCTTGTTCAGTATGCTCAGAGATTTGAAGCTGAAAAGGCCATGGCAGCAGGATCTCACTTTCCCAAAGGCGCCCTTCAACTAGACTGGTTCAACCAACAAACAACAGAGGGATAAGGAAAAAAAAATTATAGATCAAAAAGTTGAATTACATCTTTTATGTACATAACGGTATTCAACCCATAACTCTTTCTCTCTCTCTCTCACACACACACAACAGGATATCTTTTTTTCTCTTTCTTTTTAATATTATTCTATATACACAATGCTTTTTTCTTATCAAATTTGTATCATACAACCCTTTTTTTAACCTTTTTTTTTATTTTCTTTTGATTTTTTTTTTTTATTTCTTTTTTTTTTTGTGGATAATAGTAGTAATCTAATAAACATAGATTTTATACACATATCATTGCATGTAATAATAAGCATCTAAGCAGCATATTCTAATATCTCTTTTGGCTTGATAAATGCAAGCCAATCTGAGGCTGTGTTTGGTAATAATCCCATGGCATTCACCTTATAGACACCCAAAAGAATAGTAACGATATGTAAACCGATGAAGGTTAGCTTTGGCATTGTCAAATCCACTTTGGGTTGTGCTTTCCCTGTTGTTGTTGTGTCTGATTCAAAACGGCTAAAGGCTAGTTTTTACATATCATGAGAAAAACCTCGTTATTGAAGCAAAATGTAGATCTGAGTGCTTACTTTGTTGGGTTGTCATGATGGCTTTGACAGGATTAAAGAAGAGCATGGCGGTAACCATCACTGTAAAGATTTGAAGACTAGTGCCTGACATGTAAATCATGATGGCGTTCATGGGAATACTTTTAGCTGGGCCCATAGCGACATCCCAAGCTCTCTATCAACCCACGTAAGTCAATATCAAGATGTTGATTTGAGACTTGATTGAAACAAACCTTCATCTTAATGGCTACTTGGTTGTTATCTTGGTTTCCTTGACGACTGGATCTCTGCTCATGTACGTTGGTATTGCATGTTGTTCGCTATAAGCCGTTTCCATACCTCGTTTTTGGTGTATTTTTGCAAAGTGGATGGCTCGTAACCAACAGGGTTGGAGACTTTGGAGCTTCATGTAATGTCAGTAGGCCGAGCAGTAGAGTTCTAATGTACGCAATTACCTATTAGCTGTATTAAGAGACGCGTAGTCAACAGACCAGTTGGACATGTTTATAATGATGGAAAGAATAAGGTTGCAGTTAAACAGTGGGCAAAGCGAAATTTTATTTGGAAAACGAATATACGGAGATTGTATAAGAGAGAGAGAGAGAGAGAGAGAGAGACAGCATCACATTATCGCACCACACGGTTCAATCATGCCATAAGGACTATTGAGCTGATGGATATCAAGAAGACTGCAAATAGCACAGTAGCCGTTTTATGCTCTGTTTATGCTTGGCTATCTGTTTCGTTCATCTTGATAGTAGCATTGATTCCATGTATTCCAATATTGTTGGCATTGATTTTGTCAGCAAGTAGCCGCCAGTCAGCACGGTTAAAAGTCCGCCTCTTCCTCGTTCTTCCAGATTGGACAGATTTTGTCTTTTTTCGACTTGATTTAACTATTTTGCGAGATTCGACTATGTAAATCGTGATGATCGTCCGATGCTTTCTAATAGTGCCCCTGGTGGTAGGGCGAAGTGGTTAAGCATCCAACATGCCATCTGGATGATCCCGGTTCAAATCTCAGTGAATGCATTTTTGATGATTATTTTGACGTAGTTCTGATGTCCTCGTTTGATGTTTTGTGCTCTTATCCAGTATCCATATTTTGACGATTCGTATGATTGTATTGGCTCTAGGTGTCGCACCTGATTAGTAGTAGATTTCTTTCCCAACTTGGTTCATTATATATCGTATTCCCCATCATTGCAGACATTGGGCCCACCAACAGTCTCTTCTTTCCCTCAGTATGACATTTTAAGGACTTTAAATAAAACCTGGAGCTCGTCTCCCCTACAAAAAAAAATGTTTCCTAATACGCTCTTGAAGTACTTTTCAAGGCGCATCCAATGGTACCAAGTAAGACAGATATTTTGAATAAACTTGTTGAATAATTTACGAAAATATGAAAAGAGGTTTCTGGCCAAAAAGTCAAAATTTTACATATCAAAGTCCTACAAAGATGATTTCAGCGGTTACGCTAGATCGATAGGAACATTTTGATTCAAGATATACCATAGTAAAAGTCTTCGTTATCAAGGCGAAAAATGCGATCGTTTGATTTTTGATAAAAAACCATGAGGAGTACCTCATGCTTTTTGGTCGATTTTTGACCATCTTTCTTTGGTCCAAAAAAAAGTTGAGTAAAGGTATCTGCAAGTAAATGCTAGACGAGAGCAATTGTTTGATGCTATTCTGGCATTCTAAAACAGTTTTTAACACGAGAAATCACTACTCAAATGCACCTAGTAGTAGACTTTGCTGTGTTTTGCACACTTTTGAATAGTAGTAAGAGGTAATGCAAGTGTGCTGTCGGCCTATGTATAAATTGTTCCCAACAACAATGAGCTACTCTGACCAATTATTTAATTTGAACTATCTAGTTATTACGGATCACTGATCAATTAAACTTGATAAAATTTGTGGACTCAACGTGTCAAAGACTGTCTACTACTAATCTACCAGTCGAAAGCGTTTCCAATCGTTACTCCTTCTTTTAGTATTTAGAAATGTGTTGCTAATCAGCCTTCCCGTCACATTCAGAATGAGCATCCATCATCTATTGAAATATCGCTTACTATGCGAATGGTTTTTGTTCTAAACCATGATATAGTTCACAAGAAGGAAATGTATATATAATGTATTATTATTATTTATTAACGTAGCATGTAAAAAGTAGTAGGTTGTAAAATATTCCATCTAAAAACGATGCGCTAGTAATAGAAACCTTGAGCAAAGGCGAGACCAACGACAGCCAAACCGAGAGCGTAGAAAGTCAAGGAGTAGACCAAACGAAGGTAGCGGTGCTCGTAAGAAGCCTCAACGACAAAGTAAACAAAAGCAAAGGCCACAAAGATCCAGGCGATGATCATGACAGCATAAGTAGAAGCGCGAGCAAATGTATTCAAAGTCAAGACGGAAAGCAACATGAGGACAAGATCACGCAGCATATCATGAGCACGGTTCAAGCGGTTAAAGACATTGACAGACCAAGCGGGAGCAGCGAGAGGTTGTGTCTTTTGGTGATGGGTACCAGTAGTAGCTGTGGTACCAGCGACACCGCCAGCTTCGGGATCAGTGACAACGTGGTTGGGGTCATTGTTCAAGCGAGAACCGTCATTAGCAGCAGCCATTTGAGCACTGGATTGGATCGTATGGATATGAGTGGACCCAGAATCACCACCAAATGCATTACGAATAAACCAAGCTAAACCCCAGAATACCCAGAGTGTCATGAAGGCAATCCAAGTGACACGAACGTGCCAGTCGGTGAGGAAGTTTTGGATGGGTAGAAGATCTTGAACAATTTGACGGTCCATAGTAAACAGAAGCGTGTAGATGCAAACTTGATGAAAAAGCGGATTGAAATGCATGGTTTTTGCTCCAGCTTTTATACACGTTGCATACCCTTACCATTGAAAGCAGAGATGTTTTAGGTCTTGTGGAAGCCTTTGGAACATCAGTTTTAGGTTGCAAGACATAGAGAGGTGTTTCTGATTTACAACAGTGTCCTCACAGGCATTGTGAACACTACCGCTTGGTTTGAGTCATTTGGATTTATCTCTCCATCTCTATTTAATCTACTACTCTATATCCATTGTATCAACTCTACGTTCAACCATAACTATATTATAATCACAAGCATTGAATGTCTCATAACGTAATAATGAACCCTAGTTTTTTTCGCGCACTTTGTTGATTTGATTTGATCTGATTTGCCTTAATGATTACAGTTTGGCTACTTCTAATATGATTACGTTGAAACAGATCAGACTGACTGACACTTGGCTAGTTATTCTCAACCAAATGCTCGATATCTGTTTCTGTATACGCTGTAGTCAAGACATCATCACCACGCAATGCTTTGAGGACGATCAAAGCACCCTCTTTGGAGCACACCTGGTTTTGTTCTGAGCAAAACGTTAAATGGACACCTTAAAGAAAAAAAAAAAAAAAAAAACTGAAACATGAGATCAATGAATTCCACAGCCATCATAAAAACTCACATGAAGGACATCCGGAATCACAAGTGCAAGCTTCGATTTGATTGATGCAGGTGTTGATGAGACCATCAAAAAATTTGAAGGCTTGTCGTACCACACCACTGGGTTGTGTCTCATACAAAGCAATTCTAGCAGGCCGTTTTCTTGATGCGTTGGAATTCTTGCATTCTGTGCGTAGATCCACAATGGCAGAGTAAGCAAATCGAGGTAGCAATGAGATCAAGCAATGAGCTACGAAAATCACGTCAACTCCAGCCAGCATATTTGCTAAAATCATCGCCACTTACATGCTGCATGAATGGCTGCCATTGGATCTATGTTCATGAAATCCAACTGCTTCAATGCCGCACCGGGAGCATCTGCCCATACGCCAGTAGACTCTATAATGATGGGATCCATATACACGTCATGTGCGTCAATAATTCGATTTCTCTTATCAATCCTGTAATAGCCAAACACAACAGTAGATACTGTCACTTTGCCGAACGACACTGTATTCCTTGTGTCCAGAATATGCTTGGTAACGTCTGTGCTGAGAGCATCCACATTAGTATAATCCCGTTGAATGGTAGTCCAGTCCACCCTTGCCAAATGCACTTTGCTGTATTTCTTGTCAATGTTGCACTCTTCTACCAGGTATGTTCTTCCTTGGTGAATAAATATGGCACCTTCATAGATTTCAAAGCCAACCCGATGCACTTCAATCTCTTCCAACACAACGTTCCTGCCATCAGTTACGTCTACAACAGCAAATGAGTCCTCGTTGATATTTCGAATATTGACATATTGTGATGGGTAAGGTCTAAATTTGGGATCTGGCCTGTATAGCTATATATATATATAAAAATAAAAAAAAAAGGTGTGAATATCGCATCGTAGCAAAACGTTGAGCTGACTTACTTGGTTGCCAATAGGTGCTAAATGTTCCTCGCAGAGAGTGGGCAGCTTTTCACCAAAATACTCTTGATCCTCAATAGCATGAATAGGTTCTTCTTCAGCAGCACATTGAACATGGCTCTCAATTACAATAGAGTTTTCAAAATTGATAGACAGTGTATCGGGTAATTTTACAAACAATTCCTCGGGGTGGCGCTACAGCAAGTGCTCAGTGATACATTGAGACATACACAGCAACAATACACTTACAGCATAATGTTGGTCTAATGGGTTTCCATCACACACGACCAACGACAGTGAGTCTGCGTTTCTCCGGCCAGATCTGCCTGACTGTTGCCACAAGGCAGAAATGGACCACGGCACACCTATCATCAGCACCGCATCCAAGGACCCAATATCCACACCCAGCTCCAAGGCATTGGTTGCAATGATGCCCAGCAGCTCGCCATTGAACATTTGGCTTTCAATTTTTCTCCTGCTCTCTGCTGTGTATCCACCACGATAACTCATGACCCTATTCATAATGTCCTTTCGTTGCTTTCGCTGCAGATTCTCCCTCAGCTGCTTCATCAACAGCTCACAGCTTTTTCGCACTTTACAGAATGCAATAGTACGGACGTTGTTCTCCAACAGATACTCCAAGATATCTGCTCCTTCTGCAATGGCTCCTCTACGTTCTGATTGCTCGTCGAGTGGTGTGTGCAAGGATGGGTTCCATACAATAAACTCCTTTTTGCCGTGTGGCGCACCATCCACATCAATCAGCTTGACATTGTCAATGCCAAAAACAGCTTTCATGTGCTATTTGAATCTGGTCAGTTGACGACATATCAACCGTAGTCAGCCAGGATCTTGCCTTGTCTGGACTTGCAATCGTCGCACTGCAAGAGATAAACTGGACGTGGTTGTTGCCAGCTAGACGGCATAGTCGCCTCAATCTTCGCATGATTAGGGCAACATGTGTGCCAAAGAGACCGTTATACACATGTAGTTCTAAGCGTCAAATGGCTGAGCATGTCGTCATATACGTACCATTGGAAGCCCTTACCATCCACGACCACGTACCTTAGTTTGGCAAGAAAATGTCTCCATAGCTTGGCATTGGGTAATACGGCGTGATGCAGCATGTCAGGATTTGTGAATATGACGTTTGCATACTTTCTAATGTAGGACCGTTGGTCATTTGGCGTATCTCCATCAAATGTGGATATCTAGCAAATTCAGTCAGCAAGTCCAAAACTTGGCCAACATGCCATGTGTCAATCCATACCATCACGTCTTCCAAATCTGGTATCTGCTGTATGAAGTCCTTCAAGGCACGCATTTGATCTTGTGCAAGTGCTTTGGTTGGAAATATGTACATGGCTTTACTTGATTTGTCTGTCAATAGCTCCTCCAAAACAGGTATTTGATAGATCAGCGATTTGCCACTGGCTGTGGATGTGGATACAATGACGTGATGTCCTTCATAGAGACCCTTGATAGCCTCTGTCTGATGCACATACAGCTGGTGAATGCCCTTTTCCTCCAACGCGGCTTTGATCGGGTGTGATAGCTCAATGTCGTCGTATTGTGGTGATTTGGCATCAAATGTCCTCATGTTGTGAGTCTCATCCTCCAGTTGGCCGCCGTAAAAGTAGAGAGATTTCATCCCCTGAATCAGCTCGGGTATCGTCTCTGGCTGGGAGGAACCTGTCATCAGTCCAGTATCAATCTCTTCAAATGGATCCTCTTCGCCCAAGTAGGGAATGGGGATGTGTTTCTCTCTTTCATACAACAAGTGCTGCTCTACATCCAGTTTCTGTACGCAACAAAAGCCCATTTGCATTAAAACTCATTCCACAGCACATCGTCATGCGCAGCACGATAAGGATACACAAAAAAAAACGTTACCTTGTCCTCACAATACTTTATGAACTTTGCCAATGCCTTATCAAACATCTTGCTCTGCTGCTCTATCAGCTTCTTCACCGCATCCGGCTTAACTGGTTTGGGCGCACTTTCATCTCTGTTCTTACTACTGCTGAATCCTTGAAACCAATCATCGCCTCGATTGCCGATCGCCTGTGCATGCTTTTGTTTGGATTGTCGCTTGCTAGCAGGTCTTCCAAACTCGATTTCGAGCAGGTCGTTCGAGACATAATTGAACTTGACAAAATGCGGTACAATGGCATTGATGGAGGCTAGGTCTTCGACTGTCAGATCCGTCACTGCCTTTTGTAGACCTTGCAATGTCATGGACGTTGTCAGTCTGGCATCACAAAATGCGCAAAACACATTGAGTCTTTCAAACTTGCTCTGCAACTCCTGTAAACATGATGTTTTGGCCCTTTTCGATGACGAAGCTGCATCTTGCTGATCTGTGGTGCTTTTAGATCGTTTCGGCATGGTATGTGTAAGGAAAGTGAAAAGAGTGAATTTTTCTTCGATATGAAAAATGTCCAAATTTGAAATGCTGTTCAACCCGATGATTGGACAAGTTGTGTTTATCCTGGTTTTAAGGGGGGACAAAACCATGATCCACTGGCACACTAACTAATCCTGGATACCAAGTTCTTTTCCAACGTAGGTGACATTGATCACGACGCCATCTTAGATTTTCGTTTAATTTAATCACTATCGGAACAAGATGATGGTACCCAAGAGCAAGATAACAAGAAGAAGAAAAGGCGTGCTCTTCTTTTACCATAATTAAAAAAAGGAGGCACGGCATTTCAGAATGCACAAAAAACGTGGACAAGTGTTACATGTACGACAGCAGAATGAAGTATAAAAATAGACTGGATGTTGTAGAAATATAAAAGAGATTGCGTCTTTTTCTCTTTTTTTTTCCTCCCTCCGTCTTTCTCTTTTCTTATATACACTTGACATGAGCAGCTACAATCATCGTTTCTCCATCAAAACCGACTCAAATGATCAACAAACATTGCAATATCTCTCCGCTGCCTGTATAGCTCAATGGGTCCAACAAAAGCCAAGTGCAAAGGCAATCATGACCTTGGATGATGGAGATACCATCAACTTGCCTGTGTATGCTCTCAGACGTAGAAATGCCGTCGTTGCTCAGTTGCCAGATGCCCCTCTTATTACTGCTTAAATCAAGATACCATCCCATCGCATCTATCCGTTCACTTGAACACACACATATATTTATAGACTACCCAAAAACTAGACATTTGCTTCCATTTCATCATTTTATTCATAAATAAACAACTCTGTATTTTTATCCAACCTAGAAACTTTCCACAATACCCATATCGATGTTCTTTTTCTTCTTCTTCTTCTTTCTGTGCTCATGTCCATCTTCACCATCATGTTCATGGCCATGTCTTCTCTTCTTCTTCTGCTCGGTCAAATTGAATTTAATAAAAAAAGAAAGACGGGGATTAGTTTCTCGACAAGATTTACCTTTTTCTTGTGCCTTCTTTCACCATGATCTGCATCTATAGTAAGCAAAGTGTTAAGGTTGTCACTTTGAGCACGGATGACCGTTATTTGTTGATTACCATGGCTTTGTCCATATTGGTCTCCTCCTCCTCCAACGTATGTTGATATGTATCCATTTCCTCCGGTATTATTGCCAGTGTCATCGGTTCCCAATATCGAAGCATCAAACTAAAAAAAATCGCCTTGTTCATCAGCATGATGCCTAACAGCGTTCTCTTTATCGAATATACAACATACGCCTGGTACTGGTCCCTCTTTCAATGAAAACGCGTCTCTCAATGTCTCTGCATCCAATGGTCGAATCTCGGGCCCATTCTCTACAGCTTGTGGATCTCGTAATAGTCTCAACAAATAACCATCCGGTTCCATATCCATTCGGCCTGTAAGCGTAAGATATTGATAAACTCTCGTGATGATCTCGAACGAATAATGTGCGTTTTCTTACCAGGCAGGTCTGAAATATATGGAAACAGTGTTGGATTCAAACCTGCTGCTCGATTAGGCGGTGGATATGGTTTCACTATCTTGTTATATATGGGTATGAGGTTGAAGTACGTCAGTAAATCTTGGCTTCCTATCAGTGTAGGTGCTTTTTTGGTTTCGTTGGCCATGATGTCGAATATGGTGGATAGGGAAACAAAGAAGAAGGTGAAAAGAAGAAGAAAAAAAAAAAAAAAGACCGTTAAAGCCAAATTTTCAATCATAACCTTCTGGAGGGTGTATGTAGAATTGAACGGTCTGCTTTATTGGATCTATGCCCTACCATCTTGCTCAGCCAGAGCTAAAGAATGCCATAAGCATCAAAAATGAAAACCCCCCAACGTACATTAATGCTTGAAGCAAAGAAAATGCAGCGTGGAATTGTGGTATGTCCAGACTACAGCAGCAGCATCTATTTTAGCTTGAGCGTTTAAAAATGATGACTGAAATACATTCAATGATCCGTAAGTTCACTATGATAGTTTTATTACAACTTTGATTCACAAACATCATTTGGGTTGAATGATTTAGTTGGCTAGATTTGATGAATACATTTCAAAGGTGTTGGTAATGCAATACGTCTCTGAACTCTCAATTGATTGCAATGTTTTTTTTTTCTAAAATAAAGAGGCAATTAAAGACTAGAAGCTACCCTGCCAAAGCCTCTTTGGCCATCATTGATTATTTGGTTGACGAGAGCTCTCGCTTATCTAAAAAAAAAAACCCTCAATTAGAAAAGGGTAAATAGCAAGTTTTAACGTCTAACGAAAATAAGAAATTTTAACAAAAAAAAGAATTGCCTGCTAACAGAATCGAACTGTTGACCTTCTGCTTACTAGGCAGACGCTCTGCCAACTGAGCCAAGAAGGCATGGATGCTTGAATGGCTCACTTGGTTAGAGCTTCACGCGGAAGCAGTGAGTATGCCGAGAGGTCGTGGGTTCGAATCCCACCTTCGCATCCATATTTTCCGCCTTTCTAACCTGGCATGTTACTCGGTATTTGTGCTTGCACGTTTAGGTGTGCTGCGGTGCGTCTGGCCGGTTTCTACCTTGAGTCCTGTTCGTCTCCCCCGTCTTGCGGCGTGGCCATTGCCATTCTTCCTTCTGTTTCTCCTCCTCTCTGGTGGGTTTTGATGCCGTTTACTTTATTGGTCCCCTCCCTTTAGCAGCTTCCCTCAACCTTTAATTTAAAACATGCTTTTTCCCGCCGAATCACTGTTAGTCTTGCAATTTTATGATCATACCGATTCCGCAGTTGACTACATTTGTAAATAAATAAAAACCAATATTAAACTGAGCCAAGAAGGCAATTTTGTTGAAAATGCAACCAAAATAGCGTACACAATCTGATAACCACATTTTTTGCCGCCCCAGATTACAACTTTTATGCTATTTCTTGCGTATTTTTCAGAGAAAGTTCGGTTAATATACCTCTAACCGATATTAAAAGAATTCAATTAGGGATTGAAGGTGCGGTGCGAACATTTACTGTTTAAATGGATGTCAGGAAGACGCATTTGAATTTAAATCAGGAAGAAAAACACGTTGTATTGTAGTATGGTTCAGTTACAAGAAAACATGATAGGAGATCTTCTAAATCATAAAAAATCAAAAAATGCATTCAAATCCAACATAAGGAAACAGTAGATAAAAACTCTCAGTGTAAACGGATAAGCACTTGCCAAGATTGAACATGGAGAGGAGAAATTATTAGTGATAGCTACCGTATTCAGTCACAATTCCAAGTAGTATAGTCAATAAATCTGATATATTATTATTCCCTTATTACCTTTATACAGGGTAAGGCTATCTTGTTGCAATCGTAATAACACCCCTAAAATACTTTACAAGACGTCCCAGTATCTATTTAAAGAACAACGTACAAAAATCGTCATTGAAGCTACTTGACCACTCTACCGATTGTAATGAAATAGCCACCCAAACGCAACTTAATTGAAAACCAAAGTTCATCAAATAGCACTCATTCAAATTCATGCTATTTGGATCTATTAATGAAAGCGCTCAAATGTACATCAAAAACCCATTTAAAAATACTAAAGTAAAGATACACGCTTATATCGCACATCGTGTGAATGAATCACTCCTGATCACAGTGTATTCAATCACACCCATGATGGTCGTAATAGGTGAGGGTATCTTTATCCAAATAAAACCAAATCAATAACAAGCATATTCAAATATGACAACTATGCCCTGCTGCCATAGTTGCACAATATCCCAGATAAAGGATTCCATGCTTCAATAACAAACATCACACTTTAAACCATCAAGGTTACATTAAATCATGCTATGACGATAGCTCACCCAAGCCCATCAAGGTTACTCAAATCGGCCCTTATGGCCAGTGCTCCTGCATTGATTACCACTTTAAATCAAACATCAACAACATTTGCCAGATATCGCAATAGCAGCACCTATTGCTCTCTATCATCACTAATCCTACAAGCCAGATGCAAATGTATAAATACTCTTCTTTTTTTACTCAATTCCAGAATCTTCAGTTCATTTTATACACAAAATAAAATACAGTTGATTTCTATTGTATTTTACCTTTGCTTTATTTTTTTCGTGAAATCCATTAAACCTGATTTCACTGCACCGATAAAGTAAATTAGCTTGTGAGGTTCAGTTAAGTTAAAGCTGTATTTCCCGTATTATGTTGTATATCAGTGTCAAACAAAATACTTATAGCTAATGTAACGGTTGCTAATACATAAAAGAATCAACATAATTTCCATAATAGCGTTCTCTGGCCGGGAAATATGCATACCCTCAATTAGAGCATATATTAAAGTTGAAGGAAGCAAACTACAGCTGCCTACTAGCACTAAAAGCAAGATTTAGCAACATGTCAAGTGTTCCTAGATAACTTAAAACCAACAAGTTAATATGGCCCTTTTCGTACACCCCGATTTTAAATACGTCTTCCCAAATTCATAGATACGAGGCATACACATGCGGAAGCTTAACGGAGCTTCAATTTCTATTGTTCTGAATGATGATCTATGGGATTCCGAAATCTATCGACCATAAAATTACGCGTTTCTTGATAGTAACCACCCCTTCAAACTTATATGAAACTTGTAGAAAATTGCAAGGAGAATACAATGGTATTTATATTAAGTCTCTGGTATACATTGTTCACCTGATATTTAATGAGATAAATTTTGCCATTTTTTCACTGTTTTCTTAAGACTGATCTGTATCTGCCATCAAAACATTTTGTTAAGCATTACTAAACATTGTAGACCAAAAAATTTCCTATCGAATGAGCTATAGCTTAAAGCTCTGACATAACTCTATCCTGCAATATTGGCAATGTTGTCCTGACCAAAAAATTGTCACCAGATTTTTTGCTTGCTATCACAGGCAGATTTTGAAGGAAAATCGATGATTTTGCATGATACCCTTTTTTGACCATATCTCGACAAATACTCACTGGATTCACACAAAACAAAAACCATTCAATAGCTCTACGTTATATTCATTATAACATGAGCGTTTTAAGTACCAGGTGTACGTTCCTTTCATAAATTTGCTCAAAATCATATATTTTATGAGCTACAAGCAGGGGAAATTCAATTTATTTATTTATTTATTTATAATAATTATACCGTCGTATAGAGAATTGAAAAAAAAACATAAGCCATTAAGCTTGAAGCTCTCGATCACTTAGTAAAATCCAGCTGTATTATGGCCCTTTGAAAATCGGTCATTTTGAACATTTTCCGTCATTACTCATTGACATCGCCCTCAATAACCCCACATCAAGCATGCCCTACTCAGTCAAAGTACCCTCTACAACTTTTATTGCACATACAGCCTACATTTGTATAATATTCTAAAAAACTTTACTAGCAGCATCTATTCAAAATTAGCCATTTTCAAAAATCATCAATTTCTCAACAACCATGCTATCAACGTTAATTTCGCTCGCACCATCGTCATCTGGACAGGAGCGTGGTTTCAAATTAATCAAAACTCCGATATTTGGGTTTCAAATATTTTCCGCCAATAAAAATACTGCCCTGGAATATCATTGATGGGATTTTAAAGGAAACTCAAAGAAATGTATGCAGTTTATGACGCCCGGAAAGGTATGCATTGCGGTACATCGTAAAATGTGAAGTAACTATCCTAGTTATATTAGTGTTTGTCCCAATGTTTTACTTACAGAAAGATGTGAATTAAAGTAAACAATCATGAATATTAGTTTGAAGCTAGATTTTATTGACACGATGTTCACAAAAAATTTAGAAAGATACGAGAACCAGCGTCCTGAGCAAGATGAAGGTTCTCTTTACCCAGTATGCTGCTAAATAAAGTTTGCTAATCCTCTACTTATAGTATTCTATCAACCTACTATAAGGCAATCGCAGATGCTTTTGGCATTGGGTCGTATATTAAAAGAAAATTTAATGTTGGTTTCTAAATGGCGAAGATAAAAAGGATGAACCACAATTGACAACGTTGATGGAAGAAAATGCAACGAGGATAACAGTTTAAAAAAATTGACTATCAAAGCCGACACTTTATTTGCTCATCAAAACCTTACAAGAGCTGTCTCCTTTCATATCTTCAGGACCATGTTTCTTTTGAAACACCTAATTGCCCAGCATCATATGACAGAACTGTAGCAAAGCCTGAAGAACCAGCATCGTATTCGTCTCATGGACAGTTCGATACTGAATGCAGGGCTATGAAAAGGCGAAATCGATAGATTCTCCATTGACAAAGTTGCTTCTTATCAGATTTTTTTTTCGCTTTTATAGAAAGGCTTGCATTTCTTGACTTCAGCATGCTTTTCATTTAATATTGAAATACCACTGCGATTACTCCCCTCCCCCTTCAAGCAGCGGTGATTTGATAACTGTTAAGATTGAGCGTTTCATCTTTCCAAAGGTATGGTTCTTTTTGAAATGTCTTCTATCTTTCGCGCCCTAGTTCAATACATGTACACAAGGCCAAGAGCTAAAGATCCAGCAACCAATATCAAACAAGAGCAGCACCAGGTCAATGCAGATGTGGTTATGAGAGAGATGGCCTTACCAAGAGAATGTAAGTCTTACCTGCGCTCCAATGTCAATAGAGCTTTACAGACCAACACGACCTGTCTTGGCGATAGAACTACATGCTATGCCACTGTCAATACGTTGTGTGGGGCAGAAAGCAATCGAGTATAAGTGAAAAAAAGAAGTCAATGAGAAGTACGCGCATTTAAATTAGTGAAGCCTATACCCAGAGGGTGATAAAAATCATATAGAAGCTCATTGTTCCTCGATAGATGAGTACAATGATGACGATTACGAATATAATTGTCCCCCGTGTACTATCCAACTAATTGATTTGAGCTCGATTTTGGACCATTGCAAACCAGTTTATGATACGATTCAAACAAAAACATCAACACCAAGGCATGTTCTTTTCAGAGCCAAATGCTGCTAGCTCTAATGTATACTGCCTGTTCTGCAAAGGAGCCTGTGGAGATGTAGCATTGTACAGACATATTACCGCGAGTTACATGGCAACAAGTTCAGCAAGTCAGGTACAGATGCCAGTGTTATACCTGGTCAAACGGATATGAAAAACTATTGGAATGCATGTGATACACCATTTACAGCAAAGGAGAGCTACTGGAGTCATTGATACTTTGTTCATAGTACTGAGTGTAGACTTTTCAGGCAGAATATCAACCAACTGAAAAGTCAGATATTTAAGATCCCAACAGTTACTATCATGCGAGCGGCAAGTACTATATTCTAAATCATCTTACAGGTGTCCTCTTAGTTCGATCCACCTCATAGTGCAACCAAATAAAAATAGAGGTAGCGTTCTTCCAGATGTAACTGATCTTTGCCATCACTGTGGTGTGTGTTAAAAAAGCTTTTCAGCTAAAAGTAAACACCGCTATCATCTCAAGGAACAGCATCTATGGTTCTGGAGCGATCAATCCACCGTAGAAATCCTAATATACTTCCTGATTCACTGGACCTGAGCCTTTATTACAGAGCTTGCTAAAAGGCTTATGTGAATTCACGTTCATACGGTCATCATTGTCAATATATTCATCTGATGAAATTGAGATGTAAAATCAGAGCATAACGCACCATAACAGCTACCAATAACAATGAACCCTACCGTAGCAGCGATCAATGATTTATTGTTTTGAGATACCAAATTCTATGCAGCTCTAATCTCACAGATGTCGGCAAATTACCAAGCCAAGCAGTATCGCGCAAAGCTAGTATAGCTGCTAAAGAGTAAGACGATACAGTCTATCTTTCACAGTGCTACCAATAAATATAGTTTTAAATCGCAAGATATTTCTTCTACAAATTCATGAATTCTCAAGAGAGTCAGATCTTTGTGCTAGTCAAAGCTTATCTTTATTCAGGCTAATCATCTACAACTTTGTATCTGGCATTTGATACATTAAAGTATGACTTCTCTGACGAAATGTTACCTGCTCTAGCCACATTATAACCATTGAGCACTACTCACAGCATGTCAAACTTATTAGAAGTCATCAGTAAGTAGCTTTTAGCTTTTATCTACAGGTCAAAGAACGTACACAAAAAGAGATCCAGCGTGTGATAAACGGATGAATTCTTGATCTGCATGAATGAACCTGGAGATGCCTGCTCCAGACAGTCACTTTTTTTTTTATACATTGGAATAAGCATGCTTTTGTTCCTACATATTTCTTTCCAACATGGCATCGATTAGAAAAATAGCAGCTGTAGTAGGCAGCTCTGGCATTGGAAAATCTAAGCTGGCTGTTGAGTTATGCAAAGCGCTTACTGGTCAAGTTATCAATGCAGATGCTTTACAGGTATAATGTGGAAGCAGAACAATCAAAAGTGAAGGAAAACTTATATGTTTTATTCGACGTCAAAAGGTCTACAAAGGCTTGGACATTATCACCAACAAAATGCCCATGAACGAAAGGGAAGGCATCAAGCATCATCTGATGGACTTTTTGGATCCAGAAGAAGAGTATAAAGTGACCTCCTTCTTAAGAGATGCCTCACAAAAGGTAAGGCTGTTCATGACGCTGAAAAATGTACATGCTCATGTGAGGTTTACATTAGATTGAATTGATTGCAAGCAAGAATGAACTGCCTGTAGTGGTGGGCGGCACCAACTACTACATTCAATCTCTGCTTTGGAACAACACAACCATTGGCGATCATCGTAGCTCTTCCCCTGAAGTAGAGGACAAGGATCTCGAGTTCCCAGAATTTGACTTGCTGGAGACAACTGAACTATACGATCGCCTAGCCAAAGTCGATCCAGTCATGGCAAACAAGTGGCATCCATCAGATCGTCGAAAGATATTGCGTAGTCTGAGAGTGAGTAGTCTCGGTATGTATAGCATGTGCAAATGCTTACGGATTGAGTAATAGATTTTTCACCAAACTGGACAACCACAGAGCGAAATCATCAAATCACAAAAAGATCATTACGAAGCACATGGATTGGAACCGAGATATCAAGCTCTTGTGTTTTGGATATATTCAGATCCTACAAAACTCAATCCTCGACTGGATGCACGAGTGGATCAAATGATTGATACAGGCTTGTTTGACGAGATCAAGGATTTACGAAACCACGTTGTGCAGGGCAAGATTAAGATGCCTGGGATCGAACTAGAGAAATACCAGAGAGGCCTATGGCAGGCAATAGGATACAAGGAGTTCGACCCTTATTTTGAGGCATTGGAAGGGGGAAAGGATGCAGCAGAATTACAAAAGATCAAATCTGATTGCACAGAACGCATGAAAGCAGCTACTAGAAGATATGCAAAATCGCAAATCAAATGGATCCGCAACAAATTATTACCGACATCCTTAAACTCAAAAGATAATCAAGTCGTTGTCTATTGTCTAGATGCAGGCAGTAAGTACCGGCCATGTGGGGATTTATAGAGAGCAGTAGTTGATGGATGTCATTTTGCTAGATCTAGAAACATGGGACGAAAATGTCAAGGAAAAGGCTGTGGAGATTGCAAGGGCGTTCCAGACGGGCCAGCCTCTACCAGAGCCAAAAAGCCTCAGCGATGTTGCAGATACCATGTTGAGTTTGGAACAACAAATGAAAGAGTAATGTGTGAGACAAAATCAGTGAAAATGTTGGATAATTGTCTGATAGGAGTAACGTCATTTTGTAGCACACAAACCAAAATTTTGACCTGGAACAAGCATATTTGTGAGACATGTAAAACTGATCAAGGGGAGCCGCTGGTGTTGAACGGAGATAAAGAATGGGAGCAGCACAAAAAGAGCAGATATCATAGAAAGTATTTAAAACATCTAAGAGTGGAAGAGATGCGCAAGGCCTATTTTGCCTCGAAACAGGCGGCAGAAGCAGCAGGAACCAACACAACAGAATAAATTGTAATTTACGCCATGCTTCCTGTTTCATCCTCAGATCGCAATCTAGATGCAGATCTTGATGGGATTTTTACCAGAATGCGTGAATGTTGAAATGTTTGTTTGTTAACTTAAAGTGTATATATGGCAATCATTGGCCTGGTAGACTCTTACATATAGGGAGTCTGCTTTATCTTGCTTGATGAAATGAGTGGATCATGATTTCAATTGCAATGCTCACCTACTAAATCGAGCCATGAAGCTACCATGTCAGTCTGCCATCAGGGGGGGGGGGGCAAAGGCATGGAATGAACTAACTCATGGAAATTGCCATAGAAAGTCCACTCTCACAAAGTCCAGATCAGAGTATGCGCAATCTATTCTTTAAGTGTCATACAAAAAGAGTGGCCAGATGTTTAACAGAGTATAATTTAACATTTTTCAATAAGCAAGGTTCTGGTATATTTGGATCAGTTTTTGAAATCGAGTTTTGAGCGTCTGAAGAGAGATGGGGTATTTTACAAATCCTATAGCCTTGTAGAACACCATCAAATATTATCTTTGCGGCTAGTAGAAAAAAACGAAAATTTGCAATCTTAATTTGAGGTCAGTTGAAAGTTGTGAAAATCGATGCGATTCTGCGCAAAATCCGATTTGGGATGTGATTTATCGATTTCACAGGGTGCTGATTTGTAACTCTAGCGACTTTTTTTGGTATCATATAGTTTAGTTGGGCCAAGATGAAAGAGCTAAAATGTGGATGAAATCATGGACATCTCCTATTTCATACTCTTCTTTCTTCTCTATTAGCATTTTTACAAATTAGACAAAATCTTAAACCGTGCAAATCTCACTTTATTGTAGCAAACCCATCCTTTGTATCTTATTGTGAGTTGGTCTATATATTGAATTCAACTGTAAACGAGATATAATACATGACAGCGATGCCATTTTATCTTGCTGGTATGCCATAGAACACTTACTCACATTCTTTATATATTCGCAAGTCCAATTAACTGTCAGTTCATCTACAACAATTAGGATTTATCACAAACAACCAATTTTATAATTTAAGCAATACAGTAATCACAACAGACAGACAGGTAAAAATAAAACTTCTTTAACGTTCTGCGAGACACCATCGATCCACCTCATACCCCATTCCATGTCCCTCTCTCTCTCTCTCTCTTTCTCTGTTTTTCCTTTTTCCTTTCTCTCTTTCACCTCACGCTTTTTATCCACTTGACCTCTGCCTTTTTGTTTCCCTACACAACTCGCTTGCATGTTATAGCCACTGACACTAACATTCAACATCATTAGAAGATCAAACAATGGCTCAAAATCCACGCGGCACTCATAATCCATCCAATCTTAGCAGAAAAAGACCTCTCGCCAATGAACATCCAACCACGCAACATGAATTTGTCGACAGTAATCCCCTGGGTATCCAAACTAGCAATATAACCAATTCTAGCAACAAACCATCATCTAGTACCAAGAGAAAGAGGCAGCAACCTCTTGCGGCAGTGCCTACAGCTGCTGTTGCTACAAGTAGCGATAGCAGCACCAGCAACACCATCAGCTCCAGCAATGTGTATATAAACCTCCCTCACAAGATGCCATCTCAACGCAGTATTCCAGCCTTTCTTCACAAGCTATACAAGTATGTTCTTACCTCTATCATTTTTTTTTTGGGAAACAAGCCTTGAGCTTTATAGATACTCCATTGTGAGCAGGTGGATAAGTGGAAGAGGGGGGGGGAGGGTATTTAAAAAAACAAAAGAAAGGAACGGAAAGAAAAAGAACAGGGAAGAAAGATTAAGAAGAGCACGGAACCTTTATATATTCCACACTTGGAGAGGCCATCTCTTGATAATGTAGTTGTTAACACGCTTTATTCCTCTTTAGCATGGTAGGAGACCCCTCTACGGATCCATTTATTCGATGGTCTGTTGACGGCAATTCATTTTTAGGTAAGTCTTGAAGGAAATCTCGATTAGATCTTTGATACAAGAAGGTTCCAACTCATTCTTTTGTTTTTTTTTTCCAATTTGTCTAGTGGAGGACCACGAGGAGTTTGCGCGGCTTATTCTACCCCGTTTCTACAAGCACAACACCTTTGCCTCATTCGTCCGCCAGCTAAACATGTACGACTTTCACAAGGTGCCTCATTTGCAACAAGGCGTGTTGCTGACTTGCAACAGCAATCCCAGTGTCGAGATTTGGGAGTTCAGCAGCCCTAATTTCCAACGAAGCCGTCCGGATCTTTTGATACTGGTTACACGAAAGCGAAATCGAGATCGCCAAGAAGGGAATGCAGATTTTGCCAACTTGGGCGCGTTGGTTAAGGAGATCTCTGCCATCAAAAAACACCAAACCAACATTACGGCTGACCTTCGAAACCTTCATCACGATAATGAAATTATTTGGCAAGAAACACTCGCTGCTAGAGAGAAACACCAAAAACACCAGCAAATCATCTCCAAAATTATGCAGTTTCTCACTGCCGTCTTCTCCAATGATCACACCCTGTTGACTAATCTTACGAACCAGGAGACAGTGAATAGCAATCAACAGCCTCAACAACCAGCAGTTGAAAACAGCAAGCATCACCACGGCCATAAGCACTCACATAGTAGCAGTATCAAGGGCCTCTCGAGATCCATCTCTCAGTGCAATGTCTCCTCCTCGAATCGCGATAGTAGCTGTGATAGTGCTCTGCGTAGCTCTGATAGCGCTTTAGGGAGTTCTGATGGTGGTGCGAATAGTAGCGACAGTGGTAACAGTAGCGGTAATGGAAGTGGGAGTGATGGTGATGAGGAATCAAAACCAAGCGCTTCAAAGGCACAGAGATGTATGTATGCTCTATACGAATTATTGTCATCCAGTTATTGATATCCTTAACCATAGCCGCCAATACTACTATGTGTGCTACCAGCTCTTTTACTAGCCCTCCAAGCTTCAACAGCCTTCAAGGTAAAAAAAAAAAAACAGCTGTATATGGCTCACATTCATACCACCATACTCAAACACATCACATGTTCCAATAGACCGTAAGCAAAAAGGTAAAGCTTGTGCTTCTCAAATGGACGCCGTTGCAGTGACAGAACAACCCATGCCTTCGTTCAGTCATCACGATATGGGTCAACCTGTTGCTCGTTCAGCGCAAGCCATCACCAACGATATAGATCAGCTTCAAGAGAATGTCGAAACGTTGGCAGCTCAGCTTGGTATTGACCCAACTCAGTCTACTGGCGACTACTGGACCGATTTCGGTGGTTTCTCTGACAACTACAATGGCATGATCAACTCTGCAACAAGGGCAGATAAACAGCGTTTGTTTGATCTGGCTGATGGTAAAAAGAAGACAAGGCATCATCAACTCCTGCCACAAGAGCAACCATCTGAATACCTCTCAGTATCTCAACAACAACAGCAACAACAACAACAACAACAACAACAACAACGCAATGACATACATTCCAATAATGCCCTTCTCTCTCCATACGTCCATGAACAACGCACCTACAAAAACCAAGATACCTATCTGCCCAATGACTATTCATCGCCAACAGATCAATTGCCAAATAGCAATGATTTCTCTTTCCAGCTGGGTCATCTGTTGAAAGCTGCGGATGGCATTCTCAAGCATCATCCAGGCGAGAGTTGGGCAGCAGCATTTACCGTGAAGGAAACAAAGACAGGGCATCAGCCACTGAATGCAAATTCTATCCATGTATCGCCCGTGCCTAGCAACGTAACCGCACCTTCTTTTTCATCACATCATTCACAAGCACCAACAAGAAATCCAACATCTTCATCTGATCTTTACAATACATACTACAACGATAATACTCTAATCTATACTACGCCTGACAACAAGAGCACTCTGCATCAAGCACAACCAAATTTTGCATCTGTGAGCCCACAAAGTCATCACCTTTACTTTCGTCCCGATCAAGCACAACAACACAGCAACAGCACTGTGAAAAATACAACCACACAGGATGAATCCCATCACCATTCAAAGCAAGTGCCTCACACAACTCCTTGTTATGTGGATCCTGCCTCTATAATACCACCGCAATCACAATCATTACAACAACAGCAACAATCACTCTACAAACAGCCACTCTCATTATATCAACCCAATAGCTTTTCCTACTCTCCACAACAAGCACCTCCACCACCACCGCAACCTACCGCCGTGTATGCGCAACAACGAAGAGCAGGCGCCAGCCTCGCAGAGACATCTTTTTCAACAGATCAATTAACGCTATAAAAAGCTGATCGAACGGCTTATTGCTAGCGTTTATTAATCAACATGATTGTATTTCTATGACCCTATTTATGAAACCCCCAAACATGCATATGCTATGCTTTCCCTTCACTCTCGCCTCCTTATCGTTTTGAAATTTACTGCAAAAAAATATATATATATATATATATATAAAAGTGCTTGATATTGTTCTTTATTTATTCATCAAATATGGGGTAGAGTCGGTTAGTAGAGTGATAGCGTTTTGAGTTGGCTGTAGTGGGTATAACCATCTACTGTATAAAGGGATTAATAATAACAGGCGTTGTTTTGATCATTTCGGTCTGGCTACAGGCTTCTTGTGGCAGCAGAATAACTGCTGAACCTGGTCATCCTCGATGATATCGTTCCTTTTGATAGTGTTGGCTCAGAAAGGTTTACATGTCAAGATAAATCACAGGTTCCAAGTCCCCTAGTTCAGCTACCAACATTTTTTTTTCTTGCTCTTTTTCAGGTTGATGTAGTGCATCGAAAGCTGATAGAACTGATGTCTTGTAGTCATGTCTTTTGATAGTATGTTCGTTCTTTGTTTGATCTTTCGGCTGTAACGACGTTGTCTGGGTATTTAAAACTACATTTAAAGCATCATCCACAGCTAAGCTGTCATCTGAATTATTGTCGTCTTTTTCATTGCTGTCGTGTGTGTTTTTTTTTACGTGTCTTTTCAATGAGTCAGGATTGGGGTAGTACTTCTCGTTACAATACGGACAGACAAAGACCCCTTTGTCATTCCTGATCACCCTTTTTGAAACTATTAAGTCAAATATTCATTAGTATCAAAAAAAAAGGACGTTAAGCTTCCACTTGCCTCTATTCAACTCAACAGTAATTTCTTTGGAATGAAAGCGGTAGACATGGAGGTTTAAGGCTTGTTTTGATGAAAGCGATCTTTCACAATCTTGACAAATGAAAGAGCTCATAGAACGGGATGGAGACATTGGGCTCAGACGTGTAGAGCGCAATAGAGTTGCTGTGCAGCCAGGTTGACAGAGATTGTTGAATGATGTGAGATTTCTCGAAAAGCGTGGACCCCGAAGGACGAGAAGCCAACCCAGGATGGTCGCGTAGAGTCTTGAAGCACTGTGTTAAGCACAAAGAATAAAAGGATTATTATTTGTAGCTTATAAAAAATGTTCGATATTATAAAAACAAGAAAAGATTTATTTGAATAAGATCAGACACAAAAACTAAAGATTTATTGATGAAGACAAGAGTTATTCTATTTATACTAAGTTCTGAATGCCAAAGTAGCAATTTATCTTGTACAACGCTTATCACATCTGGTGAACCTCAGTATTTAGATAGCTGAGATGCACTTCACTTAGCATAGCTTGTCCATGTTGTTGCACAACACAGACATATCTACCCATCAAAAATACCTTAATCTTTATAGACAGTTGTAGCCCTTCTGGCACAACACACTGAACCGGACAAAGTTCCACATCGGATGCATGAGTATGTACCGTGAAAGGTTAGATGATGCGCCGTTTGCTACGAGTTTCCTTGGGAGCTACAACATAAAAAGTGAAAATGTGATAATATGAGCTGGTAATGACCGAGCGAAAAAGAAGATTGATAGAATAGATATCTTTTTCATTGTCTTTATATATTCTTTGAATTCGATCAAAATAAAAGTTCAAGAAGAATCTAGCATAATAACATTTCCTATTTTGTTCTTCAGGTCTAATTATCAATTCTACATATGAAGGTCGCACAAAAGAAATTTCAAACGTTGCCCTGAATCCGTAGAAACATTTTGACTTCATATTTACCATAACAATAATCTTCATTTTTAGGGTGAAAAAGGCATTCGTTTGATATCTTGATGTTTTCCATGAGGGGTACCTCATGGTTTGGAGCCAATCTTGGTCGATGTTTTTTTGAATCCCAAAAAAAAAAAATTGAGCAATGTGTCAATAAGTAAATGCTAGGTGAAGGCAACTGTTTGGTGCTATTCTGGCGACCCAAAACGGCTTCGAACATGAGAGATCATTAGTCAAATGCACATAAATTTCGTTGGGGGGGGGGAGGTTTGCACACTTTTGAGTAGTAAGAGGTAATGCAAGTGTGCTGCCTGCTCATATATGAGTTATTCCTGATAATACATTGGTAGACCACCTTAGCAGATGCAAATTCATAGGCACAGATCATTTATGGAGACTTTTTTTACAATTCATATTTACAATATATATATATAGTGGAGACAGAGGAAATTCAGCGCCGAGGAGTCATGAAATCAATATCAAAGTACTCTGTATTGTAAATTCGACGGAAAGGAGCAGCTTCGTCCATGAGTGGGGGCACAAGATCCATATCGTATGTGGTGGGCGTCGCTGCACCTTCATCGTAATCACTGTACAGAAATCTTCGTTTCTGGCGAGGAGGAGAAAAAGGCGCCACAGTGATATCTTGAACATCTTCTTGCTCAAACTTCCGTTTGACAGAGGGCGAGGGGGGTGATGCCGATACAGTGCTTGGACTTGGAGGAGGAGGTTGATTGCTGTCTGCTTGCGAGATGGGAGGTAGATACCAGTAAGGAGAGTCCAGTAAGGGGTTGTGCAAATGTCTCAGCATGGTATTTCGGATGTGTGGCAATTGGCATGAGTCAGTCATGTAGTTGAATTGCATTGGTGCCACAACAACAGGTGTTGAGATATAATTCATGGTATTTCTTGTTGTGAAGCTGGTATGTCGTGGTGTGAAAGTGGTATTTGTCATTGTTGCCTGTGGTTTAGGCTGTGAGACTTCGTGAGGAGTATCAGGTACATCCCGTAGTGGATCTGGAGTAAGAGGACGTGGAATATAGTTGGGTGTTGCAACTTTAGTGCTCCCTTCCTGTACGTAAATGTTGTCAGCGGGACCTTTTGTACTTGCCGCGCTGTTATTTGGAACTTCAGGTTCTGCTGTGTTAAATTCATGGGAGCTTGTTTTACTTGTAGCAGCATTCACTGATAATGCTTCAGCAGTGACACTTGATGTAGCAGCAGCAGAGAATAATGATGTGCCTGACAATATTGTTACGGTGTTTGACTCATCAACATGAACTGAGCTTGTTGATTCTTCCACGGATGTTGGCTGTTCAGCGAAAAGTGAGCTCGAAGGTCCGTTCAGTGTGTCTGGATGATCAGGGACGACTGGAATGGATGATTCTTCTACATTTGGTGGTTGTTCAACAGATACTGTGTTTGGTGATTCGTTCACAGCTCCTGGATATTCAGGAATGACTGGACTTGATGTTTCTTCTACATTTCGTGGTTGTTTTATATGCGTTAAAGTGGATGATTCTTCTAAAGCTCTTGATGATTCAAAAGAGATTGAGCCGGATGAATGTTCATAAGAATCTGAGGTGAATGGCTCTTCTACAGCGTTTGATTCTTGGTTGACTGAATTTGACACCATTGAATGTAGGTTATGGAGAATAGACTCGAAATGGTCATTGAGTTGTCTGATTTTTTGTGATTCCACAGAAATAATATTTTGTAGAGGTGGAGGAGAAGGCGGTGGTGGTGGTGGTGGTGAGGAGGATAACTCTGCGCTGATCTCTTTAGCTGCCTTGGTTGCTTTACTGGTAAAAGTGTTGTTGGTCTCTGTATTCAAATCAAAGGATTGATTTGCTTGAACGATGTTGTTCTGAATTGTAGCTTTAGGCAAAGTTGAAATCTTGCCAACATCTAAGAATAGTTGTTGTTAAGGTAGTTTTCATTCATGCGCTAAAATTCAACTTACCAGTGTGCTTCATAGTGCTTTCGAGGACAAAAGTGGAGAAGGTAACCATGATTTTGATCAAGTTAACGCCTTGATAGGCAGACAATTCACTTTTGCGAATAGGAACACCATTGAAAAGATGAGTATTTTGGCGGATTTCCAGGAGCCATTTATAGACGTTGGTAATAAACTTTAGTTTGCTTGCATAGGTGTGAACGGTCAAGGTTGGCAACAGCTGCTTCTTGACACGGAGTCTGTCTATTTTGCGAAATAGAAATAAACAGATATACTCCATAGCCTTGTCGTTGCTGGTGGCACGATGAGTGAAGAGCTTTTCGTCCAACTCGATAATGCCTTTGCCATGTTTCGATTCATCAAATCCTAACAGTTTTAGATTGTGGATAAGAGTCTTGATGGGCATTTTGTGAACGATGCTTATCAAAAGAGTTGCAGAATCAGACAAATCAGTGTGGATTGCTTTTGAGTTTATCGAAAACGAGTCACATAATGTAATAGTAGTGTGCATGTCAAAGTTCAAGCGTCAAATGTGCATGATGGATCTAAGCCTATACTATGCTGAACCTTAAGGCGACGCTACAAATATACCCCCCCCCTGTTATATAAGACAAGCTTCAAGCTTTCTAATAGCGTATACTTCAAAAAATCAATGAACATAGTCTCGCAGTAAGAGATGAAAAATAGCATGTTGCATGGGATGTCTGAACACATTGTAACGACAAAGTATGCAATCCTATAATATATTCCCAATGAATACTTTGACATAAGTTTTAAAAATGCCTTTATCACATATTCAAATAGTTTTTAAGCCAGTGGCAGTAGTCTGTTTTAAAAGAATCAATGAAATGCACACTGTCTACCTACCATATAGAAATGCTACAAATCATGATTAGGAAGTTGCGATCACCTATGTTTTGATGGTTGGTCGAGTTGACTGGCGCTGTCAGATACAAAAATCCCCAACAAAAGTAAGCTAAAGAATTCAATCTAAACTATTGTCCCTTTGAATTCATGTTCCCGTTTGATTAGCATCCCAATCATCATCATAGTTGTCATCATCAAAAAGGCATTTTGGTCAGACAGCAGCAGCGCCAGAATATATTTAAACTCAGAATATTTTTCTGTCTTTTTTCGATTTCTTTAATTTGTTTTGTAGGATTCGACTATATAAGTTATGATGATCGGCCCGTGCTTCCTAATACATTCCTGGAGTACTTTTTATGGCGCTTTCAGTGGTGCCTAGTAAAATAGATGTTTTGACTGGGCTTATTGAGCAATTTCAGAAAATATGAAAAGGGGTTTTTCGCCAAAATGTCAACATTTTGCTTATGAATGCCTCACAAAAGTGGTTTCGGAGGCTGCTTTGGGTTTAGAGAAACATTTTGATTACATATATACCATAGTAAAAGTTGTCATTTTTGAGGTCAAAAACGCAATCGTTTGATTTTCGATGAAAACCATGAGGGATACCATGGTTTTTGGTCGACTTTTGGCCGTATTTTTTGACTCTTCAAAAAGTTGAGCAAAGGTGTCAGAAAGTTACTGCTACTCGATTACAGTTGTTTGGCGTCATTTTGGCGGCTCAGAAAGGCCTACATGGCAAGATATTAAGGCTTCAAAGCTGCCAAATTTCGTTGCGTTTTCTACTTTTTCTTGTCAATAGACGCGTTTTTGTTATGAGACAAAGGCGTAAAGACATTTGAATTCATTATTCTAGATTCAGAGTATGCTGTGACACCCAAAAGTCAACTGAAAATATTAAGTTGAATGGCACTGTTATATCGCTGTATCATAACACGATGATATAGCTTATCAAGAATGAGGCAGCATCTATCAGCAAATCAAGGACGCAAAAAAGTATTTCAGATTGATCTAAAGCTCATTGACTACAAAGAGTTGATGGAACTTGCTGTCCAAGTGTATGCGGCATTTAATGAACTATACGACGTGTGGTTATCTGCTGTGCAGAGCATTGCTGAACTCGATGCATTGCCGGCATTGCCAAAGGGATCTATGAACATTGGAGGTAAGGTGTCTCGTCATTTACTGGTAATTATATCATACATGCGTTCTACCAGAGTAAAGTATCTCGATATTATGTAATGTAGATGTATAATACCTCAGGTTCAATTAACATATTGTATTAATAGCGAGGCCACCGATTTCATATAAAGAAAGTAATCACAAAAAGAGAAACAAATTGTACAGTACTTCACATCAGGTACTGCTTCAAGGGTTGCATAGCAGATATTGTGGCCTATCCTTGAAAAACGATTTCCTAATGATTTACGAGCTGTTGATATTATTCTTTAATTGCTGATCCAGCCAGACAACAAATCAGTAGAAAGGATGCAGTAGCGTGTGTTTTGCTACACTATTAACAGCTATTTACCGATAATTATTTTCATGGTTCCCAATAACTCATTAAAAAAACGGTTGCTATTAGGCACTAAAATCTCAGTTCAGAGACTATTTCAGGTTGTTAGGATGGTCCTCTCAATTTGGGATTTTTTTTTATAGAGTATCTCGGTTCATTCCGTGTATTAAAAGTATTGATTTCTTTGCTTATGGTATTGACTTTTATATCCTGTCTAAAAACGACCACAGATTAAATATTTGTATGATACGGGCTCATTTTGTCCCGAAGAAAAAAAGGAATATGGCTATGTCTCGTAGCTACTTTGCAACCATGACAACTGAATGATGTGCCAAGAGCTTCCGGGTGCGCCTGATTATTTGCCAGTTACAAGCACTGTGATCATCAAGACGACTTCCGACAGGTTCAAATGCATCTCAACAAGTAGAAACGTGGGTGAATTGGAGATTGCTTGCAACCCAAATGATATATAATTGCAATGAGGTATATTTTGACGATCGTCTGTGCAACAGAAATTTATATCATTCGCTACCTTTTGATGCATTCAACACGATGCCCATCATAACGAAAGTCTCTCAATCCCGAGCCTTCATAATCATCTATTTTATGCGCTGGTTGGATACAGCAGGGCATACAAAAGCTTCTTCAAGTGATGCTACATTGCTTGCTGCCTCTATTATAATTTAGTGCCATCCTCCATTGACAAATCTGCTTAAATCTGTTAATTCAGCGTGTTGCTGGTGTGATCAAGATATGCAGCAGATCAATTTGGGCTTCCACATTTTTCCTAATGAAACATCTCATGTTATGGAAGTCTTGCTCTAGTACCCAGTTGCTTTGAAACTAGTGCCCATTTGTAAGCAAATGAGAAGCATCTTCCCATAACTGCATCTCTCTGAAACACATAATCTAATAGAGGAAAAAAACGATGCTTGAAACATAGATCAAGATAATGTACATCAAGCGGGATCATGTGTCCGTGGCAACAACAGTATTATTTGATGTAGCTACTTTTATAGGGAATGTCATATGTGCTATTTAAATGGGGCAATCAACTACCGAGATTCAGGGACATCTTATCATAACAATGATGATATGCGGTGTGTGTATATATGTATATACAGCAAAAAAGACATGTGAAATTACGTAATGGGCAATTATGTGTACAATCTAAATGTGCATCTACAAACACACAACGCTAAACGGGCAAGATTCACACCCAAAAGAGGGCTTACACAATTTTCATGATACATAATGCTACATGTCACACCAAGAGATTACAAAATCATACAGAAACAAACTTTATTTTGCTTGGTGACCTATGAAATGAAATTGACCTGATTTTGATGTAACATTTGATTGATGCAATGGCCCAATTAGCGTACGTCATTTCCCTATGACACACAGAAAATCCCAGCTTGGAGGTGTCTATGTGGAGCCAAAAAAATATACCTCCATTTAAAGATATACTACATTCGATTTTTAGCATGATAAAGAGGAGGCATAGATAAACGAATGATATTTAGATTAGCATACAACAAAATATTCTCATGCTATATCATGCTACATTTCGATACACCTTGTATCTTACACAAATCAAGCCCTACATGTCGTAAATGTACTGCACCAAAAACGACATGCACATTTCTCAGATTTGATACATTTGATGTGAATTGCAGCATGATATCTCGTTTGCCTTACAGGTTAGGGTTCAGTACGACACTTATGATTGCGGAAAAAATAATTATATGTACACCCCATCACTGATTCCCGACCTTATCCGAATACCAAATACTGCAAAGAAAGAAAAAGGGATGGCAAAATTTGAAGATAAGCTAAATAGAGATATTTCGATTGATAGAGATTGAAAACAAGCCTCTGATTGGAGGAATTCATCTCTTTGTGCTTTCTTCTATCCTTCCATGTGCACTCAGGTTTGATATGAATAAGCTTAAATGGGTTATACTATGAAAACTGGACATTAGCATGGCAAATGTAGAGACATGTCATGGCAAATAAAAAAAAAAAAAAAAGACACAGAATATTGGCAATAAGATTGCTCAAGATCTAGTTGTGTGCACGCTTGGGTAATCATTAGATGCTTTATTTATAATTGATGGGACAAGACAAGCACCCGTTATCTTATCACTCCTGGCTCCACTAACCGGGACCAACTAATAAGCCTGAATGCAGTGAAAATGAAGGAGATCTTGTGTTCAATTCAGTCAGTATCATCTAGTTTTTTTTTTTTTTTTTCCTCCTCCTCCTTCAATCTTTATCCGTCAAATCAAAGCAGTGAAATGGATGCGTTTTAGTATGTATCAAGATCTGTTTCATTCTCCCCGCAACACATCAGCAACTGATAAAGTATGTGTGTGCATTCACACCCATAGAAACTCACCCTTAAACTGAAGTACATGTGACCCAGCCCTTGCCCTCCGAAGATCAAAAAATTGGTCGATGGTTACACTTCAACAGAGAATCATTGGTCCTTGGATAGCAGAGATAAGAAAATGCCTATAATATTTCTACATTTTGATCTCTTGTTCAAAACCTATAAAATAGCCATCAAACATTCCACTTTTGAAAAAAGGACTTTCGCTCTGTTTTTCTCTCTTTTCCATCCATTTCTTATATTTAACTAATTTATAATTTCATCTTCTCTTTGAATCTAACCCCCCTCAAGAAGACAAAAGAAGAATCAACTTATAAATTAACAACACACACATTAACGGAAAACAGCAATTGAACTTTGAGAGATTCCAACTGAACAAATCATTACATATACATAAGAATACCCTCCCTCTCTATTTATCAATCATAATTTAAATGTCTCCTGTTGAATTGGAAAATACTTCGTGGGCTGGTGCAATTCCTCCTGCCCAAGGTCTCTATAATCCTGAATTGGAAAAAGACGCCTGTGGTGTCGGTTTCATGGTACATGTCAAGGGAAAGCGCTCTCACAAGATTTTGTCGGATGCCAGCCATATCCTCTGTAACATGACTCATCGTGGTGCCAGTGGTGCTGATATCAGAGATGGTGATGGTGCTGGTGTCATGTTGTCTATTCCTCATCAATTCTTTGTCAATGAAACTTCTCGTGAATTGGGTATTACATTGCCTGCTGAAGGTCAATATGCTGCTGGTAACTTGTTCATGAAGGGTGACCCGGAATCTGTCGCCGAAACCAAGAAGGTCTTTGAGCAACTTGCTGAAGCTCTCCATTTGAAGGTGCTTGGCTGGCGTTCCGTCCCCAGAGACTCCACTGTCATCGGCCCTGCTGCTAGATCCAAGGAGCCCGCTATTGAGCAACCTTTCGTCGTCTTGGCTGATCAATCCAAGCCCTTTGATGAAGCCTACTTTGAGCGCCAGCTCTACGTCTTGCGCAAGCACTCTACCCACACACTCACCATGAAGAAGTGGTTTTATGTCTGCTCTCTGTCCAACAAGAACATTGTCTACAAGGGTCAACTCACTCCCAAGCAAGTCTACACCTATTTCCATGATTTGAACAATGTCCAGGTCACCACTCACTTTGCTCTTGTCCACTCTCGTTTCTCTACCAACACTTTCCCCTCTTGGGATCGTGCTCAGCCTATGCGTTGGTGTGCTCACAATGGTAATTTTTCATTTTACATTATGTAATGCGATTGTTTATGCGTGTCGTACTAACCTTAAACTCGTGTAATTTCCTATTATAGGTGAAATCAACACTGTCCGTGGCAACAAGAATTGGATGCGTTCTCGTGAAGGTGTCATGCAATCTGACAAGTTTGGCGATGAGCTTGAGTTGCTGTATCCTATTATCGAAGAAGGCGGTTCTGATTCCGCTGCTTTTGATAACGTCCTTGAGTTGTTGGTCATCAACGGTGTCTTGACTATGCCTGAAGCTGTCATGATGATGATTCCCGAAGCATGGCAAAGCAACGATCAAATGAGCCCCGAGATGAAGTCCTTTTACAAGTGGGCTGCCTCCTTGATGGAGCCCTGGGATGGTCCTGCTCTCTTCACTTTCGCTGATGGTCGCTACTGTGGTGCCAATCTCGATCGTAACGGTCTTCGTCCTTGTCGTTACTACTTGACTAATGACGATATCATGATCTGTGCCTCTGAAGTGGGTACTGTCTTTATTGATCCCGAAACCGTTGTTGAAAAGGGGCGTCTTAAGCCTGGTCGTATGCTCTTGGTCGATACTGTTGAAGGTAAAATTGTTGATGACAAGCAACTCAAGTTACAAACTGCTGCCAAGCGCAACTTTATGGATTGGGTAAATAAGCAAAACATTGAATTGTCTGATATCGTGGAAAAGGCCAACGCCGTCAAGCCCTTCTCTGCTGATTTGGATGAAACCACTGTTCAAGCTGATCCTCGCCTCAAGGCTTTTGGTTATACTCTTGAACAATTGAACTTGATCATGGTCCCCTTGGCTTCTACTGGTAAGGAACCTTTGGGTTCTATGGGTAACGACACTGCTCTTGCTTGTCTTGCTGAGCAACCTCGTCTCATCTACGAATACTTCCGTGAATTGTTCGCTCAAGTTACCAACCCTCCCATCGATCCTATCCGTGAAGAAATTGTCATGTCTTTGCAATGCTATGTTGGTCCTGAAGGTAACATTCTTGAGATTGATGAGAACCAATGCCACCAATTGGCCTTGTCCTCTCCCATCTTGTCCATGGAGGAACTCTCTGCCATCAAGAAGATGGATCAATTCTACCCCTCTTGGAAGGTCGCTACCATTGATATCACATTCCCCAAGTCTGAAGGTGTTCAAGGTTATGTTGATACTTTGGAGCGTGTCTGCAACGAGGTCTCTCAAGCTATCAAGGACAAGTACAAGGTTGTCGTTCTCTCTGATCGTGCTGTCAGCGCTGACCGTGTTGCCATCTCCTCTCTCATTGCCGCTGGTGGTGTTCATCACTACCTGGTCCGTAACAAGGAGCGTAGCCGTATTGCTTTGATGGTTGAAACTGCTGAAGCCAGAGAAGTCCACCACTTCTGTGTTCTTCTTGGTTATGGTGTTGATGCTATCTGTCCTTATTTGTCTTTGGAAGCCATGATGAAGCTTCACCGTGAAAGAGCTGTTCATGAAGGCTTAACTCCCGAGAAATTGATCTACAACTTCAAGAAGGGTATCGATAACGGTATTCACAAGGTCATGTCCAAGATGGGTATTTCCACTTTGGCTTCTTACAAGGGTGCTCAAATCTTTGAAGCTCTTGGCATTGACGATTCCGTCATTTCTCGTTGTTTCTCTGGTACCGCATCTCGTATCAAGGGTGTTACCTTTGACATCTTTGCTTTGGATGCCTTGACTCTTCATGAAACTGGCTATCCTACTCGCAATGTTGTTCAACCTGTTGGTCTCCCTGAGTCTGGTGAGTACCACTGGCGTGATGGCGGTGCTCCTCATATTGCTGAGCCCAGCGGTATTGCCAACCTTCAAGATGCTGTTCGTCAAAAGAACCAATCCTCTTACGATGCTTACTCTCGTAACGCCTATGAAGCCATCAAGAAGTGTACTCTTCGTGGTATGCTCGACTTTGACTATGAGAACTCCAAGGAAATTCCTATTGAACAAGTTGAATCTTGGGATAGCATTGTCAAGCGTTTCGTTACTGGTGCCATGTCCTATGGTTCCATCTCTTGGGAAGCTCACTCCTCTTTGGCTATTGCCATGAACAAGATCGGTGGTAAGTCCAACACTGGTGAAGGTGGTGAAAAGCCCGAGCGTTCTCTTCCTCTTGAAAACGGAGATTCTATGCGTTCTGCCATTAAGCAAGTTGCTTCTGGTCGTTTTGGTGTCACCAGTTTCTATCTCTCTGACTCTGAGGAATTACAAATCAAGATGGCTCAAGGTGCCAAGCCTGGTGAAGGTGGTGAACTTGATGGTGGTAAGGTCAATGAAGAAATTGCCTCTACTCGTAAAACTACTCCTGGTATTGGTTTGATTTCTCCTCCTCCTCACCACGATATCTACTCCATTGAAGATTTGAAGCAATTGATTTACGATCTCAAGTGCGCCAATCCTCGCTCTCGTGTATCTGTCAAGCTTGTATCTGAAGTTGGTGTTGGTATCGTTGCTGCTGGTGTTGCCAAGGCCAGAGCAGATCACATTTTGATCTCTGGTCATGATGGTGGTACTGGTGCTTCTCGTTGGACTGGTATCAAGTATGCTGGTCTTCCTTGGGAGTTGGGTCTTGCTGAATCTCATCAAACCTTGGTTCTCAATGACTTGCGTGGTCGTGTTATCGTTCAAACTGATGGTCAAATCAAGACTGGTCGTGATATTGCCATTGCTTGTTTGCTCGGTGCTGAAGAATGGGGTTTCGCTACCACTCCTCTTATTGCTCTTGGTTGTACCATGATGAGAAAGTGCCACTTGGTAAGTTGCTGAATAGATACAGTAGTTGGATTTGGTTACTGATACGTTGCTCACAATAGAACACCTGTCCTGTTGGTATTGCTACCCAAGATCCCGAGTTGCGCAAGAAGTTCGAAGGTTCTCCTGAACACGTTGTCAACTTCTTTTACTATCTCGCTGAAGAAATGCGTGGATATATGGCCAAGCTCGGTTTCCGCACTGTCAATGACATGGTTGGTCATGCTGAAAAACTCAAGGTCAATGAATCTCTTCGTACTTACAAGACTGCCAACTTGGACTTGTCTCCCATCTTGACTCCTGCCTCTACTCTTCGTCCTGGTGTCTCCAATGTCTGCGTTACCAAGCAAAAGCACAACCTTCATGTTCGTCTTGATAACTACCTCATTGAAGAAGCTGAGCCTGCTCTTGCCAACAAGGAAAAGGTCCTCATTGAGGCTGATGTGATCAACACTGATCGTGCTCTTGGTACCACTCTTTCTTACCACGTCTCCAAGCGTCATGGTGAGAATGGTCTCCCTGCTGATACCATCCATGTCAAGTTGAGAGGTTCTGCTGGTCAATCCCTTGGTGCTTTCTTGGCTCCTGGTATCTTCTTTGAGCTTGAAGGCGATTCTAACGATTATGTTGGTAAGGGTCTTTCTGGTGGTCAAATTGCCATTTACCCTCCCAAGTGTTCCGTCTTCAAGTCTGAAGAGAATGTCATCGTTGGTAACGTGTGTCTTTATGGTGCCACCAGTGGTAAGGCTTTCTTCCGTGGTATTGCTGCTGAACGTTTCTGTGTTCGTAACTCTGGTGCCTACGCTGTCTGTGAAGGTGTCGGTGATCATGGTTGTGAATACATGACTGGTGGTCGTGTTGTCATCTTGGGTACAACTGGTCGTAACTTTGCTGCTGGTATGTCTGGTGGTATCACTTACGTTTTGGATGTCAATGGCGATTTCAAGAAGAATGTCAACATGGAGATGGTTGAACTCGAAACTGTCAACGATGATGAACGTGTTGCCGAGTTGCGTGATTTGATTGAAGATCACCGTCATTACACTGGTTCCGAGATTGCCGATCGCGTCCTCAAGAACTTCAACGAGTACTTGCCCAAGTTTGTCATGGTCATGCCTACTGAATACCGTAATCTTTTGGAAAAGCAAAAGGCTGAGAAGCTCGCTGCTGCTGCCCCTGCCAAGAAGGAGTGCACCAAGGTCCACAAGAAGGCTGAGCCTCAAGTTGAAGATCTCGAAGACAGCGTTTTGGGTGAGGAGGCTATTTTGGCTCGTCGTGCCAAGTTGGACAAGGTCCGCGGTTTTATGAAGTACAAGCGTAAGACTGACAGCTACCGTAACTCCAAGAAGCGTGTTGGTGACTGGGATGAAATCAACAACCGTTTGACTCGCCCTGAACTTCACGAACAAGCTGCTCGTTGTATGGATTGTGGTGTTCCCTTCTGTCAATCTGACACTGGCTGTCCTATTGGCAACATTATTCCCAAGTGGAATGAACTCGTCTACAAGGACAACTGGAAGGAGGCTCTTGACCGTCTCATGATGACCAACAACTTCCCTGAATTCACTGGTCGTGTGTGGTAAGTACTGAGCCTCAAATATATTTTCTGATCTGTCGGATTATGATTCAATTAGCAGATCAGGGCTGGAATTGAATAGAATTCAGGGGTAATGTCGTTTGACATTTTCATCTGTATCTATCAACTTCGGTCCTTTTCATATGATTTTTTTTTACGAAAATGATGCTAATCTTCTCTTCTTCTTTTTTTTTTCATCCGCAGCCCAAGCCCTTGTGAAGGAGCTTGTGTTCTCTCCATAAACGAACCTCCTGTTGCCATCAAGAGTATTGAGTGCGCAATCATCGATCGTGGTTTTGATGAAGGATGGATCGTTCCTAATCCTCCTGCTTCTCGTACTGGTAAATCTGTCGCCATCATTGGATCTGGACCCGCAGGCTTAGCTGCCGCTGATCAATTGAACAAGGCTGGCCATCTTGTTACTGTGTATGATCGCAATGATCGTATTGGTGGTCTTTTGATGTATGGTATTCCCAATATGAAATTGGACAAGAAGATTGTTCAACGCCGTATCGACCTTTTGGCTGCTGAAGGTATCAAGTTTGTCCCTAATGCTCATGTCGGTGTTGATGTTGATATCAATGATATCCGTAATCAAAATGACGCTGTTATTGTCGCCACTGGTGCTACATGGCCTAGAGACCTCAAAATTCCTGGTCGTGAAGCTGATGGTGTTCATTTCGCCATGGAGTTTCTCCAAGCCAACACCAAGAGCTTGCTCGATTCTGAACTCAAGGACGGTCAATATCTCTCTGCCAAGGATAAGAACGTCATTGTGATTGGTGGTGGTGATACTGGTAATGATTGTATTGGTACCTCTGTTCGTCATGGATGCAAATCGGTGATCAACTTTGAATTGCTTCCTAAGCCTCCTGCTTCTCGTAATGAGACCATGCCTTGGCCCAAGTTCCCTATGGTCTTCCGTGTAGACTATGGTCACAGTGAAGTCCAAGCACAATTTGGTAAGGATCCTCGTGAGTACTGTGTTCTTTCCAAGGAATTTGTTACCGAAAACGGTGCTGTCAAGGGTATCAAGACTGTTCGCGTCGAATGGACCAAGGATGAAGCTGGTCGTTGGGCTATGGCCGAGGTTCCTGGCTCTGAGCAATTCTTTGAAGCTGACCTTGTTCTTCTTTCTATGGGTTTCTTGGGTCCTGAAGAAGCTGTTGTCAAGCAACTCTCTCTCAAGCAAGATGGCCGTTCCAATATTGAGACACCCAAGGGTAAATACGCTACCTCTGTTGCTGGTGTTTATGCTGCTGGTGATTGTCGTCGCGGTCAATCCTTGATTGTGTGGGGTATCAACGAAGGCCGTATGTGTGCTCGTGAAGTTGATTACAACTTGATGGGTGACACCTACTTGCCTGTCGCTGGTGGTATCCAACAACGTATCCTTCCTGGTCTTTCCGCCTAAACAAAATGTCTCTCTTATTTATATCTTCCCTAGAAAAACTGTACAAAATACACAAAATATCAGCTGGTTCTATATCTGGTTTTCACAACATCTATCTTTTGGTTATTCTTTACTGTAATTCATTGCGTATGGGGGTACTCGATGAATTATCTCAAGCAGTATGGCTGTAGCCATTATTTATTTATACACTTGAAATCCATATTCAACTCTTTTATTTTGTATCATATTTAAAACCTTCTTTATAATTATTAGATTCCTTTTTTTTCTTCTTCCTTTGCATGACATATTCATGCTTTATACATATATTTGAAATAAATATTAATATTTATTGTTATTAAATATCTTGCGAAAAGCCAATTCTTACAATAGGGAGGCAATAAATTGATTCAGAAGAGTAAAAAGGGCACTTGAATCAAAGACGTATTATTATGCTCTATCTCTGCCAGAAGCATATCGGCGAGCAGTAGGAACTGGTGCACGAGATAGATCATCTACATCATACAGCAGCCTATCCGCTATGGATGCAGGTGATTACTGGCTTTAAGACACGCCATGGCTTGATCCCAGATCATAGCAGAATCATTCCAGTATACGATGAGTATCTCTCACTGTGTGGATTCGTGGAAATGGCTCAAATGCCGTCAAGATCCACAATGGGCATCATAAAGATTGTCCAGGCATCCAGCCTCCCAGATTAGACACGGCCCCCCTACGAAAGGTGAACAGCAAAAATCTAAATGAGACATCTGGAGATGTTCTTGCCTGCGAATCTAACAGGCTTTACGAATCGTACTCCATCTCTATACAGTTGTATTTACCCAGACACTCATTATAGTTACCATAAACCTCATTTTTTTTTCTATCAATAGTAAAAAAAAAGTGAAACTTGCATATTGTAAAGTTTTCTCAGAAATTTGGGTGAATGCGTTAGGAGTATATAAATGTATGGAATCATATCAAATTCGTTCCTACATCTTGCTGTCCATCAGTAGATTTCTATAAGATATGACTAGCTTTCAAAAAGAAGACTTGAGAACAGGCACCTAGTGTCACCAAACACTTTCCATTGGCTTAGATATAATATGGAAGTTGATGTTCCAGAGATTATACAAGTTTTTGTTTCATTTCTCTCTCTCTCTCTCTCTTTAACAACTCAAAAAAATGTCCATCAAGAAAATTGATTACTCACTGTATCTTGTCACTGACCGCTCTCTTGTTCCCGAGGGCAAGACATTTCTAGGACAAATTGAACGTGCACTGGAGGGAGGTGTTACGCTTGTTCAACTTCGTGAAAAGGACACCGAGACTGGACCATTTATCGACTTTGCATTCAAGGTCAAGGCATTGACACGCAAATTTGGCGTGCCATTGATCATCAATGATCGTATAGATGTTGCTCAAGCCGTGGATGCTGAAGGTGTTCATATCGGTCAAGATGATATGCCTCTGACAAGAGCAAGAGAGATCTTGGGTCCCCATAAGATCATTGGTGTCTCTTGCAATACGGAGCAAGAAGCTGCTATTGCTATTCGTGATGGTGCTGATTACTTGGGTATCGGTGCTGTTTGGTTTACATCTACCAAGAAGAATATCAAGGAACCTTTGGGTGTGGAAGGCGTGCAACGTAAGTTAATATACCGTACTTTAGAGACGTACCCGTATTTATATCGAATTTCCAATTGTATATATATATATATATATATATATATATATATATATATAGGCATTCTCAAATCCATGGAAGCAAACCCTGTGCCAACGGTTGCTATTGGTGGCATTGGGGCCAAGAACGCTTGTGAATTGTTGGAAGGATCAGATACAGGTAAAATCCACATTGATGGCCTTGCTATCGTGTCTGCCATCATGGCAGCTGAAGACCCTAAAGTTGCTTGTGAGGAACTACTGAGATTGGTCCGCTCCAGTTTGAGCAAGGTGGGAGTAAAAGTCAACAACACGGTGAAGGATGCTGTCCAATTTGCTGTTCAAGCTGCAAAGAACATCAAGGAAAAGACACCTATGGTGCATCATATTACCAGTAAGTGTGTGTGTGTGTGTGTAAAAGGTGGTATCAGCAGTAAAGGATCGCTCACACACTCTAGATTATGTGGTGATCAATGATAATGCCAATGCAACATTGGCTGTTGGCGCATCTCCCATTATGTCCACCAACCGTCAAGAAATGGAAGAACTAGCAGCAGTCAATGGCGCCATGTTGTTGAACATGGGCACACTAAACGATGTGGATACCATGATTTTAGCAGCTCAAGCCAATGTGCGCCACAAGAACCCTGTTGTGTTGGACCCTGTTGGATGTGGTGCTACAAAATTCAGAAGAGAGACATTGACACGATTCTTGAACGAGTGCGATTTAACGGTTATCAAGGGAAACGCAGGAGAGATTTTATCCATGGCTGGCCTTGGAGGTAAATCAAGAGGTGTGGATTCAGTGGGCAGCAATGACGAGCAATTGATGGTAAATGCTGTCAAGACACTTGCCAGACAAAACAGTAAGTATATAGTATGATGCTTGTCATGGTAGTGCTATGAGTAGCTAACATACACATGCCTATAGACTGTGTAATTGGATTGACAGGCCCTACCGACTATGTGTCTGATGGAGAACGCGTGTTTGCTATCGAAAATGGAGATGCATTATTACCGTTGATTACTGGCAGTGGCTGTATGGTATCATCTATTGTAGCCTGCTTCACTGCAGCAAACCGTGATGACTATCTGTTAGCCACTGTTGCTGGTATTCTCACAGTTACAGTAGCCTCAGAAATAGCTGCTGCCCGTGAGTATGTCAATGGACCAGGCACTTTCCGTGCTGCCCTGATCGATGAATTGTATAATGTGACAAATTCACCAGAGTTACTGGAGAAATATGCTAGAATTCGCACCGTTGAATAAATTACGATATGTGTCGATATTAAAATACAGTTTATTCAAATGATCTCTTTTTTTTTTTTTAGAGCTTGCCTAATCTTGAACCATTGTCAATACGAATGACTTCAGCGTTGAGCATACCATTTTCAATGATATGACAAACGAGCATAGCATATTCATGAGGGAAACCCATACGAGCAGGGAAGACAGAGTCCTTGATGATCTTTTGCTTGGCGACATCAGGCATGACAGCGGTCATGTTGGTTTCTATGAAAAGTACATATGAGTGATGAAAGATGCATCCTTTCTAATATATGGCTTACCAAAGATACCAGGAGCAATGGTCATGACACGGATACCAGCAGGAGCAAGATCTCTTGCCATGGGAAGAGCCATACCCACCACGCCAGCCTTTGAAGCGCTGTAAGCCACTTGACCAGGTTGACCATCTTGGTAAGCAACCGAGGCGGTATTGATAATCACACCACGCTCACCATCCTCGTTATAGGCATCCTGGTTAGCCATGACTTGAGCTACTTGCTTACACACGTTGAATGTACCGATCAAATTGACTTTGACAGTAAATTCAAAGAGATCCAAGGTCATGGTATGAGCAGATTTTCCTCTGCGAGCAGTTTTAGCTGCAGTGGCAACGCCACCTGCGGAAACCACGCCAGCAATGCGGCCAAACTTGGCAACTGTCTTTTCCAAAGCAACACGAACAGCTTCTTCAGATGTAACATCTACCTTGCCAGCAGCAAAAGCAGAGGGTCCTAGGGATTTAGCGACTTCTTCACTGTGCATATATTGTGTCGAATGAGTATGGTATATTGGATGACTAAACATCATCGACGACTTACGCTCCCTCTTGATTCAAATCAAAGATCTGTTTATGTATATTAGCTAGACCGCAACACTGCTTTATTACTTGAAAACTTACAGCAACATTGGCACCACGAGCAACAAGTTCACGCACAGTAGCTTCACCAAGACCGCTTGCACTGCATATACGAGCCATTGAGCACAGATGCAGACACACACATGCAATGACACACCCGGTAAACTTACCCTCCAGTAACGATGAATGTATTTCCCTTGATTTGCATTTTGTTGTATATATAATAAAGAAAGAGAGGTTAAAAAGAAGGCATTGAATCCGTGGAAAATGTAGATGAGAATAAACAATTAATGCTGACAAAACCAGATGATTTTCACAGGGCAAGCCATGTTACACACCACTTACGGTTTCCCCGCATTATTGACACATTTTGGCTCCGAACATGCTGTTGTGTAGTAGTAGTGCAGGCGTAGCATACTCATACATGCACATATGCAAGCAGGTACAATGATGGTACTTGTTGATTCATTATGGTAAAGTGGGTACATAATACAGATAAAGATGCCAAAATGGTATGGTGAAAAAAAAAAGATGAGATAATTCATTCAATCTTGACTGTATGATTGATGCAGCAGATGAGAGAGTCTTGCTGTTGTTGCCTACAATTGACTTTTATATACCCTTTGGGTAGGTTTCTTTGACTATATAAATGAATACCATAATATTTCTATACTTGAGCCATCACCGCTGTAGACTTGGAAGAACCAAATACACCGGTCAAGCAGCAGTAACAGCACACAGATGAACCCTTTTCATTTTTTCAACAAGAATCAACATCTTGATTGCCTTGATGATATCCATATCTGGCTTTTTTTTTTAGCCCATTTTATATCAGCATTCAATTTCCAAGGCTCAGTGTGATTGAGAAAGCAAATTGTACACATTATTGAGTAGAGACAAGCTGTATATTGACAGTACAGCGTTCTTGGATCTCTAAAATACAGAACGCATGGCCAGTTTGACTGTAGCCACATACATGGTGCTTCAGGGCATTGCATTCGGTGTCGCCTATGGACAGCGTCTTGTATACAAGGTACATATCGCTATCCCCATCGCACTTGATTTTTTATGTAAGCTTTGTTGAGTAGAGATGCGCACATGTATGACAAAATGAGTAAGAGGCTAACATATACCATGTAAAGTGCCTTATCTTTCCACTTCTACATTTACTATAACCAATACATTACTTGTCGACTTGTTGCCAAACATTCGGCAGCCATCCTTGCGTCCAACAACTTGACAAGGTTTTCTTTATAGCATACATTCCTATTGACATTTTTACTGATGAAATGATGTCTTCTTGTCAATATGTTACTACAGATGCTTCTTGGCTGCATCAGTTGTTATGGTTGTGCAACCTGCAGTTGAGCAACTAGGTGTAGGGTAGCTGTCTACTTTATAGCTATTATTTTTACTGGTATCAAGAGTGAGCATGATCGTGCTACTAACATACGGCCCAAAACGGCGAAATCAACGTTTAAAGAATCAGCAGCAGCAGCAGCAGCAGCAGCAGCAGCAGCAGGCAACAGATAAAAATTAAACGCCTGTACATGGTATATATAATAGAGAGGGGGAAGGGTTTGTTTTTTTTTTATTGAATACCAAACTGCATTCTGATTTGTTGTAAATAAAGATGCAGATAATTGCGACATTTATACTTTCTTTCTGATAATTGTCAAGCCATCAAACACAGGCAACATGACAGACTCGACGCGAGGATCCTTGGCAACATGTTGGTTGAAGTGATGTACTTTTAAAGCCGTCTTTCTCAAGTTTCTGGTGCCTTCTTCACCATTACTGCTGTCCTTATTGGGTGCCTGGCTGACATAATCTGCAGCTTGGGTGTGAACATGACCAAAGAATAAGACTATTATAATGTGATGTGAGTGGGAGAAATGTGCATAGCAAACACCTTCATGTTTTGTCTTACCATTGTCAACAAGGATGATGCCCCGATCCGAAAGCAAATCATGCTCCATAATTGAATCAAAGTACTGGATGTAACCTGCTTTATCAGCATCTGTGTGTACGTGTAAACATCACTAACGCAGCTTATCAAGCGTCCTAATATAAATAGAGTAGATATTTACCCAAAAAGATCAAATCATATTGGGTACTGGCTGGATTCTCCTGGCCCAAGTAACTCAAACTATATACCACATTAGACAAGTTAATAAGTATATATATATATATATATATATAAGAGACTTTACCTATCCAATGCAGGACCTTGCTTGAACAGAATTTTGTCTTGCAATTGAGCTTGATTGACAAATTGCTCAGCCACTTCAATGTGTTTGGGATCAAGCTCAAGCGACAAGAGTTTCGCTTTGGGTGCTAATGCCGAGGCCATCGCAATAGCCGAATAACCAGTAAACCCACCGATCTCCAACACATTTGCTGGTCTCAGGATGGATACCAATTGATGCAACAACTTTCCCTGTGTCTCACTCACCATCATGTGTGCATTTCGGAAATCAGATTCTGTCTTTTTAGCTAATGCTTTCAATACGCCTTGATAAGGTTGCTTGATAGGGGTACTCAGATTCTGACAGTAACGATCTTCTTCTAATCGTAAACGTGATTGACTAGCGGGCAACATGGCGGCCACCAAGCCAGTCGAGTGTAAGCGTTTGGATACAAGTGAACTTGTGATAGATTTTGATGTGGTAACACCGGCTGCTCTTGTCAATAATAATTTCATTTTTTTTTTAAAGTTTACCAGGAAAAAGAGAAATGCATTTCAATGCTGGCTTGGTTTTTATACTGGATCTCCCCCGGATGTGTAGTATTCAAAGTCCTAACGTGAATGGAGTATATGCTTGTTTTGATAAGAAAAAAAGGGAGAAGCTTCAAGAGATCAATAAATTACAGGATAACTGCCTGATCAAATTTAAAACAGGTGTGGCAAGCATACATTTTGTTATTCAAGATTTACACAGTGATACACAGTTTGCTAGACAGACGGTAAAATAATTATCGATTCCTTGCTTACATCCACATCCTTTTTATTGTCTCTTTTAACTTGAACTTTGCAAGGATGGAAATACCAGTATGAGGGTAAAGTAAAATAAAAAATAAAATCACCTTGTCATTACCAAAAAGGCTTATTCACGAGTGTTACAAGATACAATTACATAAAGCATCAAGATCGTCTCAAGGGTAGCGCAAATGCAACTACATGGACGAGTTTCAACAACAACAATAACAAGACTGGTTTAGGTATTGCTGATGGATATGGTATGACTGTAATGTTCTACACACAATTAGACGGGATGAATCCGAGTGCATTGAAAAGCAGTAGAATCCTAATAAACTCACTTGGGTATATTGACGATCAGTAGTATATCGCTCAAATACTAGAGTTTGAATTGCATGGCCTGTTTAATACATTCAACAGTCGTATGTACAGGTAGATTGGTCACAATTCATGATAGGATATAAGGACTACCTAGATGATGAACTGGTTTAGCACAAGATTCATTATAATGAGCTACCTTTGTGCTATCGCACATGCTCATCGTGAGAGCCTTGTTTAATCTTGCAATTTTAAATAGGGCAACCCTTTTACATTTGATAGTAGGCGGTTCCGCATTCGGATGGGCATTTTAGAGCAAATAAATCTATTAGACACAAAAATAGGTATCAAACGCTGCATCAAGGGCTCAGACTAAATGGAGGTACTTTTGTACTTTATGGCTTCCTTCGCATAGGATTCAAAAATATAGATAACATTCATGAGAAAGACGATCAATACACTGGGCAGCTGCCAACAAACCACTGATTGAAACCCCAATTTCCCGCTGGATGCATGCCTTGAATCTTGCGAGCATAATATCTGACATCTGCCACCCATCATCATCTCTAATATATTTACCAAAAAAGTATTAAAAAAAAAACAGAGATATAAAAAATTAAAGCATTGAGTGCCGTCTAAGGCTCGAAAAAACCACTGGCGAAGCTGGCTTTGGGGAGAGGGAAGAGACTTGGTCCCTCCACCAAAAACAGAACGCATCAAAATTTGCGTGAATTGACTTTACTAAAAATCAGTATGCCTTCTGTTCGAATTAGGAATTGCACAGGATGCAGAACTGCCCTTCTAGAAGATTTCAGTTATCAAAGATGTGATGCATGATGTGTAAAAAAATCAATACAGCAAAATACAACCAAATTTGACAGCTTTGAAGCTTTTATATCTTAACATAGGTACCTTTCTGAGTCACCGGAATACCGCCAAACAATTGTACTCGAGTAGTAGTAACTTTCTGACACCTTTGCTCAACGTTTTGGGAACCCAAAAAACATGGCCAAAAATCGACGAAAAGGCATGAGGTACCCCTCATGGTTTTCATCGAAAATCAAACGATTGCATTTTTTTTTTACCTTGAAAAGAAAGACTTTTACTATGGCATATATTAAACCGAAATGTTTCTCTCGATCTAAAGCAACTTCTGAAACCACTTTTATCAGGTCTTTATATGCAGAATTTCGACATTTTGGCCAAAATCCTTATTTCATATTTTTTGGGATTGCTCAATAAGTTCAATCAAAACATCTACTTTACTTGGTACCATTAGAAGCGCCTTGAAAAGTGTTCCAAGAATGAATAAGGAAGCATCGGATGATAACCACAGTTCATATAGTCGAATAGCTCAAAATGGATTAAAAAAGTCGACAAAAGGCAAAGTCTGTCCAATCTTGAACAGAAAAAAATAGACTGGGTTTTAATTGATTATAGTAGTGAGTGGCTCTGCTGCTGGCTGGTCCAAATGCCTTTCTGTTAATGACAATAATGAGTGCGATGCTGACTAAATAGGGATTATAGATATGAAAGGACAAACGCTTAGCTTGAGTACTTTTTTTATTTGCGTTTGTTGGGGGCTTTTACCTATAAAGGTGCCGTTTGCAATGACAACCTCTCAAAAAAGTTGCTGTAGATCTTATACAAGTCCTTTTTTCGTAGCGAGATTGATCGGCTAGTCTATTATATAATGAATACCAAACGTACACATAGCTTAGTTTACAGAGCTCTGGCACAATGAAATACTTGCTTCACATGCAGATACTCGGTGTCAGTTATGGAGCAGTTGTAAAGCAAGTGCACGCTCTTCCAGTATTTCAATACAACGCCAACGAATGTATTTGTACATGTTGAATTGCAGGATGCTTTGTTTACCGTTTATACAACTTTTTATTGATCGAGTTTGTATGCCTTCTCTTCAGGACGTGATAGCTAACAGTTGAGCAATGTAAAGATGGCCACTGTCTAACATGTGGCGGTATATCTCTTCATCTGTCAAACAGTTATTGACAACATTATTTAAGGCACACCAAACTGGTTCTAGATATGAAATATCGATGCTTGACCTGTAAAACCGCTTGAAGTATTCCTTTATGAAAGCTGCAGCCATTCTCAGTAAGTATTTCTCTTCTCTCCACCATTTCTCGTCCCTTTATACTCTTTATTTGCGTAGCATCAATGCTATCTAAACCATCGAAAACAAAGCAAAGCCCATCATTGACAAGCCCAGTCAGTTGGTTGCACTCAAGAAGACATTATTCTCGGTGAAGAATCTCCCCCTAGGTATCGTTACTACTGCTGAAAGGATCTGTCCACAAATCTGGCTAAAGATTTCGATTTCTTATTACGGAAGCGTCATTTACAATTGGCACCCTCCTACTACTTTGGTGTTATAGACGCAGCTACATTGCCACTTTCTGCCCATCCTGTTCAAAACGCCTTGTTCTAGTCTTTGGTTCCCTCCCATATTACACCTCAAAATTACAATAAACATGGTATATCATACAGCGAGTGTCAAAATGTAGCAACCAAGAATCTAGACCAGCATTAGCAATATGTGGAAGGGTGGAAAAATTTTCAAACATCTCCTGAACAAGCTTCTCCATGCACTCTTGAGTATCCATCCTGCTTCGGACAGAGAGGCCAAAAAGCAAGCTATGACAAAGCAAGACAAAGGCAGATACAAGGGAAATGGTAAGGAGAGAGCGAAGCCATCACCCTCATCAGCTGGTGGTCCTTCGACGGCAGAGTCTACATAGCCAGCCAGCTCAAAGCCCTTTACAAGCAATGCGCTTCTTTGGTAAGTGCTTCTTTTAGGAATTTAAGATATAGTGACTGACTAAAACTCAATAACAGATACAGAATACGTGAGGGGAGAAACACAACGAACTTTGTTTTCACTTTTACCTAATAAATTACACAGACAAATGTCAACTGCCGAGATATACAACAAAGCCAACAACTCATTGAACACAATATCCAACTTGTGGCAATCCATGTTACAAATCATTCAAGCAGTGTCCTCAGCATCTGCAGCCTCGTTGACCGTAGAGCCTGACTTGGCTAAACTTCAAAAGACACGCAAAGAGTACGAACAACTCATGACCACACTAAAATCAGATTTGGAATGGTTAGAGAAGAATAAAGTCAATGAGAGTGAGTTGGATTTAGAAACAGAGGCATACACTTCAGGTTTAGTGGAGCAAGAAGCATTACAAAAGGTAAGCTGAGCACGGAATGATGGTTTGGTTCTCTTTCGATGGTGCTGATCAGAGTAAATTAGGAATCAACGCGTGTGAATGATCAATTGAAGCGACTATTAAATCAATCATATGCTTTACAATTTCAACTGGAGATGTTGTTTACTTCTTCACAGGATGTCAAGTTGAATTGAAATAAAGATTAATGTTGTATATACCATGACCAAAGTAGTAACTAGCTGTTTCTGTTGTTGTAAGGAGAGATTGGTCTTCTATAGTGAATCCAAGATGGTTACGGACGATTGATTGGCGAGCACAGTGAACGATTCTACTTGTCTTTGGCCCAAGAAATAAATTATACTCGGAAGCAATTGGTAGGAAACATATTGACAATCTAGAATGATCTGCCAAAGCCAAAATCCCTGCTGACTTTTGTTGTGCGATGGCCATCTGATAAACGCAACGTTGAATGTGGCATAGAGTTCAGATTTTGATATTCAGGCATGTTCAATGGTTGTTTAACGGAATGACCATGATACCATAGTAGTAAATACGCTATATAGTATTGAGTTTGGAGATGCATCAAGGCAAAGTTAAAAAGCGTTTGAGGTTTTTAATGAAACAATGAAGAATGACAGTGAATTTTTATTGATTTGAGTAAAATAAACTACTAAAAATTTAGAAACAATGTGAAGAGATACATTTTAAAAGAAAGTAATATAATAATGTGGTTAATAAATAGAGGAGGATTCAGCTAAACTGAAGTGAGATTGAGGTAGTAGTTTTGTTGGTTGTTGCAATTATTGAGTTTTGATGAGAAATGAATGCTATTTAATTACACTTTCCCTTGACGCAGCTGTTCTTACAGTCTCTGTTGGATGAGCAACATGCGTTCTTTGGACCCTTGCCACCCTTCTTTCCAGAGAAGCCTTGGTTGCAGCTGGCAAGAGAAGGGCCGTTACACTTTCCACTGACGCAAGATTCCCAACAGTCGTCAGAATGCTCGCAACAGGCACCGTTATAACCATCACCTAAGGCCTTACCATTGGAGCCGGTATAACAGGAGGAAGCAATAGGAGCATTGCACTTTCCGCTGATGCAGCTTTCCTGGCAATCAGCTTGGCTAGAGCAACATGCGCCCTCAGGTCCCTTTCCGTTCTTTTTGTCCTTGAAACCAGATTGGCAAACAGCATCAGTAGGGCAGGCAGAGACAGTCTTGGTAATAGTGACAGTGACAGTAGCACCACCGGTGGGAACAGCAGAGGTAGTAGCAGCAGAGGTAGTAGCGGCAGAGGTAGTAGCGGCAGAGGTAGTAGCGGCAGAGGTAGTAGCGGCAGAGGTAGTAGCGGCAGAGGTAGTAGCAGCAGAGGTGGAAGAAGCACCGGTGGTAGAAGCCTTTGTAGTGGAGCTAGAGGTCTTTGTGGTGGTGCTGGAGGAGGTGGTCTTTACAGTAGTGGTAGCAGCAGAACATTTATCGTTCTTATGGGTGTTCCACCAGGCACAGGCACCAGCGAATTCAGCATTGAAGAGTTCAGGATCATCACCAGTACAACGGGCCATACACATACCAGCAGTGGCCATGAAACTACCATAGTTAGGACCGGACTTATTACACATGAGAGCAAGAGAGTCTAAAAAGAGCTCAGAAGTGTGATCCATGGTCCAGCCAGGAACCCATTTTTGACCAGCGTTCTATAAGATGAGTTAGTAAAAAGTTCAAGAATACAAATATAATGAGATACATACAACATTACATTTGGTGAAGCATTCAGTGGAGCCAGGTGTGTTGTAAGAGGGATTGCAATTAGCAGCAAAGGCTGAGGTAGCAAAGGTGGCAATGGCAGCAGAGATGGCAATGGCAGAACGCATGTTGGTAAGTGTTAATTGATCTGAATGAAAGACTGAAGAACTAAATGTCGAATTGAAGTACGAAACGATTTGATATTTATACTCGAAAATTCAAACGGATCTGTTAAATACACACACACTCACACACATACATACATTTGTCATGTCATACATTTTGCAACTCCATTTAACTTGAATTGTGAATGATTTACTCTATAATACAAGACGGATGAAAACGGATTATCTATTTGTCAGATCACGTATTGATTCTCAGTGTTAAATTATAGTTATAACGTGAGACGAAGACACTGTCATGGTTACATGGATGTAACTGTCGTTTTTATCAGATTGTTCTATTGTTTCACCATTTGACCTACTCCTCCTCTTTCATCAAGGTACGCTTTGCCTGTTTCTGCCAATTCTAAAAAAAAAACTTCAAATTTGGTTTACTTGCCTCAACACTGTCATATATCATTGTGATCTACAATTCTTTAAGACTAACAGAACCCACCATGTTGATCTCCAGTATTTGCTCTTGACATGAGCTAGATGAACCATGTACATGTTTGTTCATTGCCCATTTGCAAGTGTATATTCTATAAAATGCTCAAGAAGGTTGAATTTCCGTATAATCCACGAGTTTCTTTGCCATTAACAACATGAAGAACAAGGAGAATTTTCGGGATGTGTCACCATAGTTTAGATGTTTGGTTGCATCTGATAAGATTTTAGCGGAACCTACATCTGATAAAAAAAATGCACAGTTTTCCTGAGGGGGTGCGCTCATTGGCACCGCGCATTTTCAAGTTGGATCAAGAACCCCGCATGTTTTGTATACTGTTTTAATCTGATTACACTGATCATTCACAAAGATGAATTTAGCTCGATCAAAATGGCATTAGATCATGCAGCTGCAAATAAAGCACCCTAATTTGATTCGAAACGTATTGTATTATGAAAACCTCAAGTTGTGTAAAACCAGGGCAATCATGATCTATTATGAAGGAGAGCATAGATTTTCTCAAGAAACACAGATATTGATCATCCAATGATCATAATCTACAATGAGTATCATCTCAATTTAGACAACACGAGTTTGTTTTCTTCTTTTTGCTCTCAGTATACAAAGTTGAAACAGGATACGACCTCTTATCAGATTGAAATTAGATGTTCCAAAGGCATTGCTCTATGATATTCATGGGATCGCTTCATGGCTTTGTGTACGTAGATGATGTATTATCAATATGAAAGTTTAGGATTGGATTGCCCTCATTTTCGTTATTCTTATAGAAAAAGCTTATATCTGAGAGCATTTCAATAAAACCGCCATCACAGCTGTATTATAAAAGATTATTTTATAGAGTTGTTGAACTCATAGAATGGCCTTTATTTACATGATTTCATTGCAAAACTACATTTGAGCACATCAGCATGCCGGACTCTACAGGATGCCAATACGCACAACTATATTCATAAACTGATCGCGCTACGTCGCATGTAGTCATACCCAGGGGTGAAAACATGGCTCGAAGATAGAGAGAGAGACATCATATCAAATCAATGGACATTTATAAATTTTTAAATTCTAAACATACTATTTCTTGAAGAATATCTTTGATAGGATGGCATTGTGCCCTACAGCTTTGTTGATGGCGACATATGCCAAGATGTGCATTATGGCACAAGCATACTCAAATCACAAATATCTAGCGCAAGTTTAAGATCAAATGAAGCACAACAAGACAAAAACGTATGATGAGCAAGATGCTGATGGAAATATTGCACCTGTTTTTCCGTATTTCCTGCCACCCTTCCCCTTGATTTATCATCATTTCCCATAACAAAACCAAAAGCGCGCATCGCCTAGATTTCAGGAATCGGGTACATTGGGGGGGGGGAGTTCTGCGGTGCCTTTTTCATAAAGTTAGACATCAATCAAGTTATGCTTCTTTTATACTTCCAATGTCTCAAAGATACTGTGCCTTTTACAATCTGGTATAACGTCGAGCAAAACTGGAAATACAAAAGACATTGCCCTTTACACAATGTACATTGAGTTGTTGTTTGGCAAGGCATCAGCAACCAAACGGCCTGACATATGAAAGTAATCAAGTGTAACAGACAAAAGAAGGGCCCGCTTGCTATTCATAGCACATCTGTGTAAGCTGCAATTATACCCTACCCCCCTCTTGTTTTGCATTAAACGAATAGCCATTCAATCGTGAGTGATTCTTTGGACTTGAATCGCCGTCCGTATGTCTTTTTATCGCTTGAAGAATATTTGCCTACTCAATGAGATGCTCTCGAGTCTATAGACATTGCGTATTTTCTATTGATTGAACGCATCCAACATATTTCATTTAAAGACTGTGGATCGGATGCATCGAATGAAGAGCAGGAATGTTGGTGAACATGAAAGAGTTGATATGCCGCCACCCAGGCATCTTTTGGCAGGTACAAACTTATCAGATTCTCTTCTATTTTTTACACCTTGTGAAACTGAACAGAGTAGGACAGAGGCAACTGAGAGTATACTGCAGAAATCTATTATAAGATGGATAATCATTTTTCGTTGAATCAATTTGGATTGATCGAGACACACATCTCTTTTGAAATTCAATCTTCTGTTTATTCTTTACCTTTCTGAAAGAGATCTCCTTCTCTTCAGAGTACACAATGAATGAAGGGTTCATTTATATGAGTGCGATATCATCAAAATGGCCAAGCATTCGAAAATAATTTATTTGGTGCACACATATATTAAATCTGTTCAAGATAATTTGCAGGTACTAAACCTTCACGAGAACCATCCTCTGATCTAGCTTTCCACCAGTCATCATTTTCCTTTACAAGAATAGTGATGGACTCTCCCATCTTCACATCCAAACAGCCTTGTCCAGCTGGGCCTTCAAAATCGTAAAGAGCCTTTGCCTTGATATTTAATTCTGGTACAGCTATGCAAAAAAAAAAAAAAAAAAAAAAAAAAATACTGTTATTATTTGAAATCAAATGGCTTTGCTGGTTGTCTGCCCATACCTTCGGGTTTAAGCTGTACATAGTTTCTAGGAAAGTAACCAGTCTTTTTTGAAGCTTCTGAGGTACCAAACCACCAATCTTCATTTTCATTAGCATCACGAACAAGGATCACTTCGTCTTGAGTAAAAGTCAAATCGTCAGGACCTGATCCTGGGTAGTCCCATAATGCAATATATTCTACAATAAATCATGTTTAGCAACTTGCAATTCTTTACATAAGATGAGATAGCTTACCATGTTCGGGCAATGATTCATCATGAGCAGGAGTTTGATGAACAGCAGACTCTGCGGCGGCAGGAATCGATTGTTGTGTATCAGCAGTGGGAACAACGGTAGATTCAACTGCAGGGCTTGATCCACCTGTACGAGACTGTAATTCGGCCAAGAAGCTACCACTAGACAAAGGAGCAGCAACTGGAATTGGAGCAGCAAACTCTTCAGCGGCAGGTACAGGCTGAACAGGCGTTGTAGAAGCTGGTGGTGGTGGTGCTGCGGCTGCTGACTCTCCTGAACTTTCAAGGACATGTCCAGCAATGGATGATGCACTACGGTCATTTGTCACAGCCTTCTTTAATCTAGTGCCAGATTGAATTTGACTCAATAAAGCACTTCTTATATCGCCGCCGCCAGCAGCGAATGGTTGTTGTTGTGGGCTACTTGTAGCTGCCATAGGTTGAGCTGGAGCAGGTGGAGCAGGAGGAGGTGGTGGGGGAACACTGCCTTCAATAGCAGGCTGTGCTGGTGGAGGAGGAGGTGGAGGAGGAGGAATAGCATCATTATTACTACCAAGTGCAACGGGAGGAGTAGCTGGGATATTGACAGGTGTTGAAAAGTCTACTTCGTCAGGCTTGGGTGATGCACCCGATTCAGACACAGAGTCTAAATTACCACCGCCTCGCTTGCTCATGGCACTGAAAAGCATGCCAGCTAAATTTTTAGCACTACCAGCAGCGGGGAACTCATTTTCATCGTCTGAATCGTCGTGGCCATCCCAACCATCATCATCTTCGGAATCGCTATCTTCTTTAGCACCACCCTTTGTAGCAGAGAATGCAGAGAATGCAGCAAATGGATTATAACTGACACGCTTGTTGGAAGGCTCGTTGGGTTTTTCTGCCTGAGAAGAACCTGAAGGCGAAGGCACTGAAGGGGCGGTGGTAGGGGTGGTGGTGGATTGTTGGATCTTTGCAAAGGGATTATTGCTGCTTGTACTAGCACTTGGTGCTTCTGGAATTGAAGCAGGTGGAGGTGGAGGTGGGGGTGATACTACTGAAGGAGATGCTTCCTCAGGTTTATGCTCCAATTTCTTGGCAGCTTCGGCAGCTTCTTCCTCGCGTCTAATAGCATCAAAGCGAGCTTGTCTATCTGCTTCCTCCTTGGCCAAGACTTGTCTTCTTCTTTCTTCCATATCACGCTCCTCCTCCAAACGTCTCGCTTCTTCATTTTGCTCCTCTTCGGCTTGACGACGCGCCTTTTCAGCTTGTTCCTTTTCCAAGTCATCTAAACGTTGACGTTCCAGTCTTTCGCCTTCACGGATACGCTCCAGTTCAGCCTCTCTGTTCTTACGATCGTTCTCCTCTCTTTGACTGACAGAGGCACGCAACATATCTTGTGCTTCACGCTCAGCATCACGAAGTCGTTCTATAGAAATGGCAACATGGTCAAATCGACGGTACATTTAGGCAAAAAGTTCTACTTACGTTGAGCGGCTTCTTCAGCTTCATTGGGTTTACTGACCGGTGGCGCGGCAGGCGAAGGAGAGGAGACAGCAGCAGGCTTAGGAGAGCTACCTGGATTTCTTCTAGCCTGAATAGCAGCCAAACGCTCTTGTACACGACGCTCAGCTTCCTTCTTGATTTCTTCAGCTGTACGAGGGCGAGCAGGTGTGGCCTTGGGCTTAGGACTTGAAGTGCTACTAAGAGATGGGCTGGAAACGGAAGCAGGACTTTGATAACCACTGCCAGTAGTAGATGCTCCACCACCAATGGATCTCATTGCGGTGTTGTTAGTTTGACGAGGCATGTAAGTTGACGACGCATAATCTGAGCTTCTGCTATCCAACTGCTCAATGAAACGACGCAATTCGTAAGAGAGATCCTGCCCATTTTCAAATCGTTTCTTGTCTTCCAAATCTTTAGACGCAATCATGTCCTCCAAGTACTTGAGGTCACCACGCATATCCAATAAAGCGGTTCTCGACTTTTCCATCTCACGCTCAATGGCATCTGCTTTGCGATCAGCCTCCTCCTTTTCTTCCTCTGCACGACGAAGACCGAAACCAGCATCCGTGCTGGACCCACTGTTACCCGCTTTACGAGCAGCCATCATGGCCTTGGCCTTGGCACGCACACGATCACTCTCCGTGATGGATCCACCAGGACCCGTAGGTTGAATAAAAGCCATGAAATCCTGTGTGCCGTCGTTCTTTCGAGAGTGGCGAACCTTGGCATCTCTTAATTCAGCAGCTGATCCACGCAATTGACGAGCTAATACGGGGATATCTCGGTTGCACAAGTACTGGATCTCATCTTGAAGTGATTTCTGTGTTTCGAGCAATCCCATCAATGTTTCAGCATTCTCGGCATATTTGATAGAGGCAGCATTGTTGCGGGAGGCGTGGTTGAGGTCGTCTTGTGTACGTCTGATCTTTTCTTTGAGCTCTTCCAAAGAGTATTTGTTACTACCACTGTAAGAGTTGCTGTTGGCATAGGAGCTGGGTTTGGGCATACGATCCAAGGTACGTTTGGTTTCAGAGATTTGACGACGCAGATCCTCTAGAATGGCAACATCTACTTCATCGTCGTCATGGTCATTGTAGCGAGAAGAATAGGATCTAGCACTGGCAGATTGAGGACCCTTTCTACGAGAACTGGAGACATAATCACGTTGATTGCTGTTGTAAGGCGAATAATCGTCATCATCATCTTCTTGTTGCTGCTGACGAGAGTTACTGCCAAAAGATGGCGTGGAAGGTGGAGGACGGCGACCCAAGACAAACTTCTTGAGCAAGCTGGAAGGAGGCTTGAGCTCAGCAGGCAACACGGAGGGGATCTCGAATCCATTCAATTTGCGATATACCAAATGCATGGCGATAGAGAATTCATCAATATCCAGACTGCCTCTGTTCTCACTGTCTGCCAGGTTCCAAATCTTCATCAAGTCGGCAGGAGGCAATTGAGATTGAGTCAACACATCCTTTGCGGTATCTCCAGACATGAATCCAGATCCTGAGCCCTCCCATGCATTGAAAATCTCGCGATATCGCTGCTTGTCTTCAGGGCTGATTTTCCATGATAATCGGTTAGCGTCTGTGGTGCCCAGACTAGGATTGAGCAGATTGGTGACACCGTTTTGGTTGGGCATCATCTTTTTAGCGAACTCTAGGTTTTGAAGACGAGGTTTGTTGGCAGCGGGAGGTGGTGGCATTGATGGTTGAAAACCTGTTTGCATTGGTGCTTGATAGTTGGAAAAGCCGGTTTGCATAGGTAATTGAGGTACAGGTGGAGGCGTAGCCCTGAATTGATTCTGCATAGGCATACCTGTCATCATGGGCACTTGAGATGGCATGCCAGTCATTTGAGGCAGCATGCCGGCCATTTGTGGTTGCTGTTGCATTCCAGTCATCATAGGGCGATTCATAAACTGCTGCTGCTGTTGAGGAGGGATGCTCACATTGACAAGCTGTTGCGAGAGCTGACTGGTCTCAGTGGAGGCGATGGTTGCCATGGCAATTTCTGTTTCCTCTCGTACATTGGGGGGAAGGGCAGCAGGAAGAGTTTGTCCTGTTAGCTTTTTTGAAGTCAAGAACATGGCAACTGCAAATTCAGGAAAGGTCAAGAAAGGAGCATTTGCAATGGAAGCAAGATCCCTAAACAATAACACACGATATGAGACATCCAATCCATGCAGACATACATAGCCTGGCTGTGTATATTTACCAAATTTTTGCCAAGGAATCATTATCGAGATTCGATCGTCGAAGCAGCTCACTAACCGCGTTGGCTAACATGGTGTATGAAGAATGAGTCCATGCATTATCAGACTGTACAAAATCCAAATTCTTACCGGGAATCTTGTTTCCACCATAAGCAGCGGCACTTTGAGCAAACAATTGCTCGAATTTAGATTGATCTGTTTGCGTTAAAAAGCTCAAACGAACACCTTTTTTTGCCTGTTAGTGTCTTTCTTCTACAAAACGTTAATGCATTTAATCAGCTTTACATACCTTTTGAAGGGCCTGATTGACCTCCAGTACTGTTGAACATTGTATGATTGTATCAGTCTCTCTCTTTGCAAAAGAATAAATAGTATAAAGTATACAACAAATGCTTTATTGCAAAACGAGAAGAAGGGAAGAGAAAAAGAAGAAAAAAGGAAAAGAACATGAATTGCTTCTTGTTTTGGGTTGCTGTTAAATGTCCGCAGTTCCTATAACAAACCATCATCGTCTTTAGTACATCATTAATCATCGTAGGTAGACAATGGATTCTTCAAATAAAGCTGATGCACTTTGGTTTGGTCTTGGTCAGCATGCAACATGGATACATGGATGATTACCGCTGATGATTTGTATTTGCAAGTGGAATAGAGGCATTTGATCTTGCTACCTGCGATCGCCTGAACGAGTGCAGTCTATGAATAGTGTTAAAAGAGCATGCTCTCCCTAACTGAATATAGTAGCATCCACTTACCGTCTCTAAATGTCTAATCTCAATGACATTGGATGAAAATGCAATTAAATACGGGTAATATACAACAACCGACTTTGCTTCTGATTCGAATTCAATCTCTTGTTGCAGGGAATCGGCATTGGCGTCTGCTACTGGGCATGCAAATTGAGCACTGCAGATGAGGCCTGTGCCAGGCTGGTTCAAGGCGACGTAGCCAATGGTTGTTAGAGCAGGATTGTCCACTTGATGGTTGCCAATCATGGAGACATGGTACGGTGCAGGTAAGTCGATGCGGTATGAATACTTGGGTGCATGCTCGTGCAAATGATGAGAGCTTGAGGAGGAGCCCGCTGTGATCCAGCTGATAATGTCAACCTTCTCAATACCTTCTGCCTTGGATCGGATGTATACATGATCGTCAATAATTTTGAGGTCTGAAGGCTGGATGAACAGAGGCTTGTATTCTTTGAATTTCTTGAACCATGACGATTGTGTTGTACCATCAGCTCGGTAAAACAGGAGCACTAGACGAACTGAGCCTGTACGACGTCGACGTAAATAGCAAAGGATAGACTCACCGCCCAATGTACCAACGGCAAAGTGAACAACGCCTGACTTTTGCAGTATATGAATATCCTTGAAACTTGTATAATGGTCATTGTGGACGGCAGGTACTGTTGATAGGGGCTTGCTGCTGGCAGCAACATCTGAAGAGGAAGATGGATAAATATCGTCAATCATAATGACACCCAGCATTCTGTTGGGTTTAGAGCTTCTGACAATGATCATTCTGTTATCAAACAGTTCCAGCTGATGACAGTTGCAGGATAGGATTTGCTTGAAGAGCTCGGATCCGTCTGTATATGCTACCCATAGCCCGTACTGACTTCCTAGTGCGATGGCATCTCTACCATCCGAGGCAGTAAATGGCAAAGAGCACCAAATGGTGCCGCATCCCGTTGCATATCTTCCACCCACACTTTGTAATTGAGAGCAATTCAGGTTGCTGCAGATAGGCTTGAGTTCAAAAGGCCCGTGATCAGGGTTGGGCAGGATAGACTTAATCTTGTTCTTCCACATCAGTCGATTCTCGGTCGTTGGGCATTCGAATAGGTAATTCAGGTTTGGATCAGCAATGTGATGTAGTTGCAACAGTCTTGATCTCAAGATGTGTGGTGAGTCGGTACGAGCTGGGTATGATGCTGATTTCTGCAATAAAGAGGAGGGCAGTATGCTAAAGGTATCAGACGCAATGGCCGTATCCGCATGCTGGTAGGAGGGTATTGATGTCTTGTTTCTTTTGCGAATGCGTTGCTTCATTGTTTTGATGCGATGTCGTATTTTCAAGCCTGATATAGTATAGACATCGGAATAGATGGACGAACTCTCGTCTGACTGATTGCTCGCTTCTGCTACTGCTGCTGCTGCTGCTGTTGTCATGGCAACGAACCGATTACTGCTATTATCGCTATGGCTACGATAATGGTGATGATAGTACTGCTTTTTGATGGATGATAGTAAACTCGATTGGCGATGCGAGACGAGTCTGGAGCGACTAGACGAGGTGCGTCCAATTTTGAGCATATGAATGGGTATTGGCTTATCAATAAGTATGAATTCCACATCACCGTCTGCCGTTGTTCTCTTCCGTGTGATGATCAAAACATTTGTGAACAGAAACAGCTGGCATACAGTGGGCGGAATGGGCGGCGGCTTAGTCAGATTTAAGGTGCCCTCAAACAACAAACCGACATCATCAGGCAGGATCTGTTGCAAACGATGCTGATAGCGAATGCTGGGTCTCTTCATGCGCAAACCAAGCTTGATTTCCATGAGCCTTTGTTCGGCTTCAGCTTTCCGAGTGGCTTCGTTTATTTTGTACAAGATATCACCTAATAGAGAGATGGTTTTGGTCAAGGTATCACGTTCGTTGTGCTCTGAGTTTTTCAGAATGGTGTCCAGCAAGAGGTCGTACTTGGCCATGCGCACAATAGGTGATATGAGCAACCCTTTGAGTGGTATGCGAAAATCCTTTTCGATGGCTTCTTGCTGCTCAATGAAGCGCACAAATGCTGGATTCTTGCTGTACTCCAAGCTGTATTGGAACTTTGCAAATACATGATTTGAAACGTATCGAATATAGGGATCTATCATTCTGGAAAAATGCTTGTACAGTATATTACCGATCGTGGTGGAATCAGGAAACAGGTTAAAGTTGTTTGAGTCTCTTGAGCCGTCCAATTCTCGAACTAGTTTCTTGTGGTAGTTTGCAAGAATGTGATAGTTTCCAAACAGCGTATCATGAAACGAATACCGTCGCGATTCCTCAATTGTTGTTTGCGATGATAACAAGGGTCGTGCAAATATGTCTCGAACAACAACAAGCTGTTTCAAGAAATTGTTTTCGTAATTTTCAAGCTCTTCAATAGCAAGCTGTCTCTTTTTCTCTGTGGGTGTCAATTCTTCGAGAATGTATCGAGGTATTTTAGAGGTCCAGTCCTAAAGGTTGAAATGGGTTAGACGCATATACGACTAAATCAAGTAACGATCATCCAACTTACAATGTGATCTGTATCATTGACCTGACTATCATTCAGATAAAAGGCAACTAGCTTTCTGTTAGGACAGCAAGGCGAGTAGCAAATATCATTGACGTGTGGTTTACAAAGAGGTGAATAACATCGGGTGACATTGACAAGTATGCTTTGTGTTGTGACATCGTGAATCAAGTAGATGTTCTTTGACGAGGGTACCAAGACTCTGTTTTCGACGAGTGAATCAAAAAAATACTCTTTAAAGTCTTCTCCTATTGATTGATCTGTCAAAACAGACTGGCAAGCATCCTATGAACTGTGGTAAATATCAAGCATAGCGTTTCAAATGCATCTTCTTACGAGCGCTTCAGTTTTTGTGATTTGTGCATATTGCGCTTCTTTTACAAATAACTTGGTCAATATGGAGAGGCAGCCACTGCTGATATGAAAAGATGATAATGCGGATGTAGATCCGCTTGACTATCAAGAAAATTAATATACAAAGTAAAAAATATGTCATGTCCTCTCTCTCTCTCTCTCTCTCGCCTTGTCTTTAATTTCGCCCCCTTACACTCTCTTTCAACATTCAATAAGTCTAAAAATTAAGAAACAATGTGTAGTTTAATAAAAAAAAAAAAGGGAAAAAAATAGGGGAGATGTATTGATTATGAAAAAGAAGCTTATTATTTATATCACGAGATACACAGCATTTGTACGCTGTGGTTGCACATAATGATGGATGCCCCCTTCCCATCACTAATGTGATTGCAAGAATGAACTAGAAAGTATAGGTCTGGTCTTGCCATCAAGATATTTAGCTCAAAAAAATCTCTTTTGGCTTGTATATCTCGACGTTATTGATATGAAAATGAAAGGGAGTTCAAGGAGAGAATTACGAAATGTAAAGGGGTTGTTTTCCAAGGCAAATCCCGTATGGTATTGCCCATAATTTGGCAAACAATAAACCTAATATCTTTGGGTGCCCGATTTGCTAATGATGATCTTGATACTCCTCTTCAATAAACAGAAAAAGCTTGTTGTATTTACATTCTTTACGTTTTCTTTCACTCTATCTTTATATATATATATATATGACCACCTGTAGCATGCCCCTGTCGATTAAAGATAACATTATTCCCTTCAGCACTACATTAAACAGCAACTACTCAATACATGATTCATTTGCCTCATTCGACTCGTCAACATCATCATCAACGCCAGCAACTGCCACCAGAATAATACACAATGGCGACCAAGAAACTCGAATCAAACAGCTCCACAATCAAGTCGAGCAGCTGTCTCTATCCAATGCTCGGCTGGTAAGAGCGAATCGTATCCTAAAACTTGATTGCGATCGCATTGTGGAAGAACAGACGACACACTTGAAGCAGGCTTTAAAGTTGTCAGTGGAGCAAAACATTCGGTTGCAACGAGCGAATCGACTATTGAGAGATGATTATCTTAGCCAAACAGTAAAGTAAAATGACTAGAGTTGAACCAAATCCACATTACAGCCTTCGCTAACTGTAACTGCTCCCTCAAAAACAGGAAGAATTGAATAACATCAAGATGGAGCAAATTCGGAAAATGACAAATGTTGGCCCTGAATATGAATACTTGGTTCAAGTCATCAACTTGCTGTATCGACAGCTCGCTGGAAAATCCGATTGCGAAACAACATGCTGTTTTACAGAGAAACCACTTCACTCCAGCAGCTCTTTAATTGTATCACCACAGAAACAACAAGACAATGATGAGATGAAGCATATATGCAGGCCCGAAATTAAATCACACAATATACCAGCAGGAGGCTTGGCCTCCGCACTAGAGCAAGAGAATAATCAACTAAGGGATGGCATGGACATTTTGATAGATGACAGAGATGCACTCTATCAGCTATTAAAAGACAAGGAAGAGGACAATGAAACATTAAAGTATGAGCTGAAAGTAAAGGACGATATTGTCAAGCAACTGGAAAATGACTTTGAGAAAATGGAATTGGAAGTAAATGATTTGCAAAAGGTAACAATGGATTGTGCTTCTTGTAACTGTAACTTGTGTATTGAGTTACATTGATAGGACTATCACTACAGAACTTCCAACAGAAATACCAAAAGTAATGCTATGCGATCACCGGATAGCTCTTTTTCAGATCTGCATTCATTCCCATCTGTACCAACGTAATGAAACGCCCAAGAATAATAAACCAAGAGAGACAAAAGGAGAGAGATGCATGGATCGCAATAGCACAGTTGTCTGGAACATCTCACAAGTCAATGTAGCATTGGACCTCTTTGGCTATGCGAGGGTGATACACAATAAACCTTTAGCAAAGTGATGAGTAGGACAAATTTCATTCCTTTTTATGTGTTTAATGTTCATTAAGTGGTGTCATACATGCCCTCGAAAGTCTATTGAAATCAGCAAATACTGACCTAAATAATTGATATCTGAAAATGTACGCCTGAGTGACGCACCGCATCATTGCAGATCACTATGGCGTATGATTCATGATGAAAACATCATTATATACGGACTTGAGTTTACAAGACATGATATACTAAATGGTGAAAACCTGTTCAGAGCCAACCATCCACCCTTAAGTAGATATACTTACCTGAAAAGTATTGCTGTCATCGATTTGCTGAGCCTATAACTGTTTAAGATATACGAAAGAAAGGGCCGATTCATTGAATGTTTCCTGCTTGCCACGATTGGCGTGTTCATCAAAGCAGGGAAATGCCACATTGAAAAGAAGGCTTGCAATAACAGCGAGACCTGTATCCAAGGTAAAGATTTGATAGCGACAGACACCAGTAAAGGCATTTAGGCACTTGTTGTTCAAACAGACAAAGGATTTATTCGTTGTTTTGACCTTGCCATCACGTTTGGACATGGGGTGCGACAGCTTGTGAAAGCAAAGAGGCATGTTTGAGACGTGTTGTATTTATTCGTAATGAGAGTAGGAATAGAGCGACCGTGCAACTCTTGCCTCCATTTGGTTGATGACCTTTGATTTGTGAGCCCACGCCATAGCCTCTATCGCCCACAACAGACATATTCAACTGAGAGATAAAAGGTTGACAACATTTGATTCAATACATTGTTCGGCCATAGAATTTATTGGTTTAATAAATCAGCTTGCATAGCTTACAATTATATATATGGTTGTTCTGTGAAACGAAAAGTAGAGAGCTGTCATTGTCATAGTAATCAACATCCCACTCATTATTGTCATCATCAGAAAGGCATTTGGGCCAGCCAGCAGCTAGTCGCCGCCAAAATCAATTAAAACTCAGTTTATTTTTTTTCTGCTCAAGATTGGACAGATTGTGTCTTTTCTCGACTTCTTTAATCCATTTTGAGATATTCGACTATATGAACTGTGGTTATCATCCGATGCTTCCTTATTCATTCTTGGAACACTTTTTAAGGCGCTTCTAATGGTTCTAACTGTAATAAATGCTTCGGCTGAAATTATTGAGCAATTTAATAAAATTTGAAATGAGATTTTTAGCGAAAATCGCCATATTTTGCATATAAAAGCCTTATAAAAATGGTTTCAGAGGTTGCTTTGGATCGAGAGAAACATTTTGAATTAATATATACCATAGTAAAAGCTTTTATTTTCAAGGTCAAAAATGCGATCGTTTGATTTTCGTCAAAAACCATGAGGTATCCCTCCTGCTTTTTGGTCGATTTTTGGTCATTTTTTTTTGGGTCCCCAAAAAGTTGAGCAAACGTGTCAGGAAGTTATCACGACTCGAGTAAAGTTGTTTGGCGTTATTCCAATGGCCCAGAATGGCCTACATACCAAGATATGAAAGCTTGAAAATTGTCAAATTTGCTCGTGTTCCATGCACTTGGTTATGGTATTCATACTGTGCTGACATTCTGTATGCCATTTGAATCCTAACAGATGCTCAACAGCCATGTGGAACTAGTGAGGGGTTTTGTTTGCCTCAGTTACCAATAAAAAAAGTATTCCAGTTATTCAAACATTTATAAATCTAGTCTTTGGCTTCACAATGGGTACCCGTCAGCTTTTTAAAAAAAGAGCATTCTTAGATACATTATTATCAGGGGAATTCCATTGTGAGATTATAGGTTAGTCAGCGTCAGACGCAGTTTTTTTTTTCATATTCTATGTGGTATTGCTAGTGTAAGGCTTCATTACAACTTGGCAATACCGTCAAAATGGTTAGCGGTCTCGCAATATTGACATCTCCAACAATTTGATCTGCTAGACACTTCACCCAATAGAGATTAGTATTTTGAAACGCCTCTTTAATATAAATTCAGGGGTAAGATTTGATCTGGTTTTAGCATGGAGTACACTCATCGCAAGTTCATGAGAATAACTATCTTTTATCCATTTAGTTACAGCATTTGCGAATGAGCCATCATCAGCTCGCAACAAAATGTCTTAGATCCACTAAAATTCATTTTTGAATCAAGGTGATAGCAGTCTTTGTACTATGTTCATTTTTTCAGCACGCCAAGTCAGATCTTTAAATAATGTTCGATATGTGGGATGAATATCTCATAGATACCCCATAAAAGCCTCTTATATACTTAAGATTACCTATAGAGTTATTTACTCTCTTTAGGAGAGATGATTGAGCATAAATCAGATGAGTCATACAAAATGAATTACATACGATAACGCACAAAGCAATGTTGTAATCATGTTGTATGAAATGATGCATTAAAACCATACATCGTTCATAAAGTCAGGTATATAAAGCCAATGGCATCATGCCAAAAATATGGAACATCTATCAGAGCTATGTCATGTTGGTAATAGCTAGTCTATTATTCTAGATTCAAGAGATAAAGTGGATCCATTCTCGTAGGACAAGTGTAAATTGTGTGCACTTTTTTTTTTTTTTTTTCAAATGTTGTTCATAAAGAGTGAAAAGGTGCTTAGAAATATCATGTTGCGAGATAAATAAAGAGCATTGCTAACAAAAAGCAAGTTTTCCGATTTGGAATAGTACAGGTAATAAACATCATGATTTATTCCACAATTTCACGCTTGCTTTTCAATATCGTCATATAAGCCTACATACCCGAAGGCAACCACAGTTCCCTTTTTTGTGTCACGTGCAGAAGAAAAAAAATTTTCATGATATAAAAGAGATTGTTGTGCACAGTTTTCATGGCTCTTTGGTTCCTTTTTTTACTTCTTTTTTATTTCATACAACAAATTTTCTAATAGAAGAGAGAGATATAGAGACATTATACGAATCTTTTCCCTTTTTTTTTATTCTTTAATTTACGTTTTACGAAACAGTTTAGAGATTTTCCTTTTTTTTTTCTCTCTTCTTGAAAAAGGACAAACTCTCTCTTCTCTAAAGAGAAAAACCCAACAACAACCAACTAAACAACATGCTCCCCACTCAGTTGTTTGTTACACCCACCACTGCAGCAATGACCAGCAGTTCAGGAAGTCATCAAGATCTTGCCGATTTTGCATCTTCTATGGTTTATTTGATGTGGCATGCAAGAAAGACAACCAAGGCTTTAGTTTCAGAAAGATCTTATTCACCTTCACTGGTTGGAAACGATTTGGCTTATCTCATGTGGCAATCGAGAAAGCCTATGACTAAAGCTCAACACTACTCTCCTCTTGGTGGTGATCACTCCTTCTCTTACACCGCAAGTCCTGCATTCAAGAAGTTTTGCTATCAGGTAAATAATGCTTGATTTACTATTTTATCATGATGAATTAACATAATACATAGGTGCTTACGGCTACCCAATTGCAGGAATCCGCTGTATACCTCTCTTTGAAGTATATTGCTATACTGTTACAATCAAATCCTTCCATTGAAGGTGCTGAAGGCTCCGAATATCGCTTATTCATCGTCGCTCTAATGTTGGGTAAGACATCAAGCGGAACCCTTGCTTTTTTTTTTCTGATGATTCTTTAATGCTAACATGCTTAATTTTCTATCACATTCTAGCCAACAAATTCTTGGATGATAACACATTTACAAACAAAACTTGGTCCGATGTGAGTGGAATGAAGGTACATGATTTGAACATCATGGAAGCGGAATTTCTTGAGGCTTTAGATTACAACCTGTTCGTTCGTGAATACGATTACTCTGTGTGGAAACATTTATTAGAAGAATGTCGTGAAAGAGCACAAATGTCTTACTACGATGGACCTCAGCAACGTCAGCAATTAGTCTTGATGACACTGCAAACCCTTGGACTTTACACTCCTTCCACATCACCAGTTTCTTCCACAGTCAGTTCTCCTACGACTTCGTTCCATGATTGGGATGCTGCGGCTGCAAGATTGCAATTGGAAAATTCACATAGACGATACCAACACTTTTTGCAACAAAAGGTTCCTCCGACCCAATTACCTTACGTTATGCAACCACCTGTTGGCTACGGCTACAACGCATGTGGATACATAAATGACTATCCTATCACCAATTTGTCTCAGTCCTCATGGGATCCCCTTGCTTACAGTCTCAACCGTTGTCAAGACCTCTCATATTACTCCAACAGTGCGCAGAACTTCGCCTCTGCCAGACCCATTTCTTGGAGAAACTACAACTAAACATCAACTCATCAACATCATTGACCAGCAAAAAGAAAAAAAGAGGATTCTTTGCTCATCTACCCTTTTTTTCCTTTTATCAATGGATCTACAACCGTATTGAATAGTTCTCTCTATGTATCAAGGAGATTGACCCACTCTTTGATATATCAAGGGCCATCTATTCTCTACATTTACTACCCTAATTTTTCTTTTTTTTTTACCCTTTTTTTTTTTTTTTTTTTTTTTTAACCCAAATCAACAAAACATTTTTTCCCTCTTCATTTACTATCTTCATTTAATTTTTTTTTTTTTACCTTTTATTTCTTTTTTTTTACACCTTTTTACTACCTATATTTTTTAACCACTTTGCTACAACTACTCACTGTATTTTTTAACCCAAAAAAATTATAAAATGGTCAAAAAAATGAACAAAAAAAAAAAAAAAAAAAGCAGGAAAAAAAAGAAAACAGAAAAAGATGACCGAAATGTATCATCTGAAATTGTAGGAACCTGAATGCAATGTATGGATTCAAACAAGCACATGTCAGTTTTTTCTTTCATTGAAAAAAGGTAACGTACTTGAATGATTCATCCACTTGTATTGATTGCTAGTTCTTGTTTTTGGTATGATTGCTTCCATCTTTCTTTTTTCTTTCGAGTCCCAAATCTAGTTACTTTTTTTTCCAGTAACGTATGTGTTTGCGATCTTAGATCAGCGTTGTAGATTGACGATTACTGTGCTGATAAGAGAGGGGTGAAGGGTGATCAGGAGATGAAATGGTTTGTAGTGGTGGTAGTGGTGGTAGTGGTGGTGGTGCTCGGGTCAACTTGATATTTGATACCATGAAATAAATCAATTGATCAAATCTCACACTTTTATAACTAATTAATATTTGGGTGAATAATAAGCATACAGAGTGTTCTATTGAGAGAAATCCAACATCTACAGGACTGTCATGTCAGGGCTGCCATGTACATTACTATAGTGGTTGATGTAGAGATAAAATTACGCGCCGTTTAGCATGGCTGACATAAACGTTTCATACTCCTTGGCACTTTGCTCATTAAAACGCACCAGTCATTGACAAACTAAATGAATGAAAGATCATCCCGCTGCAACCTAAAGACATTTAGACCATTCTAGCCAACTGTTACAAGATTGATAAATATTAAATGATTTTGTCTTGATTTCGATCTTTAAGAGAGAACCCTGAATAAAGGTTTATGACCTCAAATAGTCGATCTTTTGTGCTATTTTTGTCCCTTTTAATTTAAAAAGATAATTGACACTGCCTGTCCGTTAGCGACGGCAGGTCGACTACCATTTATTAAAGATTGTGGGCCCCTCCAAATAATCCATGGTGAAATTACAATAAAACATTCACCGATCAGTAGATCCACTTGAGGACATTTCGTATTATGATGCAGAAGCTGGCATCTTTTTATCAAAAAAAGTCAAAAAAGGATCATTTAGGCCTAAATATACGACGTTACATGAGATTCTGTAGCACGAACGCTCCAGGAGAGGAAGATGGGGAGATTGAAAAGGCACCTTGTTGGTTATATAAAGCTAATTAGAGAGACCATCAGTCTTGACTCCCTTTCCTTTCTTTCATTACTCCTTTTGTATTCCTTACATATACATAGATCGAGAGAGAGATGAAGATTTGTACACATTTCATAAGTCTAATATGGGCAATATCACTTGTTATTGCGTCTTCTTTTGCCTCCAACGTAGACCTATCCAACACATTTCTTTTACAAGCAAACGACAACAATCAGAATCACAATATAGATGTGCATAGGTTTACACAGCTCCTCTCTAATCATCTATTATTCGATCACTTTGACAAAGCATACCTTCAACTCTCGAGAAAAATATCGTTCCAATTCAGAGATGCCATCCAAGTCAAGGTCAAGAAGATTAAATCAAAAGGATCAAGCAGTAGCAGCCGTATGAGTAGCACCTCAACGGCAGCAGCAGCTGTGGTTGTTCAGCCACCAGTAGATGTGCAAATCTTGAAGAGACAGCTGAAAGGAGCTGTTGGTTGTAAGTCTTTCACTTTGCTTGTCTTACAAAAAAAAAGTAGTAATAACTGGATTTATTTTTAGCATTTGTCGAGGACAAACTACCAACAATATTAACCAATCGATACAATACCACCAGCTTGCAAAATCAATTAGACGATTTACTAATTCAGTATTGCCCCAGCATTTACACAAATCAACAACGAGCTGTCTCCCACCAATGTCTACTAGATAACCGAGAATTGTTTTTGCAGGACATCTATTCGTACACAACATACGAACTACAATCCACTTTATTGAAAGTAAATGAATTTGACTTGCCGAGATTGTTTGAGAAAACAAGGGCACAAATCTCGGGAATCTTGATCCACTTTAATCAACACACATTGGATAAAAATCATCATCGACTCGAGCTCAAGATCAAAGCATCCAAGGCGCCGGCAGTGGCTATCGATGACACATCACTCTCTTTACCGCCTAGCTATTATGATAACAACAAGTTCCGTAACTGGATTACGCCGGAAATGATTCTAGACTTCATCACAACAGTGACACATTCAGACAACGAGGAAGAACATACCATTCAACATTTTATAGATTTATCCATGTAGCAAAAAAAAAAAAAAAAAAAAAAAAAAAAAAGCTTGTGAATAAAAGCAGGAAAAAAAAGGGCTTATTTATTATGATTACTATTATACAATACACTTCTAAACTGTGTGCTACTATGTTGGTGATAATTTTCTTTCTATACGTCTCAGTTTTCGCAGCATGATATTGTTGAGTGGAATATTATTAAGAGGCATGTCTTGCAGTATAATTTCTTTGGCCAAGTGAGGTTTACCGATTTTGAGCAATCCATCCACAAGTTTGGTATAGGTTTCTACATTTGCTTTGCATCCAGTTTCTTGTTCCATTTTGATAATGTATTTTCGAGCTTTTTGTAGTCGGCCCTTTCTAGCCAACATGGCGATCAGCTTTTCATAGGTTTCTTTTTCAGGTTTCATTCCACGGGATCGCATTGATTTGAACAATTTCTCGGCTATACTCGAGTTTTTATCGTCAAATGTAGCTGCATCCATGAGGATCTTGAATGTCAACCCGTTCACTTCAATGTGCTTGTCGTCTTGACCAGGAAATAGCTCACCACGATTGTTTCGAAATAGCAATCCAACCATAAACTCAATCTTCTTCTTTTTCAGTAGATTGGTGATGGCGATGTTGTTGAGAAAAACTTGATCTGCTCGAGATGCCGAGGGTGAGTTGAGTAATTTGTCATACAAGCTGTCTCTCATGGCACTTGGGGCATCATACGAGTTGAGCATTGTACGCATTGTCGATAAATCCGGCGTGACATTGACAAGCTTCATATGAGTGAGGATATCCAGGATTTTGTCATAAGCAGTTGTTTTGTCCTCCTCCATTACAGTTGCACGCATTAGCAAGTTGAAATCAACGACATCTGGACCAGTTGTATGAGCAGCGATGATTTTGAATGTTGACTTTGCGGATTGAACATCGCCTTTGATAAGATAGCACGCCACCAAAGAGGACAATCCCACGTGAGTCAATGAAAGGTCAAGCTGCTTGTTCAGTTGAAAAGCGCTTTCAAATAGATCCACCTGCCCTGTTTGCGCAGACAAACTAAATAAAGCTCGAACAGCAGCTTTGGCTAAATTAGGCTTCATTTCAGGCACAGTCTTCTCAACCTCCAGGGACAGTACTTGGGCTGTATCGAATTGTTTGGAACGTATCAAACAGCGTAGAACATGCACCGTTGTATCCGCTTGTATAAATCCAGGGTATAACTCTTTGCATCTTTTGTAGAGTCTCATTGTATCCACATGGTATCTCAATTTCGCTGCTCGTGCGAGTAGTACTTGCATCGTATGTAGAGGTACCGCAAGGTTGTGTTCCTCCATCTGTTCCCAAATGCTGACTGCATGTGCAATGTCCTTTTGTGAAGTGTACCACTCAATCAATTTCCTTGAGCAAACTTGCGCGCTTGTCGTGTCTTGCATGTAGAGTGTATCTGACAAAAGTTGCTCTGCTGTGTGTAGCTGTCCAGTGTGTATGCTTTTGTCCAACAAGTTTTTCACAACCGAGAAGGTGCTCATACCAAAATGCCGCTTTCGCATATAAATAAGTCGCATGTCGTTCAATCGCCACTGCCTCATACAATCCATTGCAAAAACGTTGAGCGCTTCGTCTAACAACTGTCTATCGTCTGTAACATATCGAGTGACCAATTGTGCTAGGTCTTGACCAGGGTGATTTCTCTTCAAGTAGTGTGCTGCGGCCTCCAATTGATCTGATGCGACCATACACATAATCACAGAGCTCACGATGCTTCGAGTGGGCGCTAGGTCCAGCCTTTGAATATGCTCTAACCAATAATCGATTCTGTCCTGCTGCTTGTTCTTTGATAATACTCGCATCACAGCTTCATATGTCTCCATGCCTACTTTTTTCCACTTGGCTGTCGTTTCTGCCAGTAAATCTTCTGCTCGTTTTGAGTGGTTCAATTCTGTTGCAAGGTATATCATCTTTTCCGCATCCCCTAATCGATACTGTGCATGCTTGAACTTTCGACGCTTCAGATCCTGCAAGATTTGGTATGCTTCGTACATGGACGCATTCGTCGTAAGATCGTCAGGGTTGGACATGAGTCGAGAAACCAGAGTGTCAATATCCATTTGTGTCAATTGCGCAAAATGGTGTGGTGATGCTTTCAAGGAATAGTACATCTCCAATAGCTGCTTTCTAGATTCCCGTCGACTGATGGCTTTCCGAACAAGAGGTGAATAGCTCGAGATGCGGGGGTCAAGACTTTGCAAGGAGGTCGAGGTGTCGTGGTGGTATAACTCGTTTCGCAAGCTCTCTAATAACTTTTGCTTGTCTCGAGTAGTAACGGAGGTCGACGATGGCTTACTCTGTGTTGGCTTGTAGGGTTTGATAGCTGTTTTCAATGGTATGGTGGTGTTGACACTGGTGGCGGTGCTGGTGGAGGAAGTAGCTGCTGATGCAAGGCTTGTATTTCGCCGTATATGGTGAGTCAATACTGGGGTCCTTCTCGAGAGACAACTGTGGCATATCTGTGCAAACAGCCTCTGTGATTTCCAGCCTTCTCTACTAGGTGATATAATAGACTGGAATGACATTTAACTCTTTTTTCCTTTGTGCAAAAAGAGAGAGAGAGAGAGAGACGAAAATTCAATGTGAAGCTTATTTTCACGTTTTGACTGGTAAATGAACTTGTCAAAAAAAAAAAAAAAAAAAGTACCCCCAGAGTCAGTCCTTTAAGGCAGGGCCATATTGCGAAAAAAATGTTCCTTTGTCTTTTTTGGCGGCCATCAAAAAAGCTAATTTAACTAACCGATGTCATCAAATGTTGTTTAGCCTTTCAAATGCTGAAGTAAATGACAGTTCAACAAAGGCATTCACTCAAGGGCATATGTAAATGTATAAGAAAGGTTTCTCAAAACCATAGCGGAAAGCGGCATTAGGTATTGATAGAGTGATCCAGATAAATTCCATCTGAAATATACATTTACTCATGATTTTAAGATTCGCATTAGAACATCTCTCACATTCGGTGACAGTAATAGCAAGTTAATTGCGCATGCTGGTAAGAGTAGCTTTGCAACAATGAGCAATTTATAATCTAGAACACTTGTTATTTAATTTGTTGTGACAAAGCAACTGACAGACTTCAAATGTCTACGAAAAAGGTAGATGATTGCTTTACACCAGAGATTTTGATCGACATCTTAGGTTAGACAGGGCAAGATTTTGTAACAAAAATAAATGCGAATCCTGTCAGGCTAGAATGTTGAAGACTCTGTAAGGCTGATCATAGGTATAATATGCGCAATTTCCTATAAGAAATCAGTGCTAGATCAGATCCGGGGCACTACTCGGAAACAAGTATCTGTTCTTCGTGATTGCTTGTCAATACGAAATGTAATTTAAGTAAACTTTTAAAGGACACCTCATATTGTTTATGCTATTTGTGTATACTTGGACATGCATACCTGCATATGCTTAATCATTCCCTCAAGTAAAGCCCACATGATACCAAAATCATCGGCATTTGGTTTTCATTGCATGTCAAATGATGGGCAACAGATTGTTGTATGAGTGATGTGCAATGCTAGATTCAGGAGATGAGAGTGATCTTTTATTCTGTTGATGCCTTGCTTTCATATCCGCGCCTCTTGCTCGTTTTAACAATGTTCTAAATCACACCATGTCGTTTTTTCTTTTGGGATTAAACCAATACTTTAAGGATCTCCCTGTGTCCTTGGCCTCCTTTTGCCCCCCCCCCTCCATTACATATGCATATTTATATGGCAATATTGTGTGGTTGAATGGTAATCGTTTGTAACCATTTGATTATGTATATATAGAAAGGGTGGTTTTATTTACTTGACAACGGGCTTTATAGTCATAGATGATATAGGATGTATATACACATTTTAATATGATAAAATAAAAAAAGACATTGTGTTGAGATAAATAGGTCTGCAAATCCTGTTCTTATTTCTTTGAATCAAGATCATCAGCTGTTGCTGAGGAAGATGGCGTATTCTCATCTACATCAAAAAGCACTGCGTCTGGTTTAGATCCTAATGCAGGTTCGGCTAATGCGCTGTTGGATGCCGGTCCTTTGGATAAGCGCATATCTAATGCTTTCAATGCTAATGCTCTATTAAGGAAATTAATACTTGTTTGTTCCCTTTATGCATCATTTACATCTTACCTTCTTCTTTCAGCTTCTGCACGGGCAGATCCAGGGACAGGTGCGATATTGCCAATTTCTAAATCATGGTATGTGCGTGGGCCAGGTTTACAGCAATTCAATTTGACAAGTGTGTCATAAACCACATTTGAGATAACTGTAATGACAGGGCTAAATGTAATGTAAGTATACTTGCCCAGTTGATGACACCCATCTCTTGACTTACTGCAAAAATTCAGGGAAGAAGGTTTGAATGGCAAAAGTTTCACTTCTATCACCTTGAATGCCATCCTGATACTTGAAAAAACGAATATAAACCCATCCAATCACCCATCCAATGTTGACAAGATTGTAAAATACGATAGCTTGAAATAAGATGAGCGAAATGATACTGATTGCTGTAGCAACACCAAGTAAATTCTACATGTTCAAATATCTTAAGAATACGGCCAGCTATAATCAATCATCAACGTACCTTGACACGAATGGACACCTTGCCACCCATAATAGCAATGCGATGCTCAGGAATCAAATGCTTGAAAGCTACCAAAAATGCAGAGAATACACCAGACATGCCATTGATTTGCACCTGATATAAAAATTTGTCGTCTCCAGATATATAATATGACAAAAGAATACCAAACCACGTAACCACATTAGACAATACAGCTGTTATCAGGATGAACTTTAACAGTTCTCTAGAACCCCAAGCACGCTCTAAATATTTGCCACAAAACAACAAAATCACAACGCTGATGGAAAGCTATTTGATACAAGTTGAGTTGACAGACTACATTAAACGTAGCAAAGTAAACTTACAGTAACGATATTGCTTTCATAGAAGGCGGCAGTCAAGAAAGTCCAAGGAGCATACATGGCACTATATATCGTTATTGATATTTTAGCGTAATATTCATGAACAAAGACTTACAATCCCGGTAAGAGTCCAATGAATGGACTAATAGACAATGGTGTTGTATCAGGATCAGCATCCAATTGTAAACGATAAATGTAAATATAGGATGCAATAGACAAACACAGGACAGTAGAGACTAAAGCCTTTGTTAGCGAGGGAACATTAGCTACAAGAGATTTTATTGTCATATTTTTTATTTTTGGTAAATAAGAATAAAGGGGAAAAATGGATAAAAACCATCAACTGTTAAAGCGTCGCAGAAAGAGTCAACTACACGTGATGAGCCTGCTTTTCTCAAATGTGTGTACATGAAACTCATTTCAATTACAATCAACATCAAGGGGGGGGGGGGGCATGAGTTGGGGGGGGGGAAGGGAGGAAAAGGAAGGGGGCGCTGCTACTTCAAAAGATAAGGGATGAAGTTTTTTCGTCATAATGAATTTGAACTGAAAACAAGATTTTGCACAACATAAAACTTTTTTTTTTTTCGGGGGGGGGGGGGGAGGACATATTGTAACCATATTTCAAAGGTGTACAAAGAAGAAGATTTTTGTGTAGATTCTTTTTTTCTTTTTTTCCCTCTTCTTCTCTCTTTTCTCTCAATTTTACTATTTCTTTATTTTTTTCGTCTCTGTTTTACACTATAAAAAATGTCGACAAGCATAAATAGCAATATACCGCATCAACTGCAACAACAACAACAACAACAACAACAACAGCAACAACAACAACAACAACAGCAGCAGCAGCAGCAGCAGCAACAATCTCCTATCGTACAAAAATTAGCAACTGTAAACGAACAAGCTTGGTTGACTTTAGGTGAGATTTTCTTCCTTTATTTTATTGTGTTTTTTTTTGGGGAGGAGGTGAAAAAAAAGGCATATTCATGGTATAGCTCACCTCAGTGTGTGTGTGATATGTTTATATATATATATATATATATATAAGTACATGTATCCAAAAGATGAGGGGTGGGGGGGGAAGTGTGAGGTGGTAGTGCAAAAGATTATAGATGACGGAGCCAAAAGGAGATGAACACAGTGCTCCTAAGGGGGGAGACGAGGGTTACAGCTATATGCATGTGTAACATAATATTACACCCACACCTTCAAATCGTGTATTACAATTGATATAACAAATCAAGACTAGTTTGAAATTGAGGGAAAAAGAAATAGAACGCCACACTTATTTATAATTTCTATTTTTTTTATCACAGGCAACCTGGCGGAGATGATGGCGGACTGGGAACGTGCCATGAATTCGTACGAAGCTGCTTTAAGACACAATCCTTACTCAATTACAGCATTGTCACATATTGCTTCACTCTGCAGAGGTAGAGAACAATTTGCAAAGGTAAGGTTTAATTTTCTGATCTGTCAAAATAGTTTAACACTCCGCCTTTATATGGTACCTGGATTACTAAATAAAGCGATTTTTTCTTCTTCTTTAGGCAGTGGATTATTTTAAGCGTATCTTGGCATTGCAAGAGAACAATGGTGAGACTTGGAGTGCTCTAGGCCATTGCTACTTGATGATGGACAACCTGCAGGAAGCTTATCAAGCATACCAACAAGCATTGTACCATTTACAGAGCCCAAAAGACCCAAAGCTTTGGTACGGCATTGGCATTCTCTACGATCGTTATGGCTCAATCGAGCATGCTGAAGAGGCATTTTCTGCTGTCATGAAAATGGATCCTCAATTCGAGAAATCAAATGAAATCTACTTTAGATTGGGTATCATTTATAAACAGCAGCAAAAGTATGATTTGTCCTTGCAGGTAAGCGTAACTGAAGTATTTATATGATAGATGAGCTCACATGAATGGGACAGTGCTTTCGATATATCCTGCATAACCCTCCAAGACCATTGACTGAAATCGACATCTGGTTTCAAACAGGCCATGTCTATGAACAGCAAAAAGAATACGAGCTGGCAAAAGAAGCTTATGAGCGCGTATTGTCTGAGAATCCTGATCATGCCAAAGTATTACAACAATTAGGCTGGTTATTCCATCAACAAAACACATCTTTTTCAAACCAACCTACTGCCATTCAATATCTAACTCGATCACTGAAAGCGGACAGCACAGACGCACAGTCTTGGTATTTGTTAGGTAGATGTTACATGGTGGAGCAGAACTACAACAAAGCATACGAGGCGTATCAACAGGCTGTATATCGTGATGCTCGCAATCCCACTTTCTGGTGCTCTATCGGTGTGCTCTACTATCAAATCAATCAATACCGAGACGCTTTGGATGCTTATAGTAGAGCTATTAGACTGAATCCTTACATTAGCGAAGTGTGGTATGACTTGGGCACATTGTATGAATCTTGCAACAATCAAATTCAGGACGCTCTGGATGCCTACCAAAGAGCAAGCGAACTAGATCCCTCAAATCCTCATATCAGACAAAGATTAGAGTTACTGAGAAAGTCTAATCCAAGTAGTGCACCTGTATCGACACCAGTTCCACAAGATGTAAATAACCCCTATCAGTATCAGAATGGGCCCAACAATAGTAACAATAATAGCAGCCCTCAATACCCACCTCCACCTCCTTTAGTGTCTGGCCCACAATCAGGAGGAACAAGTAATGCTTCACCTCAATACCCTCATCACCCACCCAATGGATCAAGAAACTACGAAAATAGTAGAATGGTAAGTACCTTTCCACAAGGGATGGATGCATCTTTTTCTCATTTAATGCCAAAGCAGGATGGTCCACAAACTGTTCCTCGTGATCTCCCCCTGCCTCCACCTCCAGGTACACAAACTGCTGGTGATCGACGTTCACCTATTCCATACGGTCATTTGAACAATGGGAACAGCTATTATGGAGCTGATAACAATAGCAGTAATAGAAATGCAGATGTCCGCATCCCTGATATTGGAGGAGGTGGAAGAGCGCCTGCACCATCTGACCGTGTGACAATGAACCCAATGCTCGAATCAAGATCTCCCATCTATCGTCATAGTGCAAGTAACAATGCCAAAATGGCGTCCATTAGATCACCTATCCCCTCCAAGTCATCTCCCAAATACCAAGCTCCTTATTACAGCCCTAGACAACAGCACCCACATCAATCTCAGGCAAATCCTACATCTGCTGCCCCTCCTCCACCAACGACGAATGCATCAACCTATTCTGGACACTCTACTCCTAGTGAGCCCTATCAACCATACCATCATGACAATGAACCACTTAGAAGAACATCTGTATTGTATGACAACGAAAAGAACAACGTATCACCATCAGCATCCACACCTCCTCCATCAGCTTTGAAAAGAGAGTTCTTTGAGAATGGTGCAAGCAGTAATAGTAGATTACCACCCGTAAATAGCCATCATCCCAACCACCATCATCATAGACACAGCTCCAGCAGTAGTGGAAGTCATCATTCCATGAGCAGACAGCAAACCAAAATTCAAAGTCCAGTTGAAAGTAGTGCAGCTGATACACTCATGAGTATGTCACAGAAGGGCTACGTGAACAACAATCATGCAAGCAGCAGCAGCACCAGCAGCAGTAAAAAAAGAGTTTTAGAAATGGCAGATGATGAGGAAGAAGAAGAGCAAGAGCAAGAAAAGAGGCAGAAATTAGATAAGGCAGCTGCTGTAGAGGACAACAAGAGACTCTCTCCAACATCTTCCTCTGTGAGTACAGCAACAACAAAAGATGGTATAATCGCTGTATCATCGTAAATACATCCATCATCTCGTAAACTGTAGAAAACAACAACCAGGTCAATGATTTATAGCCGTATAAAAAAAAGTACTCTTTTTCATTTAACCTCTTCTTGTGTCAATAATAAACTGATCACATTACCCAATCTACGTACATTACAAAATTGGTTCCTGAAAAGAAAAACCACGATTGTTGATCTGCTTCCATCAGCCCCCCTCCCCTCCCGCACCCAGGGAAAACACATGGTTTTTGTTTGTGATGAACTGTTTCAAATGTTCTTATCAAATATTTGTGTAAATGTATAAACACCAAAGGGTACATACGAATAAACGAGATTCAGTGCAAATAGTGGACTTTATGCCATTTACTGTTATTGAAAAAAAGGTATATACTATGAAAGCAAAGGCGTGGGTCATGTAATTCATTCATTTAAAGGGATCAACACAACTTGATTGTTGTTCAGCTCCCTCTTCAAAGAGGCTACTTGCTGGGAAAATTTTTCTCTATCTTTTGTGCTTAATGTCCATCCACTGCCTTCCATCAAGTTACTCAGGGCCTAGCAACAAAATAAAGTTCAACATGGGTTCACATTCTCAAAACGTATTACCCGACTGTATTTTTTACTAAACTTACTTTGGTTACAAATTCTCGGCGTTCCGGTAACTGTTGCAGGATCACTTGGTTTGTGTACTCTGAAGCAAACTTTAAATAAATGGGGGGAGGGAAAGGGGGTTAATCACTTCATTATCGTCATCAGGTACTAGGACGCTTATTAGGAGCTAAAACCTACATCTCTTTCAAGTAACACAAGTGTATATAAAGGTCTTGACAGCTGCCATTGATCATTATTATCGTCAAATAGTATCATACCAAATAAGGTCGACAATAATTTAGGCAGCACTTGAGGATACTGACTCAAGTAATTCAAGAACCAGGCACCTCTCAGAGATTTGTTCTTCTTGTAATCCTTGTCCTTCTTGCTGTTGTCAGATGGAGGCACAATGCTGCCACTGCTCAGACGACGTAGATCAGTCTTCTCGTTCTCTTGAATGACAAATGTACAGATGTTGTTGAGAGTGGAGCAAGCATGTGTACGGACCCATGCGTCGCTTGATTGAACTCCTTGTTCGCAGGCTTCAAGTGTGTACAGGAATGCTTCTGGTGGCATGTTGGGATCTATCATCATTTGCTCCACAGAAAACTCGTCCAACATCATGAAGAAAGATCTTGTCAGTTTTGGAAAGCTCTGTCTCTTCAAGTTAGTGCAAATACCTACAATACCCATCAATAAACACTACCATCATATCTTCTAATGGTATATCCAACATGAGTTGAAACATCATTGAGAATGCCTCGCTGATTGCCTTGTCCCCATATAACCAAAATACCCCAAAGTTGATATATTTGCCACCAAGACATCGCGCTAAGATATTGAAACATGCAGATATGCCCTTGTATTTCAACGGATACTTTTGAGATTCATCGGCAACGCGTTGATTGAGTATTTGCTGACCATAGGCACACAAGACTTGACTGGCGTCTCGAAACAGCAAAATACCACTAGCCGAAGAAACCTCTAACGTCAATCTTTGGCTCTTGTTGTAAACGAATTCACCGAAAAACTTGAGCAAGATATTCGTACAAGGACTAGGGGAGTATGCTTGGATTCCTTTCATCAGCACGGGCATATAGTCAGGATAAAACCAATGAAAGAACATCAAGTAAGTCTTACGACCTGAGATAGGTTGAATGAAACCACGGAGATCCCTGAATACATCTTGGATTGCGCGCTATTGAACATGTTAAGTGCACAACGCAACGAATCGTGTATAATACATTATTACCTGTACATCGGGTTGCTGGAACTCTTCAATCGTATTCAACATGGACAAGCTGTCTAATCGAGCTTCGAATGGCTTCATGAATTCAAAAAACTCCCCTTCACAATTGTCATCTGCAAACAATATCTTGCACAGGATCTGATAATACAACATGCGACTTCTTCTGTGCTTATCATTGCTAAGGAACGTAAAGTCGCTTGATAAATGGTTTTGCATGATGAGATGAGTAGCCTCCAGCTTGCGGACACTCCTCAATGCGCTATAGCCACCAGTAAGGTCGTTGAACAGTTCGAGTGTTCTTCTGATGACTATGTCACTGTTTCCCCACATTTGAAGGTTGGTCATACTAATACCTGATTAGATCATGATGCCTTTTTTCCATCAGCCATATACTTACATTTTGCGCATGATGAGATTGAGCATGTCTTCTGGTCCTTCAATACCAAACACCTCGTTCAGCTTCGTGTAAGCAGATTTCGCATTGGATTCGCCCACATAAGATTTTCTAAATTGTAAAAAGAAAAACACCAAGGCAGAATCAAGCTTCTCGCTCAAAAACGCAGGATCGCTCTGACCAAGATTTTGATTCACCTCCATCAATTGGACAACTTTGGTAGTCAACTGGCCATCTGCCTCATCGTTCTCGTCAGAGCTCAAATAAGCCGGTCGATTACCAACAAAGACGCCAATGATATAGACAAGCCATGCGAATTTAGCCTCAAACACATCAATAGCTTCCTTGAGATTCTCTCCGCTGATACTGCCCATACTAGCCTGTGTGATCAACTCTTCATAATGAGCAGTAACTGGATCAAACACTTCCACGAGTGCAGCACACGATTTCTCATACTTGCAGCGAGCTATTTGACCCAACATGTTTAATGACTCGAGCAGTGCATCCTCATCATCTAGTGGATCTATGATGCAGCATTAGATATCTCGCCATCCTCAACTCCCCCCCCCTTGGACCAGCTCAGATAGCTTCTCCCTTACCATCCAACATTTCCTCGATTCGGTTCGGCACTGTCTCGATGTAAGTGATGATGAATGTCTTTGTCAATGTCACGGCAATGGCCTGCAACTTTTCCACGGTTTCCTCGCTCAATTGCTGATAGTAAGTCATGCTTTGCACAATGCGAGACCAAAAGCTCAAAAGATAGTAACCAGTTGTGGTAGGAGTCCAAGTTTGAAATGCTTGTTGTGTGAATTTTGCCACCAGTTCTATCCATTCCATGTATCCTTGCTTCTCCGCCATCTCGTTCAAAGGAGCAGTGGTTCTGAATCGCTGTAATAATCGGCAAAATCCATTGTAGCAGCCTGCATCCGTCAAACCTTGCGAGGTAATGATAATGTCCTGAATCCCTTTCATGATGGCTGTTACAAACTTGCTGCGTTCGTCTTCACCGCTGAACAGTGCTTTTCTTGTTGCTGCAATCTGCACAAGGCATTCCATTACTTTACCAGAATGAGGTGGCGAAAATTCAGCGTAAGCTTTAAAAAATTGGGATACGAAATTATCCATCTCGTAAATACTTCTCCATGCCGCAGGGATCTATTCATGAATGTCATGGATGGGTCTGCATGTAAACAATCAAAATAGCTGAGATTTACCTGGACCATGCCTGTATCCTCGCCTGCCTCGTCCAAACTTGTCCCAGCGAAATCAAAGCAAAGGCACTTTAACAGTAGGTCAAGAGTAGCATCTCTGGTTCTGGCTTCTTGATCAGCTGATTCAGGAGATAAATGTATCAATATACATGCAGAATTTATATTTCGAGATACTTTACGTTTATCAAAAGGGACCGATCTGGCCAACAAGCTCTCGAGAAATTGATAAGCATACTTGAATATATCAAGCAATTGAGTATCCCGGAGTCCAGCAGCTAGCAATTATTGAACTTATCAATACCCACTTTTTTACGCAACAGCAGAAACAGCAACAGCAGCAGCACCGCCGCCACCGCCACCACCTCTCACGCATGAACTAACCTGCTTTTCTGAATTTAGCGGAATATTTGGGAATAGTTGCAGCATTGATATCTTGTACAATGACAGATAGGATTTGCATACCAACGATACGATGTTCAGCAGAGGCCTTTAAGTACCATTTATGTTCAGTGCATCCCCCCCCCTTTTTTTTTGTCCTCTTACTAACTTACCTGAAGGAATAGAGTCATGTCTATGTACACATTTTGATACTCTTCATGATCAAGCCAGCCAAATCGAGTCAATAATGCCAACACTCCTGCCAGCTGTGTAATAACAAAAGGTTGCAGATCTGGATGCATGTAAGCGTAATCCAACAAGAAAGTGCCTGTTTATATGGATCAATAAGTATGGGACATTCACAGAATCTGTAAAGCAGATATATCGGATATCATCGTCTTACGCAGCTGAATTTTGGTATCGGTATTAAATATTGTGAATTGTGCCATTACAAGTTGCTTTAATCTTGAAAGAGAGAACGTTTGAACATACGGATTGGGGGAATTCTCCAGCATAATTCTCAAAGCATTGGCTGTATCTGTGGGAGTAGCAACATCGAATGTTGGGATCTGATCAATGTTTATCTTTATGGTATCTGAAGATGAGAAGGTTGGGAAACTAGCTTCTAATATCTTTTGAATCTGATCACGCTCGGAAGGATCTTTAGGATTATAAAGCTCTTGACATAAACTCGAAAAGTACGCTATACACTCTTCCTGTTGATGCTGTGTCATTGTGGATAGCTCTAGTAAGAAAAAAATGGAAAAAGGGAAAAGAATGTATGCTAAAATGCAAAAGGCACCTTTTGTTTTATCAATCATTCACACACAAAAAAAGACAGGTGGTTCCTCAAACCCAATCCTGTGACCTCGTTCATAGCAGGAAACTCATCTTCTATTTGCAAGATTAGGGAATACAAGCTTATATGTGGGTCCTGTTTTGTTTGGACACGCTGCAATGAACCCTTATGCCTCCAAATCCATTGAAATGGTATTTTCTCTTAGACAGCCACGGAAAAATCAGTTTTAAATCACACGATAACAGAGTACGTAATTAAATGGAATACTGGATGGTATTACATTTGTATTACAAGTGTTGTGGCATTGTATACTCTGGATGGCCAAAGGAAGCCACTTGGTCACACGAGATAGTACAGGTACACTGTTCTTCTTGCGCAAGTGCACTACCTTACACGACACCATTGCCAGCAAATCGATCATGACGATATATGGCAGATGTCTGTTTTTATCTTTGGCTTCAGATGTTGTAATGAATCCAGCTTGAAATGTTCTATATTACCATATTCATTGCTTCTTTAAAATAACCTTTTATAGATGTATGCATTGGTGTTGGAACTTTCAGGGGAACTGCTTGTTGTGTATCCGTTTCTGCGGCCCTGACATCTTTGTTTACTTGATGTGATGCATAGATTTCAAAAAACGCAGAACAACCTGTATGCAATGAAAAAATGGCTCGGTAGCCCTATCTTCCTCCCCTCCCCCTCCCCCCCCCCACTTGTTTATTTGAGTCTGCAGACGAGAAAGAAAGAGGCAAATGTACGAGATCAAAGAGCCAAGTAGACATGTGCTTTATGCGCCACTATCTGCAGATCAATAGTAAGTTTTTAGACCGACTTTAATCACTTTCAGAACAATTGAGAATTGGAATCAATAATGTGTGCAAGCATAGCTCTTTACTTCAAGTAAGTATACAAACACTTAAAGTGTTCAATACATTTTAAATCATGAGGTATCTCTGTATTTTGCACTAAGATAAATGATTTGCGACAATTAAACCTACCATATATGAGAATACACAGCAAAATTAACAGAGCATAATTACTTTAAACTGTATTGTCTTTTCGATTCGCAGCAATGCCTTTCAAAAGCATTGATCATGCAAGGCATTAGTAATCTTGCCACTAACCACCAGCCAAATATATTTAAAATTTCGTTACCCTGCTGCTCCAGATTGGCCAAATTTGATCAGAATCGACTTGATTCAGACTATCCATCTGTAGGACTTTAAACAATGAAATAAACATTTATTTCCCTTAAAAAAAAATTTGATTCAGACTATCTTGCAGGATTCGACTATAAATATTGTGAAGAATCCCCTACTTTAGCAATGTTTGAAAATATGAAAAGAAATTTTTGGCCAATATGTCGAAATTTTACATATGAAAACCTCACAAACAGAATTCCAGGGGTTGCCTTGGATTAATAGCAACATTTTAACTTAATATATACCATAGTACAAGTCTTCATTTTTGAGGTCAAAAACGCAATCATTTGATTTCGATGTTTTCCATGAGGTACTTTTTTTTTAGCTCCGTGTAAGTAGGTCCCTAGGGCACTACCAAGAGGCGGGCGCAGTTGATATGATATTCAATTGTATTTAGGATAAAGCGATAGATGACAGGAACAGATGATAGATTCCATGAGGTACCCCTCATGGTTTTGAGACGATTTTGATCAATGTTTTTTTGGTCTCAAAAAAGTTGAGCAAAGGGATCAGTAAGCAAGTGCTTGTTAAAAGCGATTGTTTGGCGCAATTCTGACGGTCTAGAACGACTTTAAACACTAGAAATCGTTGCTCAAATCTATTCAAATTTTGCTATGTTTTGAATATTTTCAAGTAGTAAGAAGTGAAGCGAATACACTGGGTGCTGTTGTATGAGTTGTTTTCAATGAAACAAATGCGGAGCATCATAGAGCAGCCAGAACCACAGTTACAGGTCGCTTATAGATGGTGTTCGCATGACAGTGGAGGCTGAACAGTGACATTTGGTGCTCGTTACAGTGGGATCTCATTTATCTAGATAGTATGTATAGTCCGAGAGTAACTACACTGCATTTCAAACTGCAACACTATGGCTGCTCGCCAAATACTGGCTGTTTGTATAAACTATTTTCCTCTAACTTATGTTGTCTCAGGCAGAAACCTGTTAGACACATTAATAAAGATTAGAATCGCTTCTTGTGGACGAAATCTGAAAAGCAATTACGTTATTTAGTAAACTTTTCGACTTTTATCCTGTATCAAGTATCACAAACGTATTGCCTATTCGAATTATTTGATCAGAGTGCCAAGAATTGGGATTTTGATGTAAAAGACGGCATTCACGACGACTGTCGTAGTAAGCATGCATTTCCAAACTATAGATTTTGGATTTATCTGCTTGTTGAGGTTTTATTTGCCGTGCCTGAATGTTACTGTTCGGTTATCCTGATGGCAAAATGATCCGCCTTCCTAAAATGGACGTCAAAGTTGATTTTGATAACCTGATATCTGATGGGTAGCCTTAAATATGTCCATTTGTTGAATTCGTACGGGTACAGGAGTGCATACATTAAGATTTTCAGTGCTTATCCCGAACATCTACAATGTAACCATCCTGTACTCCGTGGTGCAATCCCGATCTCATCATGTATTGTCTTGTTTGAGATGTGGGAGTTTTCCCTTTATTTTCCTCTTTCGATATCCCAATGGAAAGATGCCCCATTGCCAGTTGATCTCCTTCAAATTATATTAAATTCAGGCGGGTGAACATCAGAATTTTCAGTTGAAAGCACGTGTATGCAAGAGCTTAAAGTTGTACCACCGAGTATATTTTCTCTCAGCATGAAAACAGAGATCTTACGAGAGCAAACCAATCGGTTTGCCCTGTATGACTGATAACCTTTGCATTTCATATGGACTGTTAATTGGCCTAACAAAGTTTGGCGGCATCTAGATAATCGTTCCCATCTAAATATCTTGGAACTACTCCAAAGTAATCCCTTCCTCTCCTCTTCCTTCTCTATTTTCACCTAATTTTGAAGAAACAATCATATAATGTCTGACGCTGCACAAAAACGTAAGTAAAGATGCATTCTGCAGAAAAGGGCTAGAGATTGAGCATTTCGATTCGGCATGTGTAGCTCTTCCTTTCGGTTTCCAGTTTTTGGCTGGTGCTATTGCCGGTGTTTCTGAGATTTTGGTCATGTATCCCTTGGATGGTAAGATATAGCTCGAGAATATGAGAGTTCGGCATGTGGTTAATCAAGATTTTTAGTTGTCAAGACCAGAGCTCAATTAAGTACTGGCGCCAACACTGGCATCATCACTACCATGACCAACATGATCAAGCAAGAAGGGTAAATTACCCCACTTTTTTATAATACTTTAGCTTTGTGTGACTCATCGTACGCCATTGATCATTCGATTTTATTAGTGCCGCTTCACTCTATCGAGGTATTTTGCCACCCATCATGGTAGAGGCACCTAAGCGTGCTACGAAGTTTGCTGCCAATGAACAATATACTGGTCTTTACAAGAAGATGTTTGGTTTCGAAAAGGTAACTCAATCGTTGTCCATCTTGACTGGTGTCAGTGCTGGTATCACGGAAGCCTTTTTGATTGTGCCTTTCGAACTGATCAAGGTCAGAATGCAAGATAAGAGAAATGTAAGTCTAAGCTGATGTTGATGGCATTGGGAGAGTCCAGGTGTTAATATATTGCCTAGCTTGGTAAATACAATGGTACTGCTGATACTTTCAAGAAGATCATTGCTTCAGAAGGAGCTTTGGCTTTATTCAATGGTTTGGAAGCTACCATGTGGCGTCATGCCGTCTGGAACGGTGCCTACTTTGGTTTGATCTTCACAGTCAAGGACAACATGCCCAAATCCAAGGTGAGAGCAATAGCTGATGTATGTCGTACATGAGTCTAATGTGCTTGTAGGATCCTAACCAACAACGTATCACTAACTTTGCTGCTGGTACTGTTGGTGGTATTGTCGCCACTGCTTTCAACACACCTTTCGATGTTGTTAAGACCCGTGTTCAAAGTTATGATGGTGTTGGTGTCAAGAAATATAATTGGACTTTGCCTGCATTGGCTACTGTTGCCAAGGAAGAAGGGTAGGATGATTAAGAGCATATATCGCCCAGTTTATGAGCTAACATTGTGTTCTTAGTATGGCATCCTTGTACAGAGGTTTCTTGCCCAAGGTTTTGAGATTGGGTCCTGGGTAAGTGCACAAAACATAATCTAAAAGTGCGTGTAACACTAATTGTTTTATAAACATATAGTGGTGGTATTCTTTTGGTTGTCTTTGAGACAGTTTCAGGATTCATTAGAAAGAACATTTTGAAGGAAGAGTAAATCAAAAGAGGGACAAAAAAAAAAGTAAAATAGAAGTGAAAGGACATGTATTTTCATAATTTATTGTATAGAATAAAAACTTTTTGTATACATTTATTCTGCAGTAATTCGCCTCTGGAATGAATTTTTGAAGAACCCTCTAAATCGATCAAATGTGAATTTAGTTTTGATGGTTTTTTCATTTTTGACATGGTCTAGGTTGTGGTTATTGACTGGCGTAATTTGTGATTTCTTTCTAAATATCCGCATGAAGAATTCAGAGGGCTTCGAGTGCTTATCGCTGGATGTTGTGTGCTCTGTAGTGATTGTTTTGTTATGTGCTTTTGTTAAACTGGATAGTGATGTTGCCATGGAAACCGACGACGCTTTGGAAAACGCACTTACTTTTTTTCTTGAAGAAAAGTTTGTGAGTCTACTGCTAAGAGTCAACTGGGACGAGGTTAACAGTGAACAACGAGTCATAGTAGGTGGTAATAGCCATGGATGCAATAGACAATCTTTGGCTGTTATACGGTCTTTAGCATCTTTGCATAGTAGCTTTTGAATCAAATCAGATGCGTCTCGTGTTACGTATGGAGGAATAGTATATTGGCCACGACTGATCTTTTGAAATAACTGAGGCATCTCATCTCCTTGAAATGGCAGAGATCCTGTCAACATGGCAAATAATATAACACCACAGCTCCATAAATCGACTGGAGGCCCACGATATGGTGTGGCAGTAACCATCTCAGGTGCAGCGTAAAACGGACTACCACAGTAAGTGCTCAGTACCTGATGCCTCTCCTTGAAGACGTTACCAAAGCCAAAATCACATATTCTGATTCGCTGTGTGCTGTCAATGAGTACTGCAAAGCAAATTAGTTATTCTATTGACCAGGCAGCTGTTCTGTAGCAAATACCGTTCTCTGGTTTCAAATCTCTATGTACAATGTTATTCTACAGTCGCAATTAAGTTAGTGTACGGAAGTAGTATGTGTCAAACGTCAACCTACATCGTGAATATACTCTACTGCTTCTATGATCTCTCTAAACCATCTGCGTGCTGTTGGCTCAGCCAAGCCTTTTGATTGCTTGATTTTGTCAAATAATTCGCCACCTTCCACATACTCCATGACAATGTAAATATAGTCGTCTTCAGTCAGGACATCATACACTCGAACAATATTCTTATGGCTGAGACCTGAAGCAAATGTCTCACAAATAGATTGTTCTCTTTGAGCATGCTGTCTTTGATCCCCTGATTTGAACATCTTTTTATCGACCACTTTAACAGCATACTGCTTTGGTGTTAGGCGATTGATTGATTGCATAACAGTGCTTGTGTATACCTGCTCCCCTGATTCTCTATCCTCCACCAGATACACTTTTCCGAAATTGCCCTTACCCAATGTATAGAGCTTTTCGTAGCGAGAATCGAATCTATTCAGAGATATCCTAGCTTTTATCTATAAACATAATCTGCTTTAAGTTTGTGCAAGGTGGACGTATCTTTAGCATTGCTTCGGGGCACATACAATACCTCGTTTATTCTACTGGAACTATTTACGTTGATGGCAGAGTGTTTCTTCATATTTAGGTTTGAAAAGAGAGAGAAAGAAGATAGTAAAGGTACGTACAATGCCTGATGAAATAACTGCGAATAAAGGTACTCGAATAACTCGGAAAATATAACTCATTTCTTTTCTTTTTGCAATTTGGACAACATCGAAATATTTCTTACTTGAGAATTCTACAGAGTGGTTTCATTCATTGTATACATGTTTGCAAAACTGATTTGTATTTGATTTACACACAAACAACTACGAGTATCAGTCTTTGTAATCGAGAAATGCAATCGAATGCGAATCGCTGCCATTCGTCAATGCAGCCACCACAAGTTTCAAGTTAAAAGGGTGCAACAGGGAGACTGCGAAAGGATTTTTATTTAAAGAATGCCTCCAAATGATATTTAGATGGCTCTTTGTTCGAAACTATTCATCATGTCGAGTTTAAAGAGGGGGCGCCAAGATGCACCAGAAGCAGACAGCTCTAGTTCAATTAGCTCTTCTCAAACGAACACAACAAACGAAGTTGCTTACGACGCTAGCTACTTTCCCTTGCCTGAAACACGATTTCCATTAGGTACACCTATTCAGTCGTAAGTTCTGATTTGTCGAAGTGGTCAAAGAGTAATGGTCTAACGTTTGAACGATAGTAAGAGATCTAGAAAGCTATACTCTGATTTAGCGGACGAGCGTGAGTTCCTGTTACATCTCAAGGAGTTGTGGAAGAGCAAACTTGCCGATCTAAAGGTAGTATTTCAATACAGAAAGCTAAGCTATTATACTCATGTTCTAAATCAGGAGGATAGAAGACTATTAGAAAAGATGAAAGACGCTAAGAAACACGATGTCATTAATGAGGAGCCACTGTTTTGTCCTGAAGAAAAAGAAGAAGAGCAACCCGAGAAGGACGATGTACATGACGCTGTTTCCATTGGTCCACCCATTGCGGCCGAAACCAAAGATCAGGAGGATCAACCCGATTCATTCAAAATAGTGAATGGCCAAGTTGTAGTCAAAGACCCAAGCATGCTGGCAACGCTTCAAGAATTGGATAAAATCTACATGGATTCTCATAATGCACAACAAGAGTCATCATCCGATGAAGAGGAAGTTGTGGAGAACGATGAAGACGCTAGACGGGCATTGCACAAAATGTTGGAAGAATTTGGCGGTGGCTTTTAGGTGTTTATTATTATTACAAATTTAGTTGGCAAGAGGATAGTGAGGACGGATATCAACTGGAATACCAGCATCATCAATACGAGCCAAGGCATCCTTGGTGTCCTTGTGAAGTACACCATACTTTTTAACAAAATCATCGACTGCAGTCTTATCACCATCACCTTGAAGGATCAAAATGTCTCTAGTCAGATCAGAAACAGCTGAACGAATCTTTTCGAAATCAACGCTGAACAACTTTGTCTTTTCATCGCATCTGAAACCACCTTTTTCTACCAAGTAATTAAGTTGAATTGCTTGTCCCAAACCATGTGCTTCTTGGATACCGAAACGGATTGAACGGAAGGCAGAGGCTAGGAATGTAACCCAGAACTCCTTTTGTGTGACATTGTCGATAGTGCCATGATCTATCATCAAATCAGCAGCAAATAAAGCGGCAATGTCTGCCTTGGCCTCTTCGAGGGCAGAGTGATATTCTTGTAATTTGGAACGAACAGTATCGCCCTGGAGTGTGTGATGGGGACCGTTACTATGGCACACCTCATGAAGCAAGACGTGAGTTGTGAATGCATCCTTTGTCAAATGAACCAATTGATCTTTAGCCAACACCTGGGATGCAATAGGTGTCAAAACATGCTCGAATTTGCCTTCTTGGACATTCTTGATAAGCACCAGCTTGGAGCCACCCTTCTTGATGGCTTCCTCGTCATTGGGAAGATTATAAGCAGCAGTCATGGGCACCTGTTATTTTGGTTAATAATCAATGAATTTTGCTATTCAAGAAAGGCTACTCACAGCAACATCACCAGCAGCATATAATTGATTCACAACAACAATAGGAGCAGCAACCAGCTTGTCGTTACGATATTTCTCTGGAATAGGCAAACGGTCTTCCACAAATTGAAGATCAGAGAACTTTTCCAAAAGCTTGGAGGAGTGCTCATCTCTTACATGGATGTAGAACTCGTAGGCACTCTTGAACGTGAAAAGACCATCAGTGTATTGCTCATAAGGACCGATTGTAATTTCCAACTTGTTGGACTTGCCAAGACGAAGCCAATCCAACTCGGAATCCAAATAGTTGTTAGTTTCAAAGGCATCAGCACGCGAGGCTAAGAATTCGTCGATGCGAGTTCCTTGTTCTTCATCAGCAAGTTTGACACCCTTAAGCTCATTAGCAGCCTCACGCAGATGTTGAGCTGCAGGCTTCAAAAGATCGGCATATGCTTCGGCGTAGGAAACTGTCTCGAATCTACCATGGTCGTCCTTGCGAATAAGGGTGTAATAGCTCTTGGCCTTCTTTTGCTCTTCTGGTGATAGAGTCTCTATCCATGCCTCAAAGTCAACCTTCTTCATACCTTCAGGATAGAAATTACCGCCTTCAGGGCGTTCAGGCACACCATCAACGAAGGGTACATTATCATCCTCACGCGCCTATACATCACAGATAAGCACATGCGCAATGAAAATGTCGAATAAATACACTTACCCAAGGACCCTTATACATTTCAAACAAAGTAATAAGCTCCTTGTTTCCTTCAGCATGTAACTTTTTGCGCAATTCCTCGTTACCAGACCATGCTTGACGCATATAGAGTTGGTCAATGTACTTTCCTGCCTTGACTAAATGCTTTAAAGCAGCGTGCTCTTGTGCGCTCAAATGGGAGAGATCAGCAGTGCACTCATAGAGGGCGAAGCGAGCAATTCTGCTGGAGAGAGAACGAATTGAGGCCATGTTTAATTAATAGATGAAAGTAAAAGCGAAAGAAGACGAAAAGAAGACGATGCGTGTTCTCATGCTTAACTGTTGCAAGCAACATGCCATCACAACCAATTACAGTGTGGGAAAATGACTTTGAAAGAAGCGAGTAGTATTGTAATTCTGAAAAAGTAAATTTGTAACTGAAAAGGTTATTCCTGGAGCAATTGACAGCTCCGGCATCTCGCTGACATTCTGATTTAGCTATATTTTCTAAATTTATAACTTGTGGTTGCTTTAAATATGAGAGATGGAATTTCAAAAGGTACCTTACCTGTGATGAATGGTATTTTCTAGAGAAAGAGAGGTTCGAATTGCAGACCGTGCAAATTTGTGAGTGAAAATCAACCAGTCCTTTCAATTTTCTTTCAGAATTCTACACCATTAGGCGTCTTTTGATGCCTCCATTCGGCTAGCATTCTTTGTTTTGATGCTCTATTGAAGTTGTCGAGAAATCAAGCAACGAAAGCAAGACGACCCAGCCAGACCCCTTTTACTCGGACATTGACATTACTTGGGCTGGAGCTCAAAAATGGCATTTTGAAGCTCCAAAAATTCTACTTTTCTCTTGATATTTCGGAACCTACTTGATAAACATTTCTACTCTATTAAACGAGAATTGTAGCATCAAAGCAGACACAGCCAATGGTATACATTTTTTGTATGTTTTAACCTTTTTATCGTCATAAAAGTGCCGAAAAGTAGAATTTTTGTCTGAAGGCTGGAGTCAAAAAAAAAAAACGAAGGCCAAACAGAGGTAGCGCATCTCCCTCAAAAATAGCTTTTTTTCTAGAATTTAATAACCAAAAGATGCCTCTTGTTGCTTCAGATTGGAACCATTTTTTAATTTACGATTTCGTAGTAAAAACATGGAGAAATCAAGCAAAGAAAGTAAGGACACCCAGCTAGACCCCTTTTAGTCGGACAATAAAACATGCTCTACGCTTGAGCCTAATTTGAAATTTTAAGGCTTCAAAAAATCACTTTTACCTCATTAACCCAAAACCTGGCAAGTAAAGTATGCCTAACTATTATGTGATTCCTGTAGCCATAAATTGGACACATCTAATGGCATAACTTTTTAAATAGATTTTCACTTCTATTTTCAGGAAAACAATGAAAACTCGAAATTTCGCCTGAGGGTTAAGGTCAAAAAATGTGGGTCAAACCTTAAATCTGCATTTACGGTCAAAAAATGCTTTTTTCTGTACAAAAGAAAGATTAAATTGTGTTTCCAAAGGCTTCTTTCTACTGCATGCCAAAGCAACAGACGGTAAGCTTGTTAATGGGAAGAATTTACTAATTGTTTCCTGTTGTGGATCAGATGGCAATGTTAACTATTTGGCCATCAGCAGCAACAGCAGATTTAGAACCCAATCGAGAGCAAGTAGGGGATGCTGAATTACTGGCTCTTTTTGTTTACTCACAATTTACATGATTTCCAACAACCTTAAAAGAGCAGGGTATCGATCATTACATACTAGCAGTCAAAAGACTGTATTGTATGGTTGGGGTCAGACACAAGCATTGCCATTAGCAAAGGGTCACTTGGATCGAGTACTTCCACAACCTACCAATTTACAAAAAGAACACGATTATGCATTGCCTGTAAGTTGCACGATATGGCATTCGCGAGATAATTTATCGACGTATAGTGTGTAGAAAGATCAGTCAGTGACACATGCAAGTAGTGGATGGGGTCATTCATTATTAAGAACGCAAGATAACAGCGTATATGCATTTGGATTGAACCAAAGTGGACAATTGGGTACTCGTGCGGTGGGCACTCATAAAGTGAATGTAAACAATACTGTCAAATTACTCTCGTGTGGACGGGAGCATTCACATGTAGTAACAGAGAACAAAGAAAATGGAGGTAATGTACCCAAGGAGCTTTGACACGATATATACTCACACATGATTTGACAGGCACACAACTTTACTCCTTTGGCAACAACATGTATGGTCAGTTGGGATTAAGGAAAAACAAAAACACAACCCCTGGGCAGTTCATCAAAGAAGAAGAACCCAAGCTGGTTGATTTCCCGGATAAGATAACGCACATCACAAGTGGGCTTGATAATACTATATTTGCAACTAGCAAGGGTACACTTTATGGTATGGGTTGGAGTGCTGACGGACAGTTGGGACAAGGCAAAGACGATAAGGATGTGCCATCTCCATTGCGATTGAGTCTTGAGGTGAAGAAGTTATCGAGCTCTACGGATTTTACTCTGGTGTTGGATGTCAATGGCAAATTATGGACTTGGGGTAATTCGGAATATGGACAAGGCGTTCAGGGAAAGGTGATCGATAGAGTAAGTGTTTTGATTTACTAGGGTGTAGTATTATTTATCAAATCTCTCCTTGTTTTTTTTTTGTAATTAGATCTTGGAACCATTGCAAATTACAAATGTGGAGGGGCAAGTAGTGGACATGGCAGCTGGCGGTCCATTTTCTGTGTTGCTCACAAAAGATGGAAATGTGTATACTTGTGGTTACGGCGCTTTAGGGCTAGGGAAAGACAAAATTCAGACATTGGAGAGTACGCAGGTCAAAGGCTTATCCAACGTTACCAAAGTTTTTGCAGCCACAGACTATGCGGCAGCAATTACAGCGACTGGGGAGCTCTACACATGGGGATTGAACGGACCTAGCTGTCGATTAGGCACCGGCAACTCTCAACATGCATTTGAGCCAGTTCGTGTAAATATAGATAGAGAGGTGATGGACTTGTCCCTTGGCACAAACCATGCATTTGCTGTATGTGCCGCATGAAATCTTCCGAGGTAGAATAAAATGTGCCATCTGTTATCCTCCGAGTTATACATGTTCGTTTTTCGGATTATTAGGGCTTGTTGAACCTATCAAAGAGAGGAAGAAAAACACACAAATTATTGCATTTTTCTTTTATTTCTCTTTCTCCATAAAATGAACGCTGCGAAACTCGAGTATATGGCAGTATTCGAGCAATATGATTCACATTCAAGGTATTTAGACAAATCAAAGAAACAAAAAGGAAGAAAATAATACTTTTCAACAAAAGGGACTACACTAAAGAGGTAAAAACAAATAAACATGTACCTAATCAGCATACAAACAAAGCATCGATTTATTTGTGTGTATATAATAGAAGCCATACGACTGTATTTTGCCTAATTCAAGTAACCAAGAATTCAGTCATCTCGACAAGATGTTGCGGCAACAGCACCAGCAAGCTCAGTTCGTCGTTCCTGACTTGATCAAAAGCAAGCGAAAGTCTGTAGTGATCAAATCACTCGCATGTTTACGCACACAAAAGGACTGCGATGAAATAATGGAAGATCTGTTCTCAATATCTGATTCGAGCCTATCGTCCGATGAAGAGCAGGATGCTGATGAGGAGCAGGAAGATCAGCTTAATCAACAATTAACAACAACAACAATTACAGAAACACCAATGCAAACACCAGCACACATGCTATTACCTCATATAGCAGATTACTTGGTCAAGCATCCCGATGAGCCACCGGAGAACTTTCTGTTTAAACACTATCACCGGCTATCACTTGAGGATCTGCATTATCCTATAGAAAAGATTGGGCACCTTATACAATCATGCAACTCGCTCGCTGAAGGAGTTTACATTACAATGGATGAATTTGAAGCACTCCAAGGATTCAGTCGATTTTTCACTATCCATTAAACTTGTGAAAGGGGAACAAAGCAGAAAAAAAAAGGGAGATTTCAGTGAGAAGAGAGGGGATGAATAGTAAGTGATATTTATATGGTTCGTGCATTTGTATAATTGCTTCAATTGGTGAGGTGAGACAAAAAGTTATAAACTACTTTGCATGTTGATGGGCGTAGATTTTTGACCCCTTTATTCTCCATGTATTTATATAGTTTTCCACCCCTTTTATTTTCTTTTTAGTTGTTGTTTTTTTTTTGTTTCCCTTTCTTATTTTCTTTTACAAGTTGTCTATTATCATGTCAAACTATCCCTGTCAACCATCAATTGATAATAAACATCACAATATGCGTTGTACAAGTCTCAGCAGCACCAGTAGCCATAGTAGCAACAGTGGCAGTAGCACAAGTAGCATTAGCAGTAATAATAGCACATCTAGTCATTACAAGCGAGGCAAACGAAGCGATATAGGTAGGGTACCGCTGTTTAACTCCAAGTAGCAGTCTGTAATGTGTATTTCAGGACCAACCCATCAACACACGTATCATCCGTATTGTAAACAACAGTCAATCCAATCCATGTCCCAGCAACAAGATACAAGACAATCATCATCACTGCAGCAGCAGCTACCAGCTACTACGTCTTTCTCTTCTTCGTCTCAATCATGTAGATATGATTCATCGCTTGGTCTATTGACAAAAAAGTTCATTGCATTACTTCGATCCAGTGCCCATGGCGACCTTGATCTGAATCGCGCCGCCAGCCAACTCAAAGTGCAGAAACGAAGAATATATGATATTACCAATGTACTGGAAGGTATTCAACTTATTGAAAAAAACTCCAAAAATCATGTACGGTGGATGTAAGTGTGTAATTATAAAAACCCCATCTTTGCTTGACTAATTTGTCAATGAAAAAAAAAAAAAAAAAAAAAAGCGGGAATGCTGCAGTCAATGCCACTAATGAAACGACGGATGATAATATCATGACAACAACAACAGCATCAACATCATCCGCATCAACAAATGAGCTCGAGCAAAGGCTCGCCTATCTGAGAAACCACAATCAAACACTAGAAAATGAGCAAAACCATCTGAATATATTCAAACAGCAGATAGATCAAGAAATTGAAAGAGTGATCAAGAATAATGCGTCATATTGTTATTTGACATTAGATGATATTGATAGGTTTGAGGTCATTATGGCAGCTCAGCAGGAGGCCCTCGTGGTTGTAAATGCGCCTTATGATACAGATATCGAGGTGCATCAAGTGAAAAATGCGACTCCAACCAAGAAAAAGGTACACATATAAACTTATACCCCTTAAATTCCCTCATTTACAACAAACAAACCTCATTATTTATCCTGTTAAATTTAGCCTAACAACACAACGACAAAGTGTTTGATAAGAGTGCCTGAAAACTCTACGAAACCTCTTAGACTGATATCGTTGAAGCATAAAGACAACGACCATAATAATCATTGATTTTTTTTTTTTTTTTTTTTTACACCATCGATTTTCTTCCTGGCGAACAAAATTTAACTCACAGAAAAAGACTTCTAATTTATTCCACATAACACTGTGACTAAAAAAGATTCAAATTTATCTGAATATATTAGAATTTGACCAATTTTTTCTGAAATATCCTAAAAATGTCTTAATCACTCTGAATTTGTCCAAATCCCTTTGGAAATATTCAGATAAATTCATGCAGATGAAAATTAATAAATTAAGCTTAGAGAAATTTGGAGAAATTTAGAAAAATTTAGATATTATTCAGCGATTTTTTTTACCACGAAACGATCTTCATCAGAAAAGCGAGTAGTCATCGCTACGCCATTTTTATTTCTTATTTGTCAACTGCTTCAGATTCTTTCTTGTAAGGGAGTCGTGCTCCATTTTTTATTTAGAGGTCTCTGAATGTCATAATAGGATAGGAAGAAGAAAGAAAGAAGATATATTATTACAGAGCAACAATAGAAAGGAAACAATATTAACTAGTTATTATTATTAGGAATGAATTTTCAGCTTTGCATGCGACCGGGCAAAAGAATGAGCATTAAGATATAGAACAGTGGGATGGCTAGTAATTTGGAAGGATGTACAAACATCAGTTTGAGAGAAAGGTGACCATGATGTTGGCGTATATTTATTTTATGCAAAGTCAAATATAGAATCATCATTGTATACTTTCAAACCAATTCTTTTCATATCAGGCCAAACAAAGAAGAGCTTCCCAGATATGGCAGACTTCAGAATTGCAACTGAAGACAAAATATCATCGACAGCTATTATATCCAGATCCCATGCACCATTGGAAGTATCCGAGTTGGCATTGTCAAGGAAACATTCAGGGATGCCGGACGTTGATACCGTTACGTTCTGATAGACTTGGCAAACGGCTAGAGCATGTGTTGCACCAGAGAAGTTGTGCTCAAAGATGAGCAACACCTTTACCAGCAATGGTAGCGAACTGCGGCGAGCACAATTGACCAGGGCATGGTCTGACAGCTTCTTCTTTCTACTTGGTGGATCGAAAGTAGAGTCGATCGTGATGTTGTTGCCAAGTCGTAGTGAGGTAGCGCACTTGATCTGCGGATTGACACGAGCAGTGTTGTAATGTTTGCACAACATAGAAGCAATAGACGGTGACAGCTTGATGTCGCCCATATTCAATGATTTCGAGAAGGTGATGGCAGTATCCGTCGAATTGTCAAATGCAATTGTCCTTCTTTTTTCATAGCTGTTACATGCAATATCCAGCATGATATTTTCCGCTTGTTTTGCAACTTGACTACAGCCATGGATCCTCTTCTTGATCATTTGGATCCTTCTCTCCAAAACACGGCAACTGTACTGAGGCATGGGGCCTATCTTTCGAATCACCATCGTGATATGCTCCAAATAATGTTCACTGATTGGAAAGAATTTTGCTGAGATGTGAAGACGAAGAAATTGGTGCCACTTGGTTATTAGTTCCTCCAACTTTTGTATCTCGCTCTCAGATATATCCTGCTGCAAGCATACTGAGCAAATCAGAGATATTGTACGTAGGGCTTCCTTGGCAGCTTCAGAGACAGTAGGATCCAAATGGCATAAATCAACGTGGTCGATAAGAACTGTGGGCACAAAGTACTTCAGGAACACCAACCAATCTACTCCTCGAGCTGTCCCTCCCTTGCTGAAGACATCCATGAAATTGCCTTCGAAGATCAAAGGTGATGTGCTTGCAAGTTGGTTCAAGCAAATGCTAATCTTCTCTATTTGTCGCGGCTTCAAGCGAAGAATCGATTCCTTGTCCGTAAACATTTTCTTGATTCTTGGTCCCATGTTTTGTCCAAACAAATGAAATTCATCCAAGCCCACAAACGTTGGATCAATGAATGATGGCAGGTTTCGAAACAAAGAAGGCCTCTCGATACCAAGTTCTGGTGCACTGGATTTGTATTCTTCAATTGTTAGCAATCGTAGTGGTCGATCTTCATCATTAGCTGCTAGTTGAAAAGAAATAACACCATTTTTGCTGATGCCAATGATCGTACAAAAACGGCAGCCTTGAAGCGACGTATGGGATGCGAGGAAATTGAGTTCGCTGACGCTGGGGATATCACCAAAGGATCCCATGAGGTGGACTTTGAGCGAGATATTTGTTGAGTTGTTTCTCTGCACTTGTAGTCCATCACGAGCCAATTTTTCCAATTCGCTGACAAGGTATTGAAGGTAACTGTCTAATCTCTTGGTGTTTGGGATAATGGCGAAATCAATCAGGAACTCCATTTTGTATCTATAGGCAGAAGGAAGGTTCAAGATTTGTAGCATGACCAAGTTCAACTTTGCACCGCCTTTTTTGTGTGATTGGAATCCATCTACGTACAGGGACAGGCCAATGTCGTATCTATTGTTGAATAGATGCTTGTTGTTCACTAAATTTTGCATTATATCGCCCTTGAACCTTGCTCTGATGGATGAATTCTCGTCATCAAGCACTCTGATAAAGTTTGGATTTTCGAACAACGTGGCAAGTTGTGGACCGATTGGCAGCATCTTGATGGTTCTTCTGGGGCTACCATCAATATCGAATCTCTTTTCAAAGCACACTGGACATTCGTCCCCATCCTCTGGTTGAAAGGCATAGCAATACCTGATGCACACATCGACTGTATAAGGTGCAAAAGAAGTTGCCCTTTTCCTAGCAGAGCTGGCCTTGAATGTTGAGACTATAGGCGTTGCAACTTATCATAGTAGATGTTAGCGCTTTGAAACAACCAACTTTGTTATGGTTACTTACAAGGATACGTTTGGTTGTGCCATTGAACAAGTCTTCGGATGCTTGAGTTTGTCAAGTTTTCTTCCCTGAAGATCTTGTGGATCTCAGTATTTTTAGCATCCAGTGGTGGTAATGCCTCGCAACTGTCAGACATCTGATTGTCACTATAGTTAGCGCCGAGTCCATCAGAGTCTCCAAAGTCATATCCGCCATCGCTACCAGGTTCACCATCGCTACCAGGTTCACCATCGCTGTTTTCTTGCTGACTATTTCTTTCAGTGTAAGGTCCAGCCTGAGTATCATGTTCAGTTCTTGCTTTCTTTCTTTGATACTGATTAGTCTCCAGGTTGTGCAAGTCTACAGTTGTTGTGTCATTTGAAGAGTGCCAAAGTTTATGCTGTTTTTCATGTCTATTGCGAATTCTTCGGCAACACTGGGCACAAAAAAATGGCATCGTAAATAATATTAGAAATAAAGGTTAAACACAAATCTGTCTGGATTGTCTTTTATGCTCCTTATATTGCATGCGTTTCAATCATACAGATTGAAACGCATGCAATATTGAACATAGAATACACTTTGATTGGTATTGAATAGCCATGTGAATATCTATAGTGAAATCTAATAGTTCACATTGCATGCGTTTCAATCTGCATGATTGAAACATCAATGTCTGTGATAGCGGGTGCTATTAATTATTGGAAACATTACTAGACCAGTTTTTCTCTGTCTTTCATAGATTGTTACGCATTTATCGCAATTGATACAACCATCTCAAAGCACTGCTCTATTTTACACTTTACACTAATCACTTATTCAAAAATGGATCAAGCACAACAACTATTCTTACAAAGATTGGAGAACATTGAACAGGAGTTGTCCAATCTTAGCAAACAGGTCAAGGAATGTAATGACAACCAGACCGAAGTAAAAGCTATGCTGCAGCATATTGTTCAACAATCTACCTCTTCGAGCACGGCCAATGTTGCGAGACTAGATGGAGTGATATGCCGTCCAAGCAAAGCAGATAGCAAACATCTGGAGGAGCTTTCTGTTGAGCTATGCATCAACGTCCTTGAAGAGCATCGATTAGGTGGGGAAAACCTTGATGGCAAGAAGGTCTGGGAGCTTGTCAAAGATGCAGCATACAACCAGGCAAAGAAAGCTGATAGACAGTTCCCAAATATCACTTTTAGCAAGCTGGACAACAGATTTCAAGCCTTGTTAATCAAGACCGTCATAGACGATGTAGCCAAAAAGGGCGTTGACATCTCTGGGTTCTTCAAAGATTGGTTGCCGCAGTTTGCTGTCTCCAAATCATTGTCTGGCATAATCGATTACAAATACAATGCCAGGCCAAGCAATGACACCGCAACTTACCAAACCCAATTCGATGAAGATGATCTGGTATTTTCTGAGGGATCCCAAGCGCAATCCGAAGAAGATTCTGTCGACGATGACGAAAATTCGATTGTAGACAAGATCAATTTTCATGTTTCTCGAAATACTGGATCACAAAAGTAAATGCTGCATAGAGAAAAGTACTCTTTGATACTAATCGTAATATTATAGAAGAATCAGCACGCAACATATGCCTCTAGTAGAACAAGTAATTAAGTTTTCATAGATATAGCGCAGTAACTCACATTTCTTTTCCATTTTATAATGTGCACTATCACTATAGCCAATGCAGCCATCTCCAGTATCAAAAAATGTATCTGCATCAAACAAATCAAAGGCAAAGGAATATGAAAAGCACAGAAGATATTCATCACCAGAAACGCAAGATTTGCAAAGACAGTAAGTTTCTCATCATCACCTGGAGTTAGCCATTTTATGCTGATATTCTCTCTATCTCTTAAATTGTAGAAACATAAAGGTAATCGTAAGGCATTGATATCATAGATGGAGCTACTTATCTTTGTGTATTAGGGACCCAACAATAAGAGAGTGCGCAAGTCGTAAGGAATTCTGATCTCTATGCTTATTCTGATTAGGCTACGCTTTGTTGTTACTGCCCGTAATGTAATATCATCATGTTTCTCTGTAGTAGTAGCGCAATTATTATATGTCAAGAAATAAACAATGGTTTCTATTATAATAGCACTAAATGCTATTATATTTCTGATTTATTTTTTTATGAATATTTTGCAAACCACCCTAAACTACATGAATTTTTCTGAATTTTCCAGAATGAATTTCTCTGAATTTTTCTGAA